AGTAGTAGTAGTAGTAGTAGTACTGCTACTATTACTGGTAGTGGTATCAGTAGTGATAATGGATTGATTTTTAGAAAAAGTTTGTTTTTTTTTAGTTGAAATATTTATTTGATTTGAAATATGAACCTTTTCATCATTAACGTCCGATACCTTATTATTATTGTTAAGATTTGGATTTCCAAATTGATTTTCTATTGAACTACTACTTACAACTAAAGGTTCCTTATCTCCAATATATCTAACCATTGTAGTATTAAAGTTTATTGGTTGGTAGTAGAAGTGGTCATTAATTAATGGATTTTTAGCATTAAACCATTTAATTCCCATATTTGTATTAAAAAAAACAATTCCAGCAATTGGATGGCTCATTATTAATGGTATTACATATTTTTGAGTAATACTATTACTGTGAGTAACTAACACAATTTTTCTTGTATCAAACTTCAAACAATTATTTATAAGCCAAAGTAAAAATGATGAACTTGAAATATTTTTAGATTCAGCTCCATCTTTTAAATTGGTTAATTTCCCAGATTTTCCATAGCCGGGAGGTGAAACTGCTGCTATGGTAAAACCATTATTATAAGCTTCATCTAGCGCTTTTGACTTCAACCAAGTATCTGCTAATAATTTTCCAATAAATAAAACTAATCCCTTTTCTTCACTCTGATCTTGTTTCCAAAATACTATTTCAATATCTAGTTCTGAAGAACAAGATAAAATTTGGGTGTTTCGACTTACTACTGATTTTGTATTTTTTTTTATAGTTGATATTTGACTTTTAATATTAGTTTCATAATTATCATCTGTTGAAATAAAAATACTATTTGTATCATATGATGAAAACACTGTAATAAATATCAATAAAGTTTCTCAGAATTTTGTATTTAATTTTAAATTAAACTTACCTAAAGATTGATAATAGAAATAACTAAAAATTGCCGGTACAAATATAAAAATTAATGCTAATATACCATTTAATTGCCTTAACTTTTTCCCTCTATGCGATTTTGGTTTTACGCATGTCCTACCAATAACCCAAGAAATTCCCCATGATATTATTGGAAAACCAAAAAATCCCATAAAAAATAATACTACTTGAACTTTATCTTGTTTATATTTTGTTCTTAACAATGATTTTGATGTTTTTCTCTGAATTATATTCAGTATCCTAACATGACCATTCATATAGTTTTCATTATAATCTTCATCATTACTATCATTATCACTATCATATTTTTTAGATTTATTATCTTCTTTATTATTATCTATATTCAATTTCAAACTCTCGATATTCTTTTTTTTACTTCTTGAATCCATTTATTATTTTTCAACTTTTTTTTCTACTAAATTCTCTGAATTAAAATAAACCTCTATTTTTTATTTCAAATAATATGAATATTATATTTTTTGTCCACATAAAAAAATGTATTGGCAATTTTACTTGTAATTTTGCATGCATGTAAAAAATGACGTAATTGGTTTATTAAAAAAAGCAATTTCCAGGTGTGCCGAACCCTCCCGCCAATTCCATTAGGCAAAATGTCAAAAGTAAAAAAAAATTACGAAAAAGATAAGAAAATAATAAGAAATAACTAAACTAATTACCTTAAAATTCTCTTAATATAAATCTGATAAAAATCTAAATGATAAATATCAATTTTTTTTAGATATTGACTACATTTTGTATAAGTGGATGCGAAAAAGCTTGAAAAATGTTGGGCCTCTTCTCAGGATCATACGTCAAAAGCCAGTTAATATATGATTTAAACTCAGGAGAAACATGGTTTTCAAAAATTGCACCTTTTTCAGCTTCCAAAGGTATCAACGAAAATGCTTCAGCAATTGAATTACTCTTTAAACCAAATGGTCTCCTTAAATGAAGAATCTCGAAAAATATACAACCAATCGCCCAAATATCAACTTTGTGGGAAACTACTCTAGGGTTATCTAATGAATCTCCAGGTCTTAGAAGAATTTCAGGAGGTTGATACCAAACAGTTCCGCCTCCAATTCTCTCAATAATAATATTCCCAGATTCATTATCAGATTGTTTACTAAGCCCAAAATCTGCAATTTTACAACAACCTCTATGGAGAATAATATTTCCAGGCTTTAAATCATAATGAATTATTGGTTTCCTATCTGGAGAGATTTTTTCACCATTTTCATTCAAGTTATTCAAATAAAGAATACCCTCCAGAATTTGTCTTATCCAAATGATTGCTAGTTCTTCTGGAACGCTACCATTTGTTTTAATAAAAGTATCCAAATCTGGACCTTCACATAACTCCATAATAGTTACAAGTCTGTCATTGTCTACTTCAAAGCAATGAAGCATATTTACTATATTTGGATGTTTAAGATCTCTATGGAGTTTAATTTCATTGCTAACTCTTTCTACACAAACCATTCTTTCATGTTCTGTCATATCAGGAGTAAGTTCGTGAATTTTTGCAGCTGTAATATTCCAAGTATTCATATTCAATACTTCCCATACCTCAGCAAATCCCCCTTTTCCTATCATATTCAATAAGGTATATGCTTGAGAGACAGATAGAGTGCTCAAGTTATTATATCTCGAATTCTGTTGGTGTCTAAACAGTCTGGACTTTTTAACATATAAACTTCTTTCAATATCCAAGTTAATTCCTGATAGTTCCAGTTTTCTTGTAAACTCTAACACATAATCTTGTCTTTTATTTAATATTGAAATTGCCATATTCTCTAAATTTGTAGTATGGTTTTTTTCCATCATCTCAATACAATTCAGAACTTGATATGGGGTCTGATTTATATACCCTTGGAGACGATTCTTTAAATTCATTAAATTCTGAAAATTTAAACCATCTCTATAAATTTCATCATAAATATAACCAAGATTTATTTGTGACACATGATTTTCATTTTTGTTACATTTATTATATGTGCTATTTGAAACCATTGTATTATAATGAATATTTTCAGTTGATAATAACTGACTTTCCTCAATGTCAGACCTTTGTAGCTCCTTCAAAGTATAACATGAGTTATTCATTGAGTTTATGCTACTTCTTTTACTTAAAGCCATACTTTCACTAAGTATTGATCTTTTAATATAACTATTTGCATCATATTCTTGGTTTTCACTTGAATCTCTGCCTCTTTTATTTAAATTTTCTTGTTGTGATCTTTTTCCATTTCCACTTCTTTCTTGTTCTTCAAGAATTATTTGTCTTTTTTTCTTTAATATATTGCTATTTACAGCCGGAGCAAGACCTACTTGAGATTCTTGCCAGAATAACTGGTACCTATTAAGTTCTCTTTCAATCTTTTTATACTGAATTACTGATGTTTTAAAGCTATTTTTAATAAGAGCAAGCTTTCTAGTGAGACTTTGCTCATTATCCTTCAGTTTCTCTTTCTTCAAGGCAATCTCATTACATTTCTTCATAATTTCTTCTATATTCTTTTTGTTTCTTTCCATAGACTCATAATCAATACAGGTTGAGATATTCTCCTTTATTTTCAAAAGTTGTTCTTTTAACTTTACAATGTTGTCGAGAATCTTATGTTCACTTTCGGTACTTTTATACAACGAAAACCCAGAATTTTGGTTTTCTGTTTCTTCTCTTTCTTCATCTAGGTGGATAAAAACGCCTCTCTTTAATTGTAATCCATTATGTGAAGAGGAGTGAAGTCTTCCGTAAAATGATTTATACCTACTCAAATACTTCGTTGCAAGAATTTGTTCATGCGCGGAGATTCGATCAATTCTATTTGAGCTCAAGTCTAAATTGCCCTCATCTCTATTTTCTGTATTCATCCTGGTCTAGGCTCAGACCATCATACAAATTTGAATAGTCTTAATGTCTTTCCATTTAACAACTAATTTTTCAATTTACCAAATTTTCAATTTTCTACAAAAAAACTAATTTCACTAAAACTTCCAGTATTTACTTGTATTATGACAATGTGGGGAAATGTCCTATCACCGGTACTAATATTTGCAGGGCTTGGCGCCAAACACACACGTAATTATTAATCATTTTAAATAAAAAATTGGGAAAAGGAAATTTGCTCTAAATGGCTGAAAAGCAAACAAAGTTGGGCTATTAGTAGATATTAGACCAAGTTGAGTAATGCCTTACAGCATTCTTAGGTCGGAATCAACTGAAGTAGATTTAGATTTGAAAGTTTGGAAGTAAGCTTGGTGTTAGAGAACAAGTATAATGAAGAGGAGTAAAACCTACAAAGAAAATTGGCGAAGAAAGTTTGATGGGAAAAGTGAAAGAAAAAAAAGTAGGTTTGATTTAGATGGTTTTTCGAGCATTGACAAAAAATTTGGAATCAATCTCCAAAAAATAGGGCCAAACTACAGGGAAGTTGGCTACTTATACAATGTTCAAGTTTCATCTGAGTTAATATCTGAAACAGGAACTTCATTGAAAGGAGAAGATCTTGGAAATTCGGATTCACCCGAGCTCATTGAATCTTACAAGGAACGTTCTTGTCTGAATTTGTATTTTATTAATAAGCAGGGACTTACATATAAAACTCCATTCTTCTTCAGGCCATACTTTTACTTGGAAGCAAATAAGGGAGTAGATGTCCATTGGATGTTAACCAATCTTGAAAACAAGTACAGAGGTACCAGTGTAGAATTTATCAATATTTTAAAAGAAGATTTAACTCTAGATAACCACTTAATTGGTGAGAAGAGGGAGCTTATTAAAGCTTCATTTGATAATGTGAAAGAGCTTGTCATTACCAGAAACGAAATTTTGGATCATATAAGGAAGAATAAGATGGAGAAAAGCAAGAATGAAGACTTTGAACTCTATTATGAGCAGGATCACCAAATCCACGAAAATAAAAGCATTGATGTATTAGACTTGGTTTCTGAGATTTATGAGTATGATGTTCAATATGAAACACGAGTTATGATAGATAACTCCATTTCTATTGGGATGTGGTACGATTTTGTGCGTTGGACCCACGAGCTTTCAGAACTAAACTGCTTAGAAAATGATACATCTGCACCAGATTTAAGAAGTTTAGCTTGGGATATAGAAACTACCAAAGATCCTTTAAAATTTCCTAATGTGGAAAAAGATCAAATAATGATGATTTCCTGTATGTTTGAGGGTCAAGGATACCTGATAACTAATAGGGAAATTGTTTCATCAGATATTAGTGATTTTGAGTATTCTCCTAAAAAAGATTTTGAATCATTTTTTAAGTGTATTAACTATAAAGATGAAAAAGAACTTATTTGGGGTTTTCTAAAACTTATCCAAACCCTAAGACCACATATTATAGCTTCTTATAATGGAGATAACTTCGATTTCCCTTTTCTATATGAAAGAGCAAAAAAATATGACATTGATGTCTCCAAGGAGTGGGGAATTAGGATGGAGATTGATCATTCATCCACAGGAGGACCTCAATCTACTTCTAAAACAATCTTTTCTGGAACTAGTATAATCCACCTAGATTGCTTTAGATGGGTAGAAAGGGATTCCTACCTTCCTTGTGGATCTAGAGGCTTAAAAAGTGTGACTAAGGCAAAACTAAGATATAATCCTGTGGAACTTGACCCAGAATTGATGGTTCCCTATGCAAGAAGCAATCCTCAAGTTTTGGCTGAATATTCTGTTTCAGATGCAGTAGCTACATACTTTCTTTACAAGACCTATGTTCATAGATTTATCTTTGCTTTGGCTACTATAATTCCCTTATCTGGAGAAGATCTTCTTAGAAAGGGATCAGGAACTCTCTGTGAACACTTACTAATGAAGGAAGCTTTTAATAAGAATATCTTATTTCCTAATAAAAAAGTTCAAGAAACTATGGAGTTTTACCAGAACAGACCAATTCTTAATAGTACTTATGTTGGAGGAACTGTAGAGTCTTTGTGTAGTGGAGTATTTAGAGCTGACATTCCTGAGAGTTTCAGTTTGGACATTAATACACTTAGAAATTTGCTTGAAAGACTAGATTCTACTTTGAAGTTCGGTATAAAGGACGCCGGTACCACATTAGAAAATATTGAAAATTATGAAGAAGTCAGAAATGGAATTTTAGAGAAGCTAGAAGGTCTAATAAAGTCTCCAAAAATCAAAATTGAGCCTTTAATATACCATCTAGATGTGGCTGCTATGTACCCCAATATTATTCTGACCAACAGACTGCAACCTACTGCAGTTATAGAAGAGACAACCTGTATGAAATGTCCATTTAGCTCAGAGTCAGAACTCTGTCAGAGAAAGATGAATTGGAGATGGAAAGGGGATGTTTTCCCAATTTCCAAAGGAGAAATGGAAAGAATGCTTAATCATATGCAGATAGAGACTTTTGAGAATATTAAATATGAGATAGGAGTAAATAAGAAGAAAAAATATGGAGATCATGAAAGTGATTCAGAAAATGATGAGAAAATTGAAGATAATGTAGAGAATGTCAATTTGAATAGTAAGGAAAAGATAAAATGGGCTTCTTTAACTCCTAAACAACAATCTGAGATTTTAATACAAAGAATGAAGGCTTATTGTAATAAGATATATAGGAAACAGACAGAGAATATTGAAGAGACTAGATCTTCCATAGTTTGTCAGAGAGAAAATCCCTTTTATATAGATACAGTAAGACGTTTTAGGGATAGGAGATATGTTTATAAAGGTAAGAAAAAAGAAGCAGAGGAAAAGTTAAAGAAGGCTGAATCAATGGGAGATTTGTTGGCAGTTCAAGAAGCTCAGAATGAGGAGGTTCTTTACGAATCCCTACAATTAGCTCATAAATGTATATTGAACTCTTTTTATGGTTATGTTATGAGAAAAGGAAGCAGATGGTTTTCTATGGAAATGGCTGCTATAGTTACCTGGGTTGGAGGCAATGTTATTAGAGAGGCTAGATCTTTAATGGAAGGTATCGGTAGACCTTTAGAATTAGATACTGATGGAATTTGGGCAATACTTCCAAAAGGATTCCCAGAGGAGGTAACCTTTAGATTAAAAAACGGAGGTAAGAAGAAGATTAACTATATTTGTACTTTGTTAAATCAACAGGTCCATAAAACATGGACCAACAATCAGTACTTAGAGTATGATGCAAATCTTGGCAAATATAACGTCAAAGTAGAGAACTCTATATATTTTGAGGTAGATGGTCCATATAAGTGCTTTTTCATCCCTGCTTCAGATAAACAGAATAAGCTTCTTAAAAAGAGATATGCAGTTTTTGACTTTGAAAACAGGCTTAGAGAGCTTAAGGGGTTTGAATTAAAGAGAAGAGGAGAACTCCAACTGATTAAGATTCTTCAGGAAGAGCTATTCCCAGCATTTCTAAAAGGGAATTCCAAGAAGGAGGCATATGAATCAGTAGCTTCTATATCAAAAAAGTGGCTTAATTTGATAGATACTAAAGGGAAAGGTATTCTTGATGATGAACAGCTATTTTTTTTAATTTCAGAATCTAAGAATATGTCTAAGAGTGTACAACAGATGGGAAATGCTAAGTCAATGTCTATTACTACAGCAAGAAGACTTTTTGAATTTCTTCAGAATCCTTCTTACATTCAAGATAAGAACATTGTTTGTAAGTTTATAGTTTCAGAGTTCCCAAAAGGAGAAGATAAAAGCCAGAGAGCAATTCCACTTTCTATTTTTTCTACACCTTTGGAAACAAGAATTTCCTGGCTTTCTAAATGGCTTAGAATAAGCAAATCTGGAGAGAGGAGCAAAGAGGATCAAAAACAGGAAGGTAACATCATTAATAAGGAAAATGAAATTAATAAGTGGAATGTTCGTAATATTCTTGACTGGGAATATTACAAAAAAAGACTCACAAGTACTATTTTGAAAATAGTTATAATCCCTGCCATCAACCAGGGAGTTCCTAATCCCCTCCCAGAATTAGAGGTACCGAATTGGGTAAAATATCATTCAGAGATTGTATATACTAATCAGCAGAAGATTTCAGAGTATTTTACTGTTGTTAAGAAAAACAATGATTCTTCTGAGCTTCAGACTAACATTCCCAAACTTTCAGATCCAGGCCCAGTTGAAGAAGTTAATGATAGAACAAATCCAGATATTGATCTTCAAACGAGTAATATAGTGGAAACAGATAATGGGAAGTTACCAGAACCTTCAAGCAACGATCAAATAACAAAGCTTGATAGAAAGTTGACTAAAAGGGAAAGGATTGAGTTATTCAAAGAAAAAGGACTTAAATTCTGGATAGAGTATCATAAGAAGTTCTGGCTGGAAAGTTTCCATGCATTTAATTTAAGGCAATCCGAGCTTGAAAACAAACTAAAGAACATAGACAAGGCAAAGTTGGAGCATTTTGGAAAAGGTAACAAAACTAAAGGTATCGAATTTTTTTCAGAATACCAGTTCTTGACTAGAGGGAAATTTCATATTTTGGACATTTATCCTCTAAGGGTCAAGGAAAGAAATAGAGGAGACCAGGATGAGGATTTACTTGGATTTTACAATGTTGTTATGTACTCAGAACAGACTGGAGGCTGCTTTATTGTTACATTTGAGTTCCTCAGACGCTTTTACATTGCTACTAACGTCCAAATACAAGTTATGGACAATGATAGTGATGGAGAATTTATCACAAAATCTATAGCTACCGGAAAAGAGTTACCTAGAGGGGTACCGTATGATTATTTAACAGAAATTATTATATCAGAGAGAAGATTTCAGAAATCAAAATCAACATTAATATGTGATAATAATACTGTTGGAATTTATGAAGCAAATATACCACTTGAATTTTCTATTTTGGAGAGATTTGGTAACATGATTGAAAGTAACACTCCTAATGTTGAGAAGTTACTACTCAAAAATGGTGCAGTTTCTGACAAATTTTGGAGTTCAGCTGGGTTAAAGCAAAAGATCTTAAATTATGGTGATATCATTCATTGGTTATTTCTTTCTATATGTACTTTCGAAGACAGGAAGTGCTTTTCTCTTGTAGATCTGAGTAAGAGAAGGATCTATTTTTTACTTGGCTCAGGACCACCAGTACCCCACAATATCCTCAAATCTGAACTGGAGAGACATGTTAGAGAGGATCGAAGATTAGCAAAAATTACACAAATTCATGTTAATTACTTGAAGACCATAAAAGAATCTCTGGAAGAATTAGATCAACTTTTGGAAAATCTAATACAAGAATTCCCAAAAGAACCAGTGGTACTGTTGGTTAATTCTATGGTTGGTTTGGAAGAACTTAAAGCACATAATAGTAACTTAAGTCTTTACGGTACTATATTAAGAGGATATGTTTCTGGATTAGAGCATGAAAAAAAGATTATTGAGACTAGAATGGTAACTTTGTGGGAAGAGAAAAGAGATATAGATCAAAATAACCTTTTCAGCAAATTTAACTGGTATAAGGACTCAGTTAAATACTCAATAAAAACTTTAAAGGAGGGGATCAGCAAACTTCAGCTAGCTTTAGAACTTTCTAAAGCTTTGAGACTTCCAGTACTATATTTGCTTCAGTTTGAAGACAACCTGACAAACTTTTTATACGACATTATTTACTCTAGAGAGCTTCATTCAATGGGACTACTAAGCTGGGGATCTTTGAGTTCCACTCCGGATCTTGGGAATCCAAGGCTAATCCAGCTCTCTAAAAGTGATTGGGATCTAAGAAGGCTTGGATACTTAATGTCAACAAAAGATCTTAATTATGGAGGATATAATAATGGTACTGGCAATTTAAGTAATGGTTTAGATAACTTTGAATTAGATATATTGGAGGTCGTAAGGCCAGGAATTTACAGGAACTATGGGGTTAAGCTGGATTTTAAGCAATGGTTAATAATAGAATCTGTAAGGAATTGTAAAAAACTTTCTGAAAAATATAAGTTGGATGACTTTGAAAAAGGAGAGAAGAAAATCCTGGGAGCTGAATGTAAGAGAAAGAATACAGAAAAAGATGACAAGAAAGATATTTTAATCTACAACCTTGGAAAGAAAAAACACCTGAGTAATCCAAATAATAAGCAAGGCTTATTGATTTCCCAACCTCTCTATAACCATTCCTCACTTTCCACAAGCTCGGCTTTTCTGTGTCTAGAGAAAACCATTAACAAGATGAGGTCTGTGATCGAAAGCCACGAAAATATTGGGTCAATCTTTAGGATTTACTGTGGCCAGAAACGCTTTAAAAGTGAAGGATCTGATGGAGAAAACGACAGGTCTCGGAAAGAGGAAGACAACGACAAAGATGAGAAGTATGAGGATGGAAACGAGGAGAGAGATGATGAGGATGAGGATGAGGATGAGGAAGAAGAAACTTCAAACCTTTTGTTTGAGTTCATGGTTACTTTACAGGAGAGGTTCTACTCTTGGTTGTCTTCTCCAAGCTCTCTTTTGTATGATCCTGCTCTAATAGAAATGACCAAAAACTATTCTCATAAGTATTTTAAATCCCTGGAAGCTGATATGAGGGAAATGGGGATTCTGGTGGTTTACGGGAACATTAGAAAAATGGTCCTGACATTTAATGTGGAAGAGTTAAAGAACAACAGTATCAAAAATACTGGGGATCTGAGGGCTCATTTTTCTAAGCTTATGCATATTTTGAACAGCAGAGAGCTATACTCGGGTATTTCTTTAGATCCTTCTTTGGAGTACAAATCTATGATTCAAATTGACAGGACAAACTATATTAGAAGGACCATGGGAAGAGGAGGGTTAGGTGAAGGGTTAGAAGACCCATACGAAATGAATTTAAACTTGTTGAACTATTTCCCAGTAAATTCAAGAAAGTATATAGTTAGTGAGATTTCAAACTTTTTGATGGAGCCTCTTAGGGAACTAAGAAACTATCTCAAGAAAAATCCTAATATATCTATTAGGGAATCCTTCAAAGTACTAGGAGATATAGTTTTAGAACAATTTGGACCACTTAGTGAAAATTTTCAGAACTTTTTACAGGCTATTTCGAATCCAGGTGCCTACATTGCAAGTAAATACGGAATACAACAGTTTGAAGATCCATTAAATGATATTGGATGGAATGAGAATATAAGGGAAGAAGATAAGTGGGACTATGAGAAGAACATGGATATTTATACTTCAGGCTCTAAGAATCAGACATTGGAAGAAAATAATACTTTACTGTTAAGTAAGAACCTGGAAAACTTGGATTTTAATAAAGGAGATGATGTTCCTTTTGCTATTTACCCAAGTTCTAAAAAAAAGAAAGGAAGTAACTCCTATAGAGTTGGAGCCTCACTCAAAACAATAAGAGAAAAGGTAAATAAGAAGAGAACAAACTCAAAAGATTTGTTTGAACTTCCTCCTTGTATTGGGAAAGTTTTTAGTGGAAGTAAGTCTTCTCTGAGTCTGGAACTTATTAAATTGTTTATTTATATATGGGGACTGGATAGGTCATTTTTTATGGATGAGAATAAAGAGAAACAATATGAACAAATAATTTATATGGTTTGTCAAACTGTTGAAATTTCAGAGTTTAACCCAATAGTTACAGAGAAATGGAAAAGTCCCTTAATTCCTTATATAATAAAGGACTTCGTTTGCCCGAATTGTCTTGAAATTGAGGATTTTGACTTTACAGGAAATGCAATCCAAGATGAAGATGATATTGAATTTTTAAATAACGGTAATAATAATATCCCGAGACAGAAATTTACTTGGTACTGTAACCATTGTAACTTTTCCATTGATAATGAGATTTTAGAAGAGAAACTTCTCCTTGAGTTTTTTGAAAGATTGGAAGTTATTCAATCACAAGACATTCTCTGTTCAAAGTGTAATTCCGTCCAAATTGGACACATGCAAAAACATTGCCATGAGTGCACTGGAGAGTTAACTACTAGACTTGGAAATCACAAGGGATTCCATAACTTTTTTTCTCTCTTCAATTCAGTTGCTCACTACTATTCAGATCTAAATAATGGATCCAACAAAAAACCAGAATTTCAAGGTCTTATTGAATTTAAAAATATGTATGAAAACATTCTTTACATTTAAAGTAGGAACTTCTTTAGTAGTAAATCCAGAAAGGGGGGGGGGCAGAAAAAGTCAACACTCACTTAGACTCCAGAAGAGACTATAGAAAAAATAATTTGTTATATATAACTTACTATAATCTAAATTTATCTTTTAACTACCTATCCCAACAAATTTCAGTTCAAAAATAAAAATACCATGAAACATTAAATATATGAGAAAATTAATATATGTGAGGTTTGGCGGGTTTTGTGTGCATTGAAGTGCATGCGATGGGGGGGCTATCCTTGTAAAATGACCTCTTTTCTTCGCATAGTAATTATTTTATGATATAATGAACTCTTTATCATCTGGTTACTACTTATTTTAATATTTAATCGGTTATGAGTCAACTATTTTGCTTTGGACCAACTTATGGACGTTGCACAAAAAGTCAACATAAGTAGTTTCAAAGCCATATGAATCCTCAACCAACATAGCCTTAAACTTGGCCTCGACCTTTTGTGAGACTGGAGAGACCAAAATGACAGGTATGTAACAATTTACAGAAAATCGATCATTTCTAATTTGTTGTATTACATTTGAAATGCGTTTAGAAATATCAATATTAGTTTCCATTGTAGGTGAATAGTCTTCAGGAGGAAAGGAGAGTCTGTTAAAGTTTTCAAAATTGATAGAACTGGCGCCAAAAAGTGTTGAAATGACTCCAGAGTCTACCTGGGGTCCAACATAAAGATATATTTCCCTTCCATTTTCTAATACATAAATTCCATCCGAGAGGATTCTTTCTCCAGAACAGGCAATTGAGTGATTCAGCCAGTACCTGGTGATCTTAGTAGCCTCAGATGGTAAAGTAGATCCAGAAATGGAATTGCTTATGCTCATTAAATTGGGGTTATTTCCAGTATTGTTAGATAAATCATTTTGGAGAGAAATCTGGTAAGGAAGTCCAACAGATTCAAGCTTTTGCAGGTCGTTAGTAGATTCTGATAAAATTATAGAATGATGCAAAGGATAGAGTCTAGGGTAAAGCATAGCAGTAGTGAAGCTTACTGACGCATGAAGAAGCTCATACAATCCAACCAGCTGTTCTGATACATTAAACTCTAAAACAGTGTTCAGTGGCATCAGTGATGGATACTTAAATAATGATGAAATATAAATTAGAGTGAGCTTAAGAGAATCAGGAAGAATAAGTTGTCCAGTTGATGATGTATTTGCGCAATGTTCTCTGTATGAAAATAGCATGTCGATAATTGAATTTAGAGTCTCTTGTTTCCAAGCAGTGAGGATTGCACTGGAGTTTTTATTAGTAGAGAATGGTAGTCCGGGAACTACTGATGTTGCTGCAGCTATAGCTCCTGATGATCCTACAGAAGAGGAACCAGAGGACCCAGAAAAGCCTCTCTGGCCTTTTGATACAATATGGTGGGCTGCCATTCTTGCATAAATATTGATTATAGGTTCAATAGAAGCATATCTAAAAGCTGTAGTAATGCTAGTAGTAACCGGAATAGATATAGTAAGTACTCTCAATAGTCTTTGCCGTTTATCTTTGCATGTATATAAACAAGCAGCTTGCAGGAAGACGCTCTTTCTTTGTTCCAAATTCTCCTCATGACGGAGAAGGAATGCTATTGCAGTACTGCTATCTAATTTGGGAATTTGGAAAGCTGAAAGGTCTGGAGTTGGACTACCTGCTGTCCATGGTGCATATATCTTCGATACTGCAATACCTTTCGAACAACGTAGCTTAAATGTACAGTCATAAGCCACATTTTGTAGAAAGAATATACTGCAAAGGGTTTGGTAAATATCTCTATAAATCTTTTCAAAAGGAAACTCCGCAAACAAACGTGTTTTCCCACCTGTGTGCTGTGATAAATATGCAAATGTACTAGTAGGTACTGAATTGGCGCCAAATATTGCTCCCATACCTCCACTAGGACTGGAAGCTCCCTGGATTTGCTCTCGTGTTGAAGAACCACTTTCGCCAATGTCTGTTACAATAAAAGTATCCAGAGAAACGTTATTTTCTCTACAAGCTTGAATTATAGTATCCAGTTGCTGAATATTGTGCACTAAATACCCAGAAACAAACCCCAATGACGGCTTCATCCCTTTAGAAGCTCTGCGAGGTGGAGATTTAGGTGCCACATTGGTCTCTTTAGTATTTATGGCGGCAAACCCAATATTAGGTACAGAATTTACAAAAGAAAAGATAGACCCTGTAGAATTTCTTGTTTTAAATATTTGGGTGGCGAGAGAAACTGCAGAAAAGTATGCATTATGAGGAGTTGAGTGTGAGATTATTAAAGAAGGAATTCGATCAATAAGTTCATGAAGAAATTCAAGTCCTTGTGCAACAGGGACACACAGTTCTGATAAAGGACAAGGAAGAAAGGGTTCCATTATGTCTGATATTACACACATTTTAATTGGAGGCTTTGAATCTTCATTCAACTTTTGGTATGGAAATAAGAGGATTTCCCTTGAATAGAGTATAAGAATAACGTTGGATTCTGGTGAACTCTGTGCCAGCTGGGTGAAAATATGTTTAAGACAGTATAAAATAAGGTTTGTAACGTTTCCTTGCAATGCCATGGAAGAAGCCTCAATTACAAAGCAGTAACAAGGTAGTTCTGGAGTTGTAGTTACACCGAGACTCGCCGGAGCATAGTAGTCCACAACACCATGATATATCTCAGGATAGTTGTTTTGGTCTTCACTTGGAAATTGATAACTTTGCGTCTTAACTTGAGATTGTAATAACCTTAAGTAGTCCATTGGAATGTCAAATGTGTGCCCACAAAAATTGCAAAGACACTGGCTACCACTTTGAGAAACACAAGTAAATGGGTTTGCATAAGCTCTACATCTTATACATCTTATTGGTTCTATATTAGATGAGGAGTTCACAATTGGTACTGGCTTCTCAAACTCATTCAAAAGTGGAAATGGTTGGATGATCGCTGCACATGGAAGTTTCATTGACTGTAGAATTGAATGTTGACTTGGAATTTGATTTAGAGTTAATTTATAGAACTTGCTTGTCGCATTTCCTCTATCTATAAGCATTGAATGTGGCTCTACAAGAGAATTTGGTGGAAATGAATACTTGTCACTTTCATAAATATTACAATCTTTCTCAGTTATGTTTCCAAATATTGGTCTCGGTATTTGCGATGGATCTACTCTAGATTGTACTGGTTTAGTTAAAGACGTAACAAAATTGGTCGAATTCTCAGTCATATATTGTTGCTGTTGTTGTTGTTGCTGTTGCTGTTGTTGTTGTTGTTGCTGATATTGTTGTTGCTGCTGTTGTTGTTGCTGTTGCTGTTGATATTGTTGTTGTTGATATTGTTGTTGGTGCTGTTGCTGTTGTTGTTGCTGATGGTATTGGCGCTCTTGAGCTTGTAAATTTGTCTGATACTGACCTGGCTGGAATATTGTAGAAGAGCCAGAATGTGGCGCCGATGTCATATTTTGTTGCATGGGGGGGGTGTTAATTCTTGATTCTGGTTGGGGCGGGAAATTCATTCCTGAAGCACTATTATATGAGGAGCCAGTAGTTTGAATGTTTGAATAGTTCAAAGAAGGGTGTGAACCCTGGTGAACAGATTGTGGTTGTAAATTTGTGGAATTGTTATATATATTATAGTTATAACTCTGATTTGGATTAATTGTAGCATTATTGTTTCCCTGATTGTGTTGGTTATTGTTCATTTGCTGATTATTTGTATTTTGTAGGTAATTGTTTGTCTGACTGCTACCATATTTGTTGTTAATTACGGGATAATTCTGGGCGTATTGAGGCATACTTTGTTGTGAGGATGCATTTTGAATGGCTGACGAATTATTTGCTTGATTAGGAGTGTTATTTATCGGTAAAGTATTTCCATTTTGTGAGTAATTTGACGTGTTGAAATTTGGATAAACTCTCATTATTTATTTAACTTCTTGGGTATTAAGTGTTAATAACCCACGTAATAGAGGATTATTTGTGCTCTTAATAGTAATTAATTATTCTCACTAAAAGAAATGAAGAAAAAAAACAGAGAAAATATTCTCCTTAATTAATTTAACCATACAGTTAGTTAACTAGGCTTTTTTTTTCTTCTTTTTTTAAATTAAATTTTATTTCTTTTATAATTTTCTATAGTCCCCTCTTTCTATTTTGCACTTACTATTTATTTCATTTATTATTCCCACATAATATATAAATTAATATTGACATATTAGGCGGTAAATTTCATTCATTTTATTTTAAGTGGGGAAAATAAAGAATAAAAACTGATTATTAATCAATAATACTATAATCTTAATTTCAAGGATTTTTTTTTAGGAAAAATTTTCTAATTTTGCGTTATATCAAATAAGATAATAGATAGTAAGGATGCACGAAACCCAAACAGTATTGAAATATTATATGTTTTTTCTATGTTAAATGTTACCACGACTAGTCTCGTATGTAGTAAAATGTGTTTATATGAATGAAAATTATTGAATCAAAAGAAAAATAATAATAATTTTTAATAATTATAAATTTAATAAAATTTTTCTTTTGTAATGCTTATTAGGACCAAATATGTGGGGAAGAATTTTTGGTGTCCTATACCGGTGTTTATTGGCATTGCATACGTGTATTTTTTTTTAATGTGGAAGGGGAACTTGGGTGTAAAGTTATGGCAAAAAAAATTATAATAGAATATATAGAAAAATAATAATAAAATTTAAGCATTTCATTATCCTATAATTAGTAAGGTAAATTGATTAGGAACAATATTAATTAGATTAAAATGCTAAATGAAAAAAACAAGAAGTATATTCATTCAAAATTACATGAAAAAAATGGAAAAAATAACATTTACATGAAAAATATTGTTTATGGAGATGAAAATTTGAGTGAAATAAATAATATGGAATACCCAGTAAACACACTTTTGAGAAACAAGGGATTACCGGAAAAACTTGAGAAACACTTAAACAATGAGAAAGAAAGAGAGTTGGAATCTTTATACGAAGAAAATAGACAATTATTGGTGGAAATTTCAAAATTACGTAAAACAAATCAACTATTAGTCAAAGATGTAAATAAGAAAAACGAGATTATAGATAATCTTGATTCTAATCTAGTAGAAGTTGAAGAAAAATTGGAAAACGCAAAAAAGAAGAATTGGAATATGTATAATGAAATTTTGAATAGAGAAAAAAAGAACCAACAACAAGATTACAATAAGGATCAGAGTATAGATTCTGATCATATAGATAACGAAACTTACAAACTTAAGGAATCCAAAATTGGAACTTTTAACACAGTAAATATAATAAAACCTAGCTCTAAGAAAGAATTTAATAATAGACCAAAATCCACAAGTATTTCTACGTCAACAGAAAATACCAAGTGGCTACAAGATATGATTTTGCAATCTTTAAGTGAAAAGCATGCTGAAAAAAAAGCATATGACAACTTAAAATACGAGGTTGAAAAGCTTCAGAAAGAAATTTATTCAATGCAAACTGACTTGTTAAAAAATAATCAGCAGGATGAAATCATTCAAGAGCCAATTATTGATCAGTCTAATGGGAAATTGTCCGTTTTTCATTCAACAAATTCTTCAAATAATAACTCCACCACTATTATTGGAACATCAGTCAGTGGATTTAATACTATCAATAGTACTTTCCACTCCACTTCTCTCGCACAAGAACTAAAGGAAATTAATTGCACCACTAACAATAGTTCGATTAATTCTTTACAAGAGTCTGAAGATACTCAAGAAAAATTGGAAAAGGAAAATGATCAAGAAAATTTAGAATCAATCCCTCCTAGAAGCGTTCATATATTAATGGGAAAAACCTTTTCTAGAGAAAATAATATAGACAGAAAGATTAATAAATACAAAAATGGTTCTAGATACAATTCTGAGAATTTGAATGGTGAAAATCTAATTCAACCAATGTCTAACCACTATAACTCTTACATAAAACAACTTCAAACTCAAGTAAATCACCAATATCAACAACCAAGTATAACTAACACTAATAATAATAATTATTATTACTCTTCTAATATGAATAATAACCATCAAAATTACCATAATCCTCATTCAAATAACTATTTTCAAACATATACCAACAATACCAACCCATTTTTAAGTATATCTGCTAATGACAATAACAATACTAATGGACATTTATACAACTTCCAACATAACTCCTATTACAATTCAGTAAGACGTCCTGTAAACTTTCCTAAGTACGAAAATAATAACATTAATTCACTTTACATGGATAACTTGGCAGATCGTCCTTCATTGGCTAACTCTATAATCAATTCAAGTTTAGCCCCTAAACATTTAAACCAAGGTCATACATATTACCAATACTCCAAACACAATGTTCCAGAGTCAAAATTCAACTTAATTCCAACTCAAACTTCAACTCCAATGAATATTCCAAGTTCAAACCCATTTTATACACAAACTCTAAACCAAAATAGTTACTCAAATATCCCATTTCCACCATTTAAAATCAAAATTACACAAAGATTCAGACGAAATAGAAATAATTCAGTTCCTCCTCCCAGACCCCAAAATGATTTTTCTTCTGAAAAAATGGTTACTGATGAAAATCAACCAGTACCTGGTCAAATAGAATCATTAAACTCCAACAATGACGTAGAGAAGGAACTTCCACAAGGGTATATTCGCTTTAAAACTTCCATTTCCTCTCCCTTAAGCCAAGACGATTTTTTCTCCCCAATATCAGCAAACATAAACAATATCTGTCCATGTGACAAGGCAATTGATTCCTGTGCATTCATCCAAAAAAAGCCAATTCAACATAATGAAGATAAAAACAAGACAAGATCTCTCTCCACATCTCTCCCTCTCCCAATTTCTCTAATCGCAAAAAATAATCAGTTCCAGGGAACCTCTGGTCTACTCAAGTTTGCTAAATACTGAAGTGTTACAACCTTAACTTGGTAGAACTTGTTGCGTCTAACCCCTGTAACTCCTCTTTACTAATAGACAAATCTAGAAACATGGAATAGTACACTATAAAAACCCTAATTAATACACAAATTATTATTCATTATCCTTTAATATAAAATCACTACCTCTACAAACCCTCTTCTGATCAAAAATAACTTTCCTCATAGTCCTCATGAGTTATAAGTATTATCTCCTCTCAGGCTCCCAATGATAATCAATGGCGCCATGTTGCATGCATTTCATGTGGACAATAACTTAATACCAGTATTTATTTTATATCCCCTATTGAAAAATTAGCTGATTATTTGGGATTAAATTATGGTTATTGATCGTACCGGCATTACCAATATTGGAGTTGACGTTATTGTTTTTATTATGGTGAGATGAGATAATCCCTGGAGAAATTGAAGAGTTGGCGCCAATATCAACACAGCTTGAGATATTTTGTGAATTTGAGACACTTGGATGCCCACTAGAAGCTGTTGTGGCAATTTCTGTAATTTGAAGAGTTTCAAGCTTCTTTTCAAGGACTTCGATTCTGTTAGACATATCTCTAAGACTCTGGATAAAGAATGGCATTGTTGCATCTAGACAATTATGTTTCCAAGCCATCTCCATTACGGTATCCGGCCTTAAAAATTCATAGCACGTATATAAACAAGCTACAAAGTTTTCTTTCTTGTTATTACTTAAGAGGAATTCCAAAAGCTCCTCAATAAGAGCAACGTTACCACTCTTGTAAACTACTAAGATAGCTTCATCTATCAGCATCTCTTTTTGACAAATAGAAAGTGCCTGCTGATAGTTCGAATTCTTGTCTAAAATCTTAACTGCCAGTTTTCTTAGGTCATTTACTGGATGATTTTCCAATCTGGCTGAAAGATTTGCTTGGTCATAGTTATCACACGTCAAAATCAGCTTCATTAGCTTTTCCACCTCCATCTTTTCTATGTATAAATTAATCAAAGCTTCATTAACTACCTGGATATTCTCCTCACTAATAGATTCCAGGAACTCTTGTATAATTGATATGTCATAATTAGGCCTACTTTGCAGTTCTGGTTCCCCAGCTGAAGGTTTTGGAGAAATACTTGCAACTGGACTTATTGTATTTAAATTTCCAGATGAAGAAAGTCCTTGATTAAAGTATTGCTGAATGAACCTAGTTGTAATACTGGATAGATCAAATTTATTTGCTGATCTTATAGATCCCCCGGTACCTGCCTGATTTAAAACTGCATTTGTAGATCTAGACGGAGAATAGTCTGATATGTCACTAGAATTGGATTTTGGTACCTCTAAGCTTTTTCTAGGCTTTAAAATTAACATCAATAAGCTGTTAAGTAACTCTGGATGCTCTTGTAAATAGAAAGTCATAGACTTATAGAGAATATCCACATTGGAGACATTCTGTAATATATTAAGAAACTGATCATTCTTCCATGCCTCTTTAGGGTGGCTAATCACCGTCAAAACTGCCTGGTCAAACTCTTGATATTGAAGGTAAAGGTACACAACCTCGTTCCAAAGTTGTCTTTGTTCGCAAATCCTTGTAAGCTTTGGTATGTTAATTCTTCCAGAATAAGAGGCACAATAGTCCATAAGCTTTTCAGGAGTATACTTTGCATAAAGTATTCCAAGCTCTGTGAAGAGACTGCCATTGGCACGATCAGTATTCTGAATAGCTCCCTCTAATAAAGTTAGAAGTTCTGCTGTGAGACCCTTCTTTTCATATTCAGATACCACATCTTCACAGTAATCTGGATAAACTATAATATTAAGTCCAGCCTGATGTGCTAGCTCGGACTCTCCAATTTGCATACAAATCTGTAAAAGCTCTTTCCATGTTTTTGGAGAGTTTGCTTTTTTGGCAGTTTCCAAAGCATTGTTGTACTCTCCTAGGTGAATATAGCAGCTTGTAAGCCTTGAGTAATTTGGGATTGCTTGATAAAAAATAATAGAGTACCTATAGTCCTGTTCATCCATAAGTCTGTCTCCAATCTTTTGTAATTGCACAGTATTAATACCTTGTAGGAAGTTCTGAAGTTCTTGCACAAGTTCCAACTTAGACATGCAGTAAGCCAGCTCAGTATCTACAATTGGATCTTTGGAAGTTCTAGAATCCTTTAGTCTTCGGACCATCTGCAGATACCCCAATAGGTCCTGATAAGCTTTAACTGAGAGACAATGCTCAATGATGGGACGATAATCTCTGGTGTTTTCAGATTTAATAAAGCAATCAACAGCATCTTTTGTTCGAGAGATCTTGAGATATTGCTGACCAAGAATGTCCCAAACAGAATTATCATTGCAGTAGGACGCAAAGTCTCGGACTTTGGATAGATCCAGATTGACCAACTTCTCACGATAAATCATTGAATCCAGGTTCTCGAGAAATTCTCCTGGTTTTCCATCCACATCTATACCTTCACTCTTTAGTAATTCAAGCTTGGAAATCATCAATAAAGTCTCAACAGCTTCATTATTAAATGAGAACTTCTTGTAAATCTGAAAAGCTTGGGAGTAAAGTCCGTGCTCTATTGCAACTTTAGCTACCTCCTTAGCATCATAATTATCCAATCTTAATACGTAATCATCCAATCTCCGAATATCTATCTTAATAGATGTTAATAAAAGAAGATTTTGAAGGTTTTTATTTTGAGAAAACTCTGTATTATTAACATGGAAAATGATCTTCTCCAAAACTTCCAACAGTGAGTTCGGTACCTCTGCATTAATAAATGCTCTAATTACACAACTAATCTCCTCAGGCTTATCGTAGAACTCAGGTAATATTGAAGAAGTTACTTGATCAATAATAGCTTGTCTACATTGCTCATTAACGACAGATTCCGTAGAATTCGAAGAATTTCCTAAGACTTTATTCCAAAGTTCAAGATCTTGGCGTTCAACAAGGTACCTAGCTAGTAGACGATATAAATCATTTTTATAAGTAACTTGTATTATTTCATCATCACATTGTCCCCATGCCTTTCTATAAGCAATATAAGCAAGATAAGGATCCCTATCTTCGCAATAATCTCCAATAGTCTTTGCATCATAATGGGGATTTGTCTTAAGGAAATTCTCAGAGTCCTTGTTCATATCTATATAGATCTTTGCTAAAGCATTATGTAAAGCTGGATCCTGGTATCCTTCCTGAACTCTTTCTTCTAGCCAAGACAACAATAACTTGAGACGATTTCTGTTTTCCGCCTGCTGAATTAGCTCTCCAAAAGAGAAGGAAGAACCCAAAGTTTTGATTTCTTGTAAAAGAGACTTAACTAGATCTTCAGATCCATCAAGATCTATCAATGTACCAATAACTAATGGAGTCTGACTTGGGTTAATCTTCAGAGTGTAAACCTGAATGTACTTATAAAGAGACATATGGTACAAATAGCTAATCAACTCCTCTACACGATGGTGAAGATCGCAAACCCAAATTAATGGCCTTAAATCGCTCATCTTAATGCTTTTAAAGTACTCAATAACCTGGTCAGGATCATAAGATTGTGGGAAATCTCTACAAATCCTCTCTGCCTCTTGAATTTGACCAAGGTGAACAGAGGCCTCAATGTATTTAAATACTATAAAAGTGGAAAATGATCCAGCCCCACCACTCACTGAGCCTGTATTTGAAGATGGTAATCTTCCTGATCCTGCTAAAATCACTCCGCTTCCTTTGTTTTGAATACCCGAATCTCCAATCAAATTCTCACCAGATATGTTCAAAGACTCAGAAGATCCTGACGTAGATAAGCTATTTCCAGATAAATATTGAGTCAGATTTGAACCTATAACATAGTAAATACCTTCCCAGATTCCCTGTTGCTCAAACAAAGTAATGATATTTTCTATTCCAATACTGTCCACATTTTTAATGCATACCTGAATCACACTTTGTAAAACAGTATTATTATTACTCAATGTTATTGAATTTGATGAACTGTTTCCTATCAATCCTCCTTGCCCAGTACTTGGTAATGCCCCATTAGATGATGATAATCCAGCTCCCATAGAAACTATTCCACCAGTCCCACCACTATTTTTGCAAACTAGTAGTAGCTCCTTGAGACAATCAAATCTGGTTCTTGGACTCAATTTAGACAAGTAATTTGCTAGCCAGTCCGTATTCAAACTTCCACAAGCAATTCCCAGTATTCTCCTTATGTCACGCATGTCAGAAAAATTTTCAAGAGCCCGCTCAAAAAGACCCGCTTTTTCACAAAGGGTAGCAATTGCATGTTTGTCATAATAAGTAAAAAGGTCCATTTGAAATAGAGCCTCTGCAACTTGAGGAGCGTGTAGGAGATTAACTTCGAGTAGTTTTGTTTGGAGGGCAGAGTCTTCGGGTTTGTTAGCTTTGAGATGATCTAAAAGAATGGATGTAATTTCTTTGAATCTAGAGTGAGATACAAAGATTTCGACTATTGAGGGCTTATCAATATTAAGGTCCAAGGGCTCAGCTGGTACAGAACTGGATAGGTCTGATTGAGATGTAGATGCGGGAGGGAGAAGAACAGTTTTTACAAACTCAACTGTAGCATCAATATTATTAGCAATTAAAAGACTATTAAGAAGCGAACGAATATCAGTAGTAATAGTAGGCCAATTTGAAGCTTTTTGTTCACGAATAAATTCTGAAACATGTGAGAAGTTACCAATTTCAATGAGTGTTTGTAGGATTTTTGTAGGATTTTGAGGAGTACATTTGTTGAAAATCTTAAGAGCAAGTTTTTTTTCTCCATTCAGAAGTAGGGTATCTCCAAGTTCTTCAGAGAAAGTTAACTTTTCTTCATTGATTAGAACTCTTAAAAAGACTATAGGTTGTGTAATGGAGGTGAATTCTGAAATAAGATTTGCAGAATTTGGAGAGAGCAAAAGTCGACAAAACTCAGTACTTTCAAACTGATTTAGAGTGTGGAACTTGAATACTGCTGTAAAGTACTGGAACAATAACTTGTGAGAAGAATCTAGCATTTTAAAATGATTAATAGTTGCAGGAGTCCTCAGGCTTCCATTCTTATTAAGAGAGACAACTCTACAAGCATTTTGGTAGTCTTGTCTTTTTACTGTCTCATTAAACATCTTAATTGAGAATTCATCTGTCCCTTGATAACCGTATCTCTGAGTCCATCTGAGGAGATTTGAGTTCATAGATAATTCAGGATTTGATTGAATGTATGAGAGAACTGATGAACTATTTAAAGTAATATGAAGGACCAATCCTCTTTTATTTGCCATACAAATTCCATGGAAACGGCTTGGAGATCCCAAAAATACTGAATCCTGGCAGACCTTGTTGCAGTAAAGTACAGTGTTTGAAGTTGGTTCCACTATATACAAGATTCCTCCCCTTGTTATTATAAATATGACTCCAAAATAGCTTGAAACATAGGTATATATTGGAAAATCGAATCCCTGTGCACTTCCAGTTGAGCTCTCATCTAGTGATGGAAGTTCAATAACAGCTTTGAATGGTGTTGGGAGAGATGATGGTGATCCAAAATCACCAGATCCTGCTCTTTGGCCTGAAATGTCCATTACATGAAGTCTGGCATTGAGATTTTCTTGTTTCTTCTCAACAAAGCAAACAACTGATGCTGGGGAATGTAGAAAATCATCAACAACGAGTTCTCCGAAATTACCAGAAAATCCTTCAATAAGTTGTTGTTGTCGTTTCTCTACTGAAAATAGTTGAAGTTGGCCTTTTACAGAAATTGAACCAGTTGTTTCATTTGTTACTGGGCAAAGACCCATTAGTAAACACCATCTTTGGCTAGAATCTGTCTGATAACCAACTATTTGAGTTGATTGTTCTGCTAATTTTCCAGCTCTCTCAAAGATCCGAACAGGAATTGAGTTAGGATTTCCTGATTCTATTGTCCAGTGATATATCCCCTTATCTCCAACAATTGCTAGAATTCTAGGACTTAACCACCTCCAAAATACAACTGATTCAGGAAACAGAAATGCTCCAAGCTTCTCCTTTGAATCTAAATTAAAGATTTGGACTGTACAACCATTATCCTCATATCTACCTCTAACTACTAGAATGTTTTCAATTGGATGAATCAAGGCACTTTCCGCTTTCATTGGTTTTCTATTTACTCCTTTAGATTGAGTATCTATTACTACAATCTGTGAGCCACCATCCACACTTGTTTCCTTTACTCCAACATATTTATCTCCTTCCAATGTCAAACTACCAAATCGAAAACATGACGAATTAATTCCAAGTTCCTCCAAATTTGCTAGAACATTGGTAATAATAGGGACTCCTCCCTTGCTCTGCATCTTACTCTATAACAGAAATCTATTATTTCCTGTCTTTTCCGGTTTTTCTTTTACTAATTAATGGCTTTACGATTACTTAAATTGGTTATCCAAGCCCTAATTATTCCTTTACATATACTTTGTAAGCTTAAAAAGGAAACTTATTTTAGGGAAAATTAAGAATTAATTTAAAAGATTATTCAAATATTTTAAAACTCTTACTGCTTTTAGCCTTGATAATATACATATATATATATATATATACATATATACATATATACATATATATATGTATATATATATATAAATATATGCTACGGAACTATATAAACTTCACAAGCCACAATCACTTTAAAACTTTTCTTTCAATTGAGATATTTCAAATCTGAGTATATTTCCCTGCTATTTTTTTTTGGAAAACAAAAATAATCCTTCCCTCAATTTTTTTTTCTTTTCCGGTTTTATTCTCGTTATTGCTCCTTTATATATTATGTAAGATTTTTTGTGAGGGGTGACTTTTGGCGCCTATTTTGGCATTTTTATGGCGCCTAAAATAGAAATTAATATTCTGTGAGAACATGTAAGAGATATTAATGTGGGGAAACAAAGTGTAATTAAATAGGAATTAAGAAAAAAAGTAATAAATAAATTGAGAGTAAATAAACGGATAATTAGAAATAATTTACATTAATTTGGTAGTTTTAAAAAAAGATTTGCGGTTTTTTCCTAATTCTAAAGCATTGAAATACGGTAATTAGTGCGAATTAATAAGAAAAGAAATAAAAGGGAGAATTTAAAAAGAAGAGAAATAGTTAATTTTTCACATCATTCTGAAGGCAGTTTTGAGCAATGAAAAGAAGAACATCTCCAACAAGAAAGAGAGGAAATGAGTGGCCAGGATTGACTGATGATGAAATTGAGGAAATAAGAAAGACCTTTAATTTATTTGATACTGATGGCTCTGGTACAATTGACCCAAAAGAAATGAAAGCAGCTATGCAAAGTTTGGGATTTGAGAGCCAGAATCCAACAATGTATCAATTAATTGCAGATTTGGATAGGGAAGGGTCATCAGCCATAGATTTTGAAGAATTTTTGGATGCAATTGCTTCAAAGCTTGGTGATAAAGATAGTAGAGAAGGGATTCAGAAGATATTTGCCATGTTTGATGATGATAAAACTGGGAGTATTACTTTAAAAAACTTAAAGAGAGTTGCACATGAACTTGGAGAAACAATGACAGATGATGAGCTAAGAGAAATGATCGAAAGGGCAGATAGTAATGGAGACGGTGAAATTAGCTTTGAAGATTTCTATAGTATCATGACTAGAAAAACTTTTGTATAAATTAAAACTTGAAAAATAGTAATATTAGTAATGGAGTTTTTATGTTCAAATTCTAATTGGTTAATTTCATAATTTATTTTTTTGAGTCACTAGAGGTTTGAGTATCTAAATATTTAGTCAGTATCTTAGGGACTTCTTCTTGTACTGAAATACTATTATCCCATAGAAATGAAAGTAAGTGTATTATTATTGAGAATATAGAGACTCCAAAAAAGCTATATATAAGAACTTGATTAGGTATCAATTTATAATTAAGTTTTGTATTAGATGCTAGAAGGAATATATAGTAAAGATCAGATTTGAAAAGCCAAGAATTGGATAAATTTGTAATGTAGATAATATTAGATATTGGAATTAGAACTATACCAATTATGAAAATGATGGAATTCATTGGTGTTTGTGATTTGATTAATACATGTATTGGTAAACAATAACATACTTTTTTAGCCATTACATTCCAAGTATAACATATACATGATCCAATATATACAGGTAATACTAGTGAGAATGCTATGAAAACCATATTAATAAATTGATTACCAGTATAATTTGGAGGGTTTTTAAGAACAATATGAATGATTAATGTTGCATATATGGATACAGTTAATAGTAAAGTGAAGAACATAAGTGTTAATTTAGTGACAATGAAAATGATATTTTGTCCTTTGGTCCTGAATCTTTCTTCTAAATTTTCAAAATATGAACTTAGTGCTAAAACCTCACTTTTATATTTGTATATCTTTTGTTTAATAACCCTATTTCCGTGCCATGTTCTAAAATATGTATTGATATAGAATTCTGACTCAAGTCCTTTAGAACTTTCATCGTACCTTCTTTTTAAATCTTCTCCTTTATTAGACAATGCCTGAGAAATTAGATATATTTCCTGCTTTTTTTTCTGATATAAGTGAATATCAATAGGTTTTGGTCTCTTAATGATGGAGAACAAATAATTAATTGGAATCAAAACACTTCCAACTCCAATAAATAAAATATTAAAAGCATAGCCAATAAATAATAGTAATCCAGCTGTAGCTATTGAGAATGTACCATTCAGAATTATGTCACTTCCAGTACAATCAGTTTCGTTGATATATCCCATTATTGATAACCTTGTACATGTTTCTTTTGAAATTCTTCCTAAATTAATCTCTCTGAAAATCCCATAATTTCCTCCAATAAAAATCCAACAAGCCAAAGTAGATAGGAATGAAGCTAAATATGGAGTGTAAGATCTATTTAATCCAATTTTGGTATCAAATTGAGTTTCGTAGTAAAATATTGAGAAAGGTATAACCAATGAAGTGAAAAAAATGTTCAGATACATTATTGTCATAAAAAACGCTCTAATACTAACTGTTCTAACTTCTTGGGATCCTATAATTGGATACTCATTTATAATATTTACTGGAACCAACATAAAATTTACCCATATTAGCTGTAATCCCAAAATTGCAACTATTCTAGTTACCAGAGCTTGATTAAAAAATCCTAAAAAATTAGGTAAGATCTAGTGAGAAAAAACAAACAGGGAAACTTCTAAATAATCGACTTACCTTTTGAATCTTCAGGATCCTCAAATATATATATTAATCTTAGATTAATAAAAAAAGCGATCAAATTGTAAAAAATAATAAAACAAATCAAAATAAAATCCATAAATAATATTTCATATCCTATTTAAAATAGATTCAATTAATTTATTTACAACTTCCTGTTATTTGTGTATTTTTTTCACTTTTTCAGTTTGATCCATTTAGCAATTTCTTTTAATATTAACTACGTCATAAAGGAATTTTGGCGCCTAAAAAAAATTCATGAACTCTATACCGGTATTCATGCAATTTGTAAAATTTATTTTTATAAATGAAATTTATTTACCCACATTAATCACACGTAAGTGTAATAATTAAATTAATCATTTAAATTAAAAAAGGTAATTAAGGATTTTTAGCTGAATTTCCTTATTTTTTCCTTTATTCTTCCCACCTGATTCGTTACAAAGGCCTGAACAATATGTTTAGGGACTGAATAAGTAAGTTGATTAGTCTATTTTAAGTCAATGGTAGTATTGGTTAGCATCCAAAAATTTGATGACTAGATTAAGCAAAAAAGGAAGAGTAAGAAATGATGTTCGTGAAAGCGAATATGATAATGAGGAAGAAAGTATTATTAAAAATAATCAAGAATCTGAACAACTTGGAAATGGTACACTAATTTCAATAGAGCTGGAAAATTGGATGAATATAAAAGGTCCAACAAAGTATTGTTTTAACAATGGAGTCAATATTGTAACAGGATTGAATGGAAGTGGTAAAAGTAGTGTAGCCTGTGGAATTGCTGTTTCGTTGGGATATGATACGCATATATTAGCAAGAGGTCATTACTTATCTTCTTATATTCGCAACGGAAGTACTTCATGTAAACTAAATATAGCATTAAGGAATGTAAAAGAGCAAGAAAATCGTTATGTATCCGAAATTGAAAGAGTTATCACAATTGTAGAGTCAAATAAGACCAATCGGCTAAATTCACAAACGGAAATAAGATCAAGTTGGAAATTGAATGGAAAAAAATGTTTAGAAAGAGACATAATAGCCTTGAGAAAAGGACTAAACATTCAATTGGACAATATGATCGCATTTTTAGCTCAGCAAAGAGTGAGCCAGTTTGCTTCTCAGAGTCCACAAGAGATATTCATTGATATTTTAAGAATAATCTCAAATGATAGTATAAAATCTAGAAATCCACAAAATGAGAACAAAAGGATTGATATCACAGCATGTTGGTCTGAATTTCAGGAGAATAACTTACTAAGTGTATATTATCAATTTTTAGATATTTTCAAAGATTCAAAAGATTGTAAGTTAAGATTCAAAGATAACGAAACAAGATTATCACAATTAAGTAATGAGATATCCAAATCAAAAGAAAATGAAATTAAGTATATACAATATTTGTTACATAAGATGGGAATTTATTTGATTCATTTTTTTCAATCCTTGAATGATATAGCGAATGATAAGGTTAATCTAATAAATTTAAATGAAAGAAAGAAGAAGGTGATAAAAGAACTTACTGAAGCTAAAAAGGAGCTCAGAAAGCAAGAAAGTGAGTCTTCAAAAGTTTTTAAAGAACTTGATTTTGCTAAGAAGAATAACGAGGAATTTTTGAAGAACATTCAGTTTGAAAAGCTGGATAAACAATACAAGTCTTTAATAAATAATTTAGATGGCATAACGAACAAGTTACAAGAGAATTATAGAGATCCAAAGCTTTTATTTGAAAGACATAGAATTAAAATTGTTGCAGTTCAGAACAAGATTACTGATACTGAGAATAAAATTCAGTACTACATTGATCAATTAGAAAAAGAGTGGAAACCAAAGTTAATCAGATGCAAATTATATGAAGAAGATCTTCCTCAAAATTTTGATAAAGTAACTGCTGAAAAGAAGAGAAAGATATTAGGAGAAAGTATAAGTGATATTTCTTCAAAAAAAGTATCTGTACAGAAAAACATTAAAGAATTTGAGTTTATGATATCAAAACTTATTGAAAAGAAAAATTCAATCAAGTCTATCAATTTTTTAAGTAATAGAGAAAATATTCTAAGACAAAAATATCTCAGAAACGTTAACCAAAAAGCCTTATCGGATTCCAGAAGGGAAAATATACTCAATTATTTTCAAAAATTACATGAACATTCTCGGTTTGAGAATTATTTACCTAAAAAGAAAGTGATAGGCCCAATCGGAAGTTATATTTCAGTCAAGAATCTGAAACTCCAAGTATTAGTTGAAGCATTTTTACAACAGTTTCACTATTATTTTGTTTCAGAAAGAGAAGATGTTAAGTTATTAACAGAGAGGTATCGTTTGAATGTTTTAACATTGTCTAACACAAAAACTCCAATATACCCAAAGTTGGATGACGAATTAAGAAGTCTAGGAATTACGGGGTTTTTGCATGAGCACTTGGAATTTGAGGATGAGAATATGAAAAACATACTTTATCAAATTTCAGCACAGTTTTTTACATGTGTTATTATTGATAATCCATCTTTAACAGAAGAAATTCAGGAAGATGAAATTTTGTATAAACTTTCTGATTGGTTCAAAAGAAAATATGATCAGCCTGGAAATAAGGTTTCAAATAATGTCCATTTGTTTATTACAAATCAAAATGCTGAAGATAACATACATTCAAAAAATGGAGTTTTATTTAAAATTATCACATCTATTTATAATCCCAATTCAAAAACTATTTCAATGGTAAATCTTGGAGATAAAATGAATACGATATTATTGGACAAAGAGATAATAAAAGAGGAGAATTTTGAGATGGATCAAATTAATCAACAGGAAAAATCTATTCAGAAGGAAATTGAACAATTAGAATTAAAAATCCAAGAATCTAATAAAAAACTTGTAGAATTAAAGGAACAGTATGATGGAGAAATTATGCTACTAAATATGATTACTGAGTGTATAAGTAATATTCCTTCACTTTATGAAATGATATCAAAATTGAAGAAACAATTAAATTCTCTTGAAAAAGATTTGAAAGAAAATACTTTAAATGAGTCTGAAATTAAGAGTAAGAACCAGAAACTCATTAGATCTGCATTTATGGGTCAAGATCCAATGGATTCATCGGAATTTGATACTTTCCAAACTAGTATATTTAAAGAGTTAAGCAAAGTTAAAATACTATTTGAAGAAATTTCCACTCATGATTTTTTAAAGAATAAAGAATTAAGTGGAAAGGTTTTTGAATTAAGTACTAACTATTCCTCCATTCAGAAAAAAATTACTCAAAACAAGGATGAAATACGACAGTTTGAACTGAAATTGAATCAAGTTAATGGAGATTATGATAAGATTATATCCACTTTGGAAATGAAGAGAAAAGCTTCAATAGATTCTTATCTACAATATTATTCAACGTATTGTCAGTACTATAAGAGACTGAAATATAATGAATTCAATAAAGATTCTAATCATAACTCGGATAAAACAATTTATGAGTTTTTTTATAAGGCTAATAGATTTGAGAATAATGAGTCCAAGGACCAATATGATACTATTAACGGCTTGGATGATGATCAAAGTATTATAAATGTACCCGGTGTTGAATTCTTTTCATCAATAATAAGTGGTAATAAACCCTTAACAAGTAATGGTGAGAAAATACCTTCTTATTGTATAGAAATGATGAACCAGGTATCATCTGAATTTGGACTCGTTAAATGTGATCATTCACAATTTGAGGAAATACTTAATAATACATTCAGAAATTCATTAAGCTCAAGTAATAATAATATTCAATTGGTTGGTGAAAGAAAGGAAATGGAGGTGGATAATACAGAAAATGAGGCTAATGTAGGAAGAAAGGGCTTTAAAAAGGTTTCAAAAAGTAATCATTCTAAGAATTTGACTTTATTTGATATTTTACTTGAAAATGAAGAGTATAATACAAAATATAACAATTTATTTAACATAATAACCGGTTTGGAAGCTAAAACTCACAATACAAATCTAGAGAGAATGGCTGATTTAGAGCAGGAATTTGAGATTTTGAGTAAGGAAAACCAAGATTTGAATAAAAGGATTAGTGAATATGAAGAATTTATTGGAAAAAACTATAACAAATGGCTTGAAAAATTGAAAATAATAGAAGATGTAACTTCACATTGCTTTGGAGTTTTTATGAGATTTATTGATGATAGACATAATGGAAAGATTATAATTCCTTTTATTAACAATTTTATGTTATTTATGAGTAATACAATGGATACAAACAATGAAGCAATATTTAATTACCTTGTTGAAAATTTTGAAAATGATTCCAAATTAAATATAATGGTCAGATTTAGTCCTGATGAAGATCTTAGATTGTTTTCCTCAAACTCTATTTCTGGAGGTGAACAATCTCTTTGTACTATTTTGTTTATACTATCTTTACAGGTAAGTTAAATATGATAAAAAAAATTGAAGATATTTGAAAATTAATTCTTAAAAAATTTCCGTATATAGGCATTATGTAATGGCAATTCATTCAAGTTATTTGATGAAATAAACCAAGGATTAGATAACTCACGAGAAATAAAATTAATGGAACTTTTGGATATATTAACAAATAAAGAGAAAACTAAAAAGTTATTAAAAGTTAAAGAATCAGAAATTAATTACAAAAAAATAGAGGAAAAGATAGAAAAATCAATTAATTACAAAGAAAGTCAAATAATTATAATCACTCCACATATTTTTCCAGGAGTAATATTTGAAAATTTTTCAATACACTTTGTATTGAATGGTCCAGGTTTTATAGTTAATTAAATTTGGATATGAATTAAGTTTAACTTATTCAAGAAACTTTTGGATAAATCTATACCAATTTATATTGTCTTGTATTCTTAAAATAATAAATCCAATAGAACCAAATCTCCAAGTCAAATTTAAAGCAAAAGAAATTCTTCTAATTAAACTGGCTAGTTTAGGAGGGTCAATATTTCCATTAAGATGATTGTGATTACCAATTCCAACACAAAAGTAAATATCAATAAAATTTCCTTTAAATGATTTTTGTGAAGATTCAAGTTCTTGTTGATTAACTTCAAAATTACTACTATTTTTTGAGAATACTTTCTCTAAGTCAGTTTGAAATCTATACTTGAGGATCATGATAATACTAAAAATAACTAAACTGATTGCTTCATTTCTATTAAAGTTATGTAAATCAATTACAACTTTAGAATCATGATTCGATTTGGTTGAAAAGAAATCAATAAAGGAGCTATTTTGGGAGTTAAAAACAAGATTAAAGAGACTTTTTTGAAGATTTAATCTTTCTATTTTAATTGACTGAATCTTTTTTTTAAATTCTTGAATTTTAATTGACTTATATTCACTAATATTTGATTGATTTATAATTCGATTAAGCTCAGAATGTTTTAATTCCAAAGATAAATTCAAATCCCGAATTTGATTTTGCATAAATTCTATTTGCTCTATACTTTCCTTACTTTTCGAATTAATATTTATTTCTTTAATTGGTATTAAACTCGACTCATTTCCAGGTCCCTCAGGAGGCCATTTCTTATTTTTGCTTTCTTTAACTTTGAATAGTCTTGGAGAATTGAAAATTCGGTTTAAAATATTACTAAACATATTCATTTCATGGCTAATTAACTCACTTTGAATTTGAAAGATATTCCAAGGTCTTTTTTTTAGTATAAGTAGTTCTCTTTGTAAATTAGTGTTTTTTAAAGAATTAAGGTTATTATTAGTAATTTGCTTATTTTGTGAACATACTGATAAATATGACATCTTATTATCCTGATCAAAAAATTCATTTTCGTAAAAATCCAATCCATGATTTTGAATCTGATTAAAGTAAACATTTAAATTTAAGTATCTATTAAAATTTATATTATTGTCTAAATCCAGATTATATCGGTCAAAGTCACAAGAATTTGAAGATTCTTGAAAATGAATATATTCGCTATTGTAACTTTCTTTAATTGAAATTTCAGATAATTTCTCATATAAGTGATTACAAATTTCAATCATTTCATTTTCATAACTATTACCTTTAGCATGATTAGACTTTTTACATAGTTTAAGGTTTTCCTTAACTAAATAATCAAAAATATCTCCTATGATCACATCAGGAATATCACTAAAAATCTCAGACATATGCTTAATTACACTGTCACGAGTATACAATTTCATTTTTATATTTGATTGATTACTTTCTTAAAGTAATACAAACTTATTAAAAATCAATAAATTCTCAAAGTATAATTTATATTCGGAGGAACCCAACTCAAATAGGCCTCAAAATTTATATAAATTCTCATTTACTATTCTTTTCATTTTAAAAATGGTTAGTTTCCATTTTTATTTATTTTTTTTTTATTTGAAATCTCTAACAAATTAAATTACCCGCCCAAAAGTTGTCTGGTATGTGTAAAAAATGTGTGTAATGGTAGAAATTGACATTTTTGACTAAAGGAAACTGAAAAAAAAAAAATTTGTTAACTTAAATGTTTAAAAATTTAGTTTTAATTTATTAAATACTAATATTAATAATAATAAATTATCTTAATTGATTATATTATTTTAATATTTATCTTAAACTAATATTACTCATTTATTACGTGTATTTACAAACACCGGTATATTGCAAGTAAAAATTGCGTGTAATAACTTACGTGGCACAATTTGACAGTTTTTTTAGCAGTAAATAATTTATTTAATTTAATTGGCAATTATAATTAGAATAAAGGAGTTATTTAATTTTTGAATTATATTTAAGTGCCAAAAATAAGATATATCAAATATGTCAATGGTAACGATGGAATTATATTAACCTGATCAAAAATTTCAATATTAAAAAATAATTTAAACTCAATTAATTTAAAATATGTTAATAACAAAGTTATTTAAAAAAAAATCGGGGAGTTCATTGAACTCTTTAGAAAATGTGAATTCTAAGATTGATCACTTATTTGAACTTAAAAAAATGGTAATGGAAAAGTATAAAAGTATGATGAAATTAAAAAAAAACGAACAAGATCAAATGGAAAGTAGAATTTTAATAGAGTCATCTTTCATTAATGATTCTTGTTTTTTGCCTCCACTTATAACTAATAAGAAAACAGGAACCAAAATTACAAAATTAACAAAGTTAGATCATAACCAAGTACAATTCTTGTTATTAATGATCCTGTACAATCAGCCACTATCATTTCAGGAAAATATAATTGAAAGGAATAATGAAATTTGTTTGAAGGGACAATATATATTAATAGTAGAGCAAATGGTAAAAAGTTTATTATTATCAAAGAAACAGAAAAAAATGGTAGTCAGATGGAAAAAGTTAAATAGTAGCGTAGAATTATTTCCAAATAATCATTTTTTACATTTTACCTCAAGTAATATAATACAAGGATTTATTGGGGATTGCTCATTTATTGTCGTATTATCTTTATTATTGGAACATGAAAAGAAATTTGATTCTAATTTATTATCAAGTATAATAAGTCCAATCCAATTCTCAATCAAAAATCAAAATCAAAGTAGTCATCATATTGATAATCAATCAATTCATTGTACCAATAATTTCAATGAATTGGATGATTTATTGTATCTTTATACATGCAAGTTACTAATTAATGGAGTTTGGAGAAATATTTTTGTGGATAGTTTAATTCCACTTGATTCTCAAAATAATTGCTTATTATCTCATTTTGATAATAATAAATACTATGGAATAACATTAATAGAAAAAGCATATTTAAAAGTAATGGCAAATAGGTATGATTCTATTGAGAGTAATCCTTCAATAGATTTATATTATTTAACAGGATGGATACCTGAAACTATTTCTATTAAGTCAAAGTATGAAAAAAAAAATAAAAACTATTTTTTAAAGTTATGGAATCGTATTAAAAAACCAATAAAAAATGGATATTGCTTGATGGCTTTAGGTACAAATGAAATTAATTCAAATACTGAAAATCTTACCAGATTAAATGCTACTGAGTCTGAAAGCTATCAAAATCAATTAGTTTATAAGTTTGGCAATGAAATTGATGATAATTCCCAGTCAGAATATAAGTTTATTACAAAAGAGGAGATTTCTAAAAAGACTGGATTAGTAACAAAACATGCATATCAAGTTTTAAGAATTGTTGAATTAGTGAATCAAGAAAATAATTCTATTTGGAGATTATTGTTATTGAGAAATCCATGGGGAAAAATTAGTTGGAAAGGTAAATTCTCAAAATATGATATAGAAACATGGAATAAAGAACTTGAAGAAATATTGGAAAATGAATTTACATACAAAGTTAATCATGATAATGGAATTTTTTGGATTGAATGGAGTGATATATTAAAATGGTTTTCACATATATATTTAGCTTGGGATCCAGAAAAAATATCAAAGTATTTAAAAAAGGTTCATGGCAAATGGTCACCATGTTCACATAATTCAATATTAAAAGATGATTTACATTTATTATATTTTTATCCTCAGTATAAGTTATCTATTGATTGTAAGTTATTAAACAAGTTAAAGATGAATAATTGTAATTTATTTGATGAAAAGGAAGATCAAAGTTCAGATTTTAATAAAATTAATCAAAAATTAACTCAATTAAACATAAATTACTCAAAAAAACTAAAATTAAAATTTGATTCAAATAATTATCATGAAATTGATGATCATTCAAAAAATAACTTGTTTTCGAAAATTTGGAAAAAATCTGATGTTTTTGATCATGAAAATTTTAGTCATATTGGAGATATTTGGATTGTTTTGAATAGACATATAGATTATTTGAGAATGGATGAATTTGATAATTATAATCAATCAAATACAAATAATATACCTTTTATGTCAATAAGCATATTTAGGGGGAGAAATAGAATAATCACTCAAGAGAGATTGCCAATAATACAAGGAATATATAGTAATGGTAATGTAATTATGTTTAAAACAAACATTTTTCAATTATTGAGAGAATATGATCATTTTGACTTACAAGAAGATAAAGATTTTATATTAGTAATTACTCAATATCAAAGTAATAAAAGTTTTAATTATACATTAAATATATATAGTAATGTTGAAATAAATATTAAGTTATTGGATAGTTATTTTCAGAACATTATGAATCCTATTTATAATAATAATTATAATAATTATTCTTTTACAGAAATTAATGGTAAAATTTTGAACTGTAATTTCAGTGAAAAATATTATATTAGTTTATTAAAAAATTCAAAATTAAAATTGACTCCTGCTGTAAGAAATAAGCAGTTTAATTCTCATAATATTGCAAGTAAAGTAAATATTTTTAATTCATCCAGAGCAGAGTTTCAAGATGAACAATTTAGACTTTTAATATTATTAGAGATAAAGGAAAAGTGTAGTAACTTTAAGTTACGACTTTTTCCAGAGACATTTGATGAACAAGATAAAATCATCAAATTAAGTTCTAGTAATGATTCATATAATAATAGTAATTGCAAATATATTACGTCAATATGTAATATTGGGAATTATTTTATTCTGATTGATTTTAAAGAGAAACAACAAGATTTTATTAAAGGTAACTTTTTTAAACTTGTCATTTATTATCAAAAAATTTAAATGTATAAACTTAATTTTCCTACTTTTTATTAATCATAATTTATTTTTCCAGACCTAATATACTTTAAAAATTGATTTTTTTTGCAAGATAGAAATGCATGCATACATGCAAAAAATGACGTGTAAATTAGTCATAATTAAAATAAAAAAGTAATGCTATAACTATTAGGTTTTGTTCATAAAATTTAATATAATATTTTGGTTTTTTTTTCCTAAGAAAACATAATAGTAAATATAAAATTTTTAAGTAAAAAATTGGTAGGTTTATTAAAATATTGATAAAGAGATCATGTAGGAATCGGTTCCGTAACTTCTACAGCAACATTATCGGGTCTTATATCAGAAGGGGAAGCAATTAAAGTCGGATATTTTGCAGAAATCTGTCTTCGAGATTCCTGACAAATTCTATTTACAACTTCAGTTACAACACTACTTCCAAGTACAAATGCAGATTTTCCATAAGAATTAGAAACTGTTGAACATATTGAATTAAATTGGTCATGACAATTAGTACCAGTACATACATTATTATTAATATATAGTGATCCAGAATTTACAAGTTCAACAAAAAAATTAACGCAAACTTGCAGAAAAGACTCGTTGAATAAAACTTCCAAAGACGGAACATTGAACTTCTTTTTAGAAGGAATTGTCATTCCAAATTTTGTCATTTCTTCTTGAATTAAAGTATTTATTACATTACTATCTAGCCATGTTTCAAAAGATAACAAGAATTTAGTACACTTTGAATAGTTTGTTTCTCTGTATCCAAGATCTAAATATGGATTACTTGTGAATATACAAATTCCAAGGTTATTATTTGAAGATTCTTTTTGCATTATATCTTTAATATCTTTATTAATTTGTTCTAATGATGGTTTTTGAAAAACTTCACTAAGAAATGAAGTTCCTGTAGTTGCAACACCTACAGTTTGTGTTGGATTTACTGTACTAATAGTACTAGTACTAGTACTAGTGCTAGTAATAGCGATTGTTGTGGCTTGAGTGGTGGTAGTGGTTGTTGTAAGAACTATAGTAGAATTCGATGAACTCTGAGTAGGAACTAATCCAATATTTGCTAATATGTTTGAATCAAGTGTACCAAATACATTATTTCTTAACCCATTGATTAAATCTATCAAAATAGTACATTCAATTAAAAATAGTAATATTAACAATTTTGTAGTTATATTCGTGAAATATTTCATTCTTCTGATAAGTTATAAAAGAGAAAATGTCTATCCAAAACTTTAATTATCATAAATAAAATTATATTATTCAATTTTTTTTTCTTTTTAAAATTGTTACAACTATTTAAATTTTCTGTGTGTGCAAATCATATTTAATATTGATATTCACATCCATTTACTTCCTAGAATAAAATATACCATAATATACTTTTATCTTTGAATATTCTTTATTAAAATGAATTATCTCACAAATTTTATCATTCATTTAGTAACTTAGATTTTTTTTTTCAAATATTAAATGACTTAGGATTGTAATTATATTCCTTGCTATATCTCCTCATTCTATATTTACCTTTTTCTGTTTTTTTTTACTGAGTATAATTTCCATAATTGTAATCCAATCCTCTAATATCAGAAATATTATTCCCATTCATATGAATCTGACCCTGCTGGCTTTGTTGATCCTGAATATTAATTCCAGCTCTATATCCTCCTCCTCCTCCTCCTCCTCCTCCTCCTCCTCCACCAATGTTAATTTGATTATGATCTTGAATATGATGGTATTGACTTCCGTAATACTGAGAACCAGTAACTTCTCCACTATAGCCACTTTCTGTTATATATCTATCAATATTCCCTACATTCACAACTCCTCCTTTTTGTCCTTGAAAATTTTGCATTAAATAACTTGTATGTCCCGCCGGCGCCAAATCTGTTTGTGTCTGTGTGTGATATTGGTCATGATTATTTTGATGGTTTGAAAGAATATGATTATCAACTAAAGCTAAATTTCCTCTTCCTCCTGCTGTTTGAACTCTTCCTGTCATATTACCTCCTTGTAAACTTCCAGATGCTCCCGTTACAGGATGAGCACTACCTCCAGTTGTATGGACTGGTCTAATATTAACGTTGTTTGTATTATAATGTAGCAAATTTTGATTTTGAGAATATCTTTGCTGCTGGTATTGGCTCTGTTGTGTCTGATGTCTTTGGCTGTAGAATTGTTGTTGATGTTGATGTTGTTGTTGATGTTGTTGTTTTTGATATTGGGGATGTTGTTGAGAATTTTGTTGTTGTTTGGGATATTGGTAATGCTGACTGTGAATATTGGTAGAAGAGTAAATGTTACCCGCTCCAATTTCAAAATTATTGTTACTTACAGGGTATAGATGCTGTGAGTGTCCTAAATTATTACCATTTAAGGTGCCACTATGGCTAGTAGTACTAATTCCTGTTGCTCCTCCAAAATTATTCAATTCTTGGCTTCTGCTGTATCCAGAATTCATAATAACTTCGTTAGAATTGTTTTGCTGGTACTGTCTACCTTGATGATTTATATGTTGGAAATTGTTGTTCCGGGGAACATAAGAGTTATTTTGAGAATACATTTGACGATACTGTTGTTGGGAATGGCTTTGGTTTTGGGCACGCTGTTGAAACAACTGAAGTTGTTTTTGGTGTTGTTGATGTTGTTGTTGTTGTTGTTGTTGTTGTTGTTGCTGCTGCTGCTGTTGCTGATGAAATAAATGTTGTTGATGATGCTGCTGCTGAAGTTGGCTTTGGTTGTAATTTTGTTGTTGGAATTGTTGATGTTGGTTTTGATGGTATTGTTGTTGTTGTTGATGTTGCTGGTTTTGGTGATGATTCTGATGCTGATTTTGACGTTGATGTTGGTTCTGGTGGTGTTGTTGATACTGTATCTGCTGAGAACTCAAAACTCGGTGATTTTGGTGTCTTTGGTTGTAGAATTGTTGTTGATGTTGTTGGTATTGCTGATGTTGTTGTTGTTGTTGCTGCTGTTGTTGATGCTGCTGTTGTTGATGCTGCTGGTGTTGGTGTTGGTGTTGGTGTTGGTGTTGGTGTTGTTGGTGTTGTTGGTGTTGTTGGTGTTGTTGGTGTTGGTGCTGTTGCTGTTGTTGCTGTTGATGGAGTTGTTGCTGTTGCTGTATTGATTGATGTTGTTGAAGTTGAAGTAATTGTTGCTGATTTTGTTGATGTTGTTGGTGTTGTTGGCGTTGTTGATGCTGTTGGTGCTGCTGGTGTTGCTGATGTTGGTTTTGCAGATGCTGTTGATGTTGCAGATGTTGTTGATGTTGCTGATGTTGTTGATGTTGCTGTTGAATTTGCTGAATTTGACCACTAGAACTAGCAGAGCTAGTGTTATTGTTACTATTACAATTATTACTGCTACTAATATTGTTGTTGTTGTTGCTACTATTATTGTTATTGCTATAAGGAATTTGCTTTCCGGAAGGAATTGTAAGATACTTGTTTCCATCAATCAAATTATTAACAGAAATTTGGCCAGTTGAATTACTTTTATAGTTTTGTCCACCCCTAATTTGGTTCTGATTTGTAGGAAAATTAATCATTGAATTCATATTTTGGCTTTGATTATTCATGTTTCTAGAATAATTCGCTGTATTAATTACATTACTTGAATTGAATACAGGAGAAGAAAGTGGAGAATTATTCAATGGTAGTGATGTTGTAGAAGCTGATGATAAATAATTCATCTTATTGTCACTAGGTTTCTCTGAACCTGGCTTCTGATTCATATTCACATTCATATTCATTTCAACTCCAATTCCCATACCCAAATTACTAGTACTTTTACTTGGATAGTGATTAGAACTTATACCTTTTGCCAAATTACTCCCAGTTTTTCTTAATTGAGAAGAATCCAGTAACTGTATTGCATTAGGAGAGTGAAACTTTTGTAACTCTTCAAATGGAGAATTAAATAATCTATCCAATAAATTTGACAAAACTGACATATGAGACAAATTTTGTTGCATAAATGATTTAAATATCTGATTTGCTTTACATCCATTAATTTCAATATCTTCTATAGAGTTTACTGGAATATTTCTTACTGAAACATAAATATCAATGTAACAAGACTCTTTAATAAATTCTTCTTTATTTGAATCATTATTTGGTTGTTCATCAACAATTGAAGTAAAGCCATTCAATTCTTTAATCTTATTGTATTTCCATATTCTATATAAAAAGCCTCTTAAACAATATGTCTTCTCCTCTTTATCTATTGGTACTAATAAATCTTCATATTGACAAACTAAATCAATATATATTGGTAATTTTCCTTGTATTGATAAAAGTGGATACTTTAATAGTACAGAAACATCACGTATTACCATTAATGAAGAGCATAAAGCTATTGTAACAATTCTAACCAAAGTACGTGATTGACTTAAATTTCCAAAATATTTTAAAATCTGACCCAATATATCAAATTCACTTGATATTGGACTTGTAAAAAGTTCTAAACTATACGACATGTCCATTATCATTATATGGTCCTTGTTTGTTTCACTTCTTACATAATCTGGAAAACATACAAGAGGAAAAGCCAGGTAAGACATGAATAAATCTTTTTCATCATCCAAGTTACTTTTCTTTATATCTAAATCAACACTTTTAATAGATTCTTCTTTATATTTCTCTAATTCTGAAATTGAATAAAAATTTTCAGAATTGGAAATTTCTTGAAATTCATTGATTCCAAGTTTTTTCCTCTTGATGTATATATTATCATTGTCTTCTCTATCACCATTATAATTATTATTGTTATTATTGTACCAACAAGTGGAATTAAAACTAGAAGAAGACTTAATGCCTGATTTTTCAAAGTTAGTAATATCCATACTGTTTCTTTCATCTAATTCTAACTCTGAAAAACTCCTTTTATTTTCTTTTATAGAGCTGTTTGCATTGTAAGTACTCAAATGAATTTGATTATTACTCAGATTTGTTGTAATAAAAAATGGTACATCATATTCCAAGGGCCAGGTAAAAATTTCATGTTTATTTACATCTTTACCATCTAATTGTTTAAAAAGTTTTCCTATTTCTTCTTTACTGTCTCTACAAACAACTTCATCTTTTAATGTATTACTAATAGTTGAATCAGCCTTATTGCTCTTTTCAGTAAATTCTCTATTAACATTTTCTTTTTTAATTTCCTCTTTTGTTTTAAGTGAATCAATATCAGAATTTCCCATAATATTACTTTTGTTTTCAATAGTCGGTAATTTATAACTAATAAACTCTGGAACTTTGTGATATTTTGAAGGTTTTTCCCATTTTTTATTGAAGCTTAAAATATGTTTTCTATCTACATCAAAAGAAGCCATTTTGTTATAGAACCAAGTAAACTCTATTATAGGTTGTTTAATTGGAAAAGTATCAAACTTTGAAAATTTGATTTTGTTTTGAATATTAGTATTTACACCTCCTTTATTATTACTGAAATTATTATTACTACTGTTTCCTCCTGACCAATTCAGTATTGGCTGTTTTAGTTGAGAAACTGAGGCACTATTACTACCACCCTCAGCATTATTTGCCAAATAACTCATCATATTGTTTAACTTTCTTTGTGTTACTCCTGATGCAATTGAGACATAAAATGATGATGTAAAAAACTGTGATAAAGAACATATAACTTTTTGAAAGAAGTAACCCGGATAATAATATATTTCTCCTTCAGAATTAAAAGTTGATTGGTAATACTGAATATTCCTTTTAATATGTTCAAGTCTGTCATAGTTATTAAGATCATAGATTGATAATAAATACATCCCATGTTGGTCCAATGTCTCAAAATCAATAATTTGACAAGAAACCACACGAATAAATTCACCGAGCAATCTTCTCGTGTGATTTATTACCTCTATTGATTGTTGTGTTGTGTTACCTCCTAACTGAAGATTACGAACATCAAATAAAGTAATCCTTAACTTGTAATGTACTTTTGGATCTAGCTCAAACAAAAACATGATGTGCATTCCTATTTTTCTTAATCCAAAAGATATTAAGAATTTTCCAATCCCATCAATTTTTTTCAAAGATAATGTATTTAAAGAGTCGTAAAGGCCATTAACATCGTTTAGCAGTATTTTCTGAATCTTTGGATTTGATTTAGACTCTATCAATGAAACTGAAACTGAAATCTCATAAGACCTTAACATTCTCCAGAATGCCTTACTTAACATATTTTTATCGTCCTCTCCAAAAGTATCATTATAAAAAGCGTCCTTTAAATCCTTTTGGTATATTTCTTTATGAGAATTTGTCAATAAACTGTCTATTATATCCACTATTACAAATTCCTTACTTTCCAAACTTTTATGACTGGCTTTCAAGTTATCAATGTTTTTATTGCCATTAGAGTCCACATTATTATCATTATGAGCTTCATTGAGATATTCCGCACCTCCTAACCCTCCTATAAAATTAATACCATCAAATTCTCTCTCTTTTTCATTTTCCATCTTTGATGGATTTTCACTATTTGCATAGCCAATTTGATCATCTCTAGATGTACCAATTAACTGTATCTTAACTAAGCTTCCTTTGTAATTGAGCCTCTGAAACAATTTATTACTCAAAGAATCACCAAATAAAACTGACCATGGAATAATTTCCAGCTCTATTTCCCATGGTAAAATTCTTCTTAAAACAAAATCTTTTCTAGAAACAATTTCATTAATAGCCTTTCTAGAATAATTTGGTTTCGAATAATATGCCATATATATCGTCTCTAATGATTTATGCAAAAATCTTAAAATACGATACCAATAGTCAATAAAAAGTTTCATAAATCCTTCTTCAGCCAAAGCATTATTACAAATAGTTAAGGAAATTGTTTCAACAAGTCTCCATTCTTTTGGTATCATTAATTTTTTGCTATATTCCTCCTCACAGACAGAAAATTCCATCTTGTAATTTTCATCAAATAATAATACTTCATTTTCACTATTCAAGCTACATATTAATGGAACAGGAACTTCACCGTCAATAAATAATGTCAAATTACCTCTCTTTTGATTAGTTTCCATAATAAATCTATAAAATAAATTCTCTTCTTTCTGAATGCCAGTATAACCCTTTGATCTGTTTAAAATAGGAAGCTTTCCAGAACCGATCTTACAGACTTGTATTTTAAATTGAATTCTATCTGAATAAAGTCCTTCTTGTAGTCCCAACAAATACTGGTCTTTTTCAAAATCTTTATATGGTTGAAAAAATAAACGGTACTCTTTAATACCCAAACAAAAACTAGAACTTTTTAATTCAAGTTGACCATTTTTGTTTAATCGAGAATATAACTTAAATGGAAAATAACCGTCATTCGACGATTCTTGCAATGATTCTAGTAACTCTATAATTTCACCATGCTTTGCCTCAAAACTCCCAGAATAAAAGTCTAAAACTTCTCCAACATTCTTTTTAACTTCAATTTCATCAAAACCCACATACTTCAATACACAATCTTTATCATCTGCATTGCCTGCATGCAATTTGCCTCCCACTTGCAAATTTGGCACATGCAATTTGGCAGTTTTGCCGCTCAACGTGTCGTCGGCGCCTGAACTTAACAAATCATTTTTTGAAGGGGAATTAAAATTAATGTCAAATTCTGCAAGAATAACTTTTCCCTTATAGTAATCGCTTCTGTTACTATTTTCAAAGTTATGATTCCCCAAAAATTTATATATTCTGTTATTAATGGAAAGTTCTTTATCAATTTCTGGAGTATAATGACAATTCTTTGTAAAGAACACTTTTAATGCTTGAATCACACAAAATTCCGTATCTATTTGAACGTAAATAATTCTTGAATTATCAGGGCGCTTCTTTGGATAGAAAAAATAGTCAAACTCTTTTTTCTCCATCAAAATATCTGTATAAGAAATTTTCTGAGTGGGTTTTGACATGCAATTTGTCATTGTTAAAACATTGTCTATTACAGTGTTAACAATAACACTGGAACCACTTGCAGTTGAATTAATTAGAAGCCCGTCGAATTTATTCATCCTTCTCTCATCCTCATTTTCCTGTTCGTCTTTAATTTTAGAAAATTCTTTCATCTTCAGTTTTCTTTCCGTTAGAATGGACTCTTGTATAGGTGTGGGGATACTGCATATTGGCCTCCAGCCGTAGTTAGATGAAAATTCATCTCTAATTATTTGGAATTTAGTTAAATTAAGTAAACATGGCAACAATTGAAATAATGAGTTTGTATTGCTTTGTAAAGCTTTTTGCAAATTTTCATAATAAGTTGGATAGTTTTTCCAGATTGAGTTATTACCCGAACTTGAATCTCTAATTAATAGAGAGCCTGTAAATATATCCATACTAACAACATATTCATTATAGTCTAAAAGACGTATAGTAATTGAGTATTTATCTTTCTCAATAATTGCATTCTTCGCTAAATACTTTTGTAACTTTAGTGAGTATAATTCAAGTAAATAACATCTTAAAACATTTGAAACATGATTTAAGATTTTTGAAAGGTCCAATATGTTATTATAATTTGTCTTCTCCCAGTTACATAAATATAACCAACTTTCATCCTCACTTATTATGTCAAGTACCAAATTAACATCTTCTGAAAGCTCGCTCTTATGTTGGAATAAAAGGGAAAATGGCCATAAAATACATTTAATATCTCCATTTGGCACCATTAGAAATCTTAATATTATGTCTTTACCATTCTTACCGTATTTCATACTCCTTATAATAGCTTGGCCTGGGTTGGTCTTACTTGAACCTATACCAGTTAAAGAATATTTTGAAAAGTCAAAATTACCTTTTTTATCACCCAAATTTGTCAAATTCGTTATGTCTACATTCTTGTATAAATAGATGTCGATGTACTTATAAATCTCATTATTATATTTATATTCATTTCTTTCGGAATGGTAAATACCTGCAATACCTCGATCTTTAATACTTAGAATTGATTGCTCCAAAAACATTTCCAGGATAACATCTCCTGTAATAATATTAGATGTCTTGTACAATTCTCCTAAAACATCAATCTTTTGCTCATAATCTTTTACATCTGCAAATTTATCAACTTTTTCCCTTAAATTTGTGTTATCCAAATCTCTCTCAGAGCCTTTCTGTTCCGTTTTTATGGTATCCTGAATTGGTTCAATAATTTCATCCTCTCTGCAATTAAACATATAGTAAATCCTTGCTTGTAAAATCTCTTTAAAAGATAAATTCTGTTCTTTAGTCACAGTATATAAACTCAAAATCTCCGGTATCGTTATCTTAGCATCAATTACCTGCCACTGTTTCAAATCAGAAATCAAAGTCAAAGAGAATCTAGACTTCTTTTCCAAAATAATTCTTCCCTTGATTACATCGAAATGAATTATTTTCGACTTAACAATACCAGAATTTGCATATTTGATAAAGAATTCATCCCTAAGCTGCCTCTCAATTAGTTTTTCCTGCATCTCACTCATCTTTGGTACAATAACAGGCTTTCCATGCTGAGATACTAACTCCTCTAGTAAATTTGGCATTTGACAAAAATCTTTAAGTAATATCATATCCATTGCAGCAGTTACATTTGGGCTCGGAGTGCCAACCATTGTTAGTGCAGGGTAAAAATCATATGCAAGCCTTCTCTGCTTAAACCTCATTGACACCAAACTTTCTCTAAGCTGAATTGTTCGGTTAATATCCTCTACTATTCTGCTTAAACTACCAATTGCTAGCATCCTTAAAAAAACTTCCCTAACTTCCGCTGAATACTCCCATAGACAAGTTTTTGCTTCTTCTTGCACATTTGGGTCGCTCGTAAAACGTCCCAATAAATCCAAAAATTCACTATAGCTGTGTTCTACTAACTGACGAGAAAGATGGCCATAAGAAATCGGGGCAAATGATTTCTGAAACTCCTCTGTTTCTTCATTTGTCAGCCTCATCTTCAACTATTTCGTAAATTTCTTCCTCCTATTTCCTTTTCCTTGCCCCATACAATTCTCTTATCCAAGTTTTCACTGCTTGACTTTCCTACATTTTGGCGCCATTTCCCCACCAATATATTAAGCCCAAAAAATATATTTTAAATGTTAATAAACAAATTTGGGAAAAACTAAACTCAAATTTGGTACAATATGCTAGAAAATAAAGACATTTGTAAGCTCTCAAGTATTTTTGTTGTGTTTTAGGTTTTTCCCCAAAGTACTTGAAAAAGAGCTGTCTTCTAAGACCTTTTCCCTACTCATTTCTAATGTTAAACTGTAGAATCAACATTGGCAAAGAATAAATTTGAGTGAGAACAAAATCTCTATTAATTCAAATTAAAATTAAGCTAATGGTAAACTAAATTATTAAAACTATTAAAATATAGGGCATTAGGCCAATTCTTTAGTTCTTATATATATACAATATGCTAAACTGAAACAAAGTTGGTTCATTCTTGCAATGTAGATTTTATTAATCTGACTAGCCACTCTTCAATCCCTACAATACAGTCAATTTCAAATCTTTTTTGGTCTTCCTGCATCTGCTGGCAGACTAAGTTCCACTCTAATTTTGACTCTTCCGATATTTCTTTTGAACTTATTAATCTGTTTCTGGTGTTAACTATCCTTGAAATTTCGTCTTCTGTCATATTAAAAACATTATCGTTTGTTATAAGCTTACTCTCTATTAACTTTGACACTGGGGGAACTCTAATTGGCAAAAGTTTTGAGATGTTAAAACTCGAATCGTACCAAGTATCTGATTTTCCCCCCATTACATATGTTGCTGCAATTGAAAGCCCAAAGCAATCGTAATCACATAAAATCCAAAACTTGGTATCCTCTGGAAGATCTTGACTTAGTCTGTATAGTAATGTCCTAGTAGGTAGGTCGGAAAACCCCCTGGCTGTAATCAAAATACAAGAATTATCAAATTCTTTGTGAAATCCAAACTCTAAAAGTCTCTGAAAAATTGTATCCTTCTCAACTACCAAAACAAACTTGATTTTTGAGTAGTAAGTAAACTTTAATCCATTCATCCTTTTAAATAAATATGGGCTTATAGAATGCCCCATACTTTCGAAAACTGACATACAATCCAGTCTCACTTCTCTTCTTTCACTTCTTCCAGCACTAAGTCCAAATTCAGATCCCTGAATAACCAAAGGACCTCTTATTCTTCCTCTAGCTGTGGAAACCACATTTAAAAGCTCTCTAGGAGTATGTACCAGATGTGTTACTTGAGCTATATATTTGTCCGAAATACTTTGTTTTGTATATAAACTTGGGTTGTTATAATAAATATCCCTTAAAGTTGAATGGAAACCTTCTTTAACATTCCTGTGGAGAATATTCATAACTGAAACTAGGCAAGTTGAACTATAAATTTGACCCCTCTTGTTTCCATCAATCAACTCTCTTAGTACGTCACAGACTGACCTTTCCAGTCTACTTATAATACCCTTCTCGTCACTATCCAAAATGCTCAACTTGCCCATGCTTTCCTCTTTTTCAAACAAATTTCTCCATTCTTTTACCATTATAACTTTATTAGTTTACACTTTTTTCTCTTTCTTCGTACAAATTTATCCCATTCTTTAGTTATGCTAAGTTTTATTTACTGTTTATCAAATGAAAAAAGAGCCAAATCCCTGTTTATGCCTTTCTTTTAAAAAATTTAACACTACAGCTTCCTGGATTTCTTCCTAGTTTTATCAATTCCTTTACAATTTTTTCCTAACACCTCCATTTTGTAATTTTTTCCCATTGGTTCCCCTTGCATGCAAAACTCCTCATTAATAAAAATTGGTACACCAAAAGTTGGCGCCTAAATGTCACTCGACGTTAAATACTGTCAACCTTGGCAATTTAAATACCGACTGCATTTTAGAGGTAAAAAATTAGTACAAAATTGGAACCTGGTAAAAAGTTGAAAGCTTTGAATACTTTTTAGTGAAATTGTTAAGTCAAGCCCTGTTTATCTAGTGTTATATTTGTAATTTTCTGGAATAAGGTAATTAATTATCGTGATATTAATTTGAAGAGAAGATTTGGTATAAATTAGCACTTGAAGTCAATTTTTTAGTTGGAAAAGTGTCACTTTTGGAATTGAATTAAACTGTTAATTGTTAAGTTAGTAGGACTTCCTATAAATCTTTTACTGTAATAGAACAAGTTTTACTTTATCTTTGTTATTTACAGAATTTTTGAATGCCTATAATTAACATAGCTTTATCGCATTCTTCAGACAAATTGGTTCTGAAATTCAATTATAGAAAAGCGTTCTCAAGCAACAGAGTGCGGAAATAGAAGTCAAATCCAAGAGTGAAGTAGTAATTACTATCTTTTTTTACTCTTAAGAATCATATGTGGCAAAACATTTCAAATAATTCCTTTACAAACTCATGTCTTCACAGACTTGATGATTATTTCCACCATGGAAGTTCGCCAGGCTCACCACAGATTATTCAAAGTGACACTATCCAAAGTGATTTTGGAGCAAATGCTTTAAATAAGACATGTTCTTTTCCAATCAACACGCAGTTTTATCCAGGAAGAGATATTGACTATATTAATGCTCCGAGAGACCAAGAGAGAATTCATAATAGCTACAAGAGCTTTCTAAATATGGACAGGGTGATGCCCTGGATGTCAACAATTGAATCATTTAACTTACCAAACAATAATCAACTTTCTTCACGTCCCCATTCACCTCCCAATATTATGAATCAAAGCCATCAATTTAGTCTAAATTCGAGTTCTAGTCAAAATCCAAGTCTGAACTCAACTCCAAATGCAAATAATCAATACCAAAATCCTCAACAACAAATAATTCAGAACTACAGCCGTGTAGATGATTTTAAGCACTTGGATAAAATTAACTTATTCACTGAAAGACATACTCAATTTGGACTGAATAATGTTTTTAATACATCTCCAGTTAAGAGTGATACATCTACAGCGACTCCCTCATCAATGAGGTCTATAATTAACGATGGGTTTTTTAACAATTATCAAGATGATAGAAAGTCTAGCATTCAGAGCTACTTTTCATCAGGGGGAAGCAATCACCATGGATACGGTTTAAGCATTGGTGGAGGCAATAACAATGGTATTAGTTGCAATGGAAATAATGTTGCATTTACTTCTAATTTGGGAGGGTTAAGTTATGGGATAATGGAACATTATCGTTCGGGAGATGTTCCACCTTTAAGTTTTAGTTGTTTTGATAAGAATAGAAATGAAGCTTACTATACCCAAGCAAGCAATCTTTTGAAGATTCTGAGTCCGTCTTGGATTCTTTGCATTGATATTGCAGCCATTTTACTTACTAATACAGACAATAAGATGGCATTAAGCAACATTGGTCCTAAACTTTCATGTTTCGCCAGAGATGCTTTAAGGCAAATTAAGCAAAAGAAACTTTCAAGATTTATTAAAGAACATAGTAATTTCTTTGATATAAGAAGACCTTCTCCTACACACTCTGCGTTGTATGTTACTTTGAAATTTCCTTTACCAAACATTGTTCAGCAATTTCTGCCTTCAATAGTTCAACTCAGAAAATATGAATTAGAAAGAACTCAAATGAATAATCATTTTCAAGAAATGGGTGAATTTTCTGAAAACGACTTGGAACATTCTCAAAACATTAACTCAACGGCATCAGTATTATTGTCGGAAGAAAGGGTGAATGCAACTTCAAAAGGAGGTAATGCATGTAATTTGTCAGAAGATACTGACAATAAACTTGAATGTACTTCAGTTTCAAATAAACAGCAGCTTGAACAAAATTTGACTCAAAAAAAGAACAAAGAAGAGAACTTTGGTGTAAATGATCAAATTCCAAGCTCTGTTAAATCTTATCAAGCTTATGAATGTTGGTTATGTGTCAGAGAATTTGCAAATGTTCTAATTCATCAACCAACACATACAATGGAATTAAGAGAAATTGGGGTTCTAATGTCTCAAAAAGCAAAGATTCAAGCTAAAAGAAATAGTTCAAAGAAAAACTACAAATCATTTTTATTGTCCTACCCAAAATTGTTTAGGATTTTTGGTAAAGATGATAATCATTCTATTCAATGGATTGGGTCCAGCCAAGACTTCATCAAATTGAACTCGATTAAATACCACCCATCTCAATCGGATGATGAATTATTTAATGTACCAACTTTAAATCAATCACATTTACAATTTTTGTTTAATCTAAACAACAGTTCCATGTCACTTTCGTGATCTTTTTTTTTTTATTATGGTCGTTTTCTTTATCTAAAGGACCTAATCTAATCCCTTTGAATGAACTATTTCTAAAAAAATGTATATTTGAGAGATTAAATCAATTGAAACTAACTTAAACGTTGAGGTTTAGGTTGTTTAAAAGAGAAATATTTGTGGCATTAAACAGTTTTCTTGATATTTGCAATTAGTTTTGTAGCGTGTTTTTCTTAAAATTGTCATTTGATTATTTTTCTTTTTTATATTATTCTTATTTAATCTTTAAACGAATAATTATTCAGTTATTGAATTTTTGCATTCATTATTTGTTTTTTGTAGGAAATACATATGGTAAGAAAATGCATGCAAGTGGCGCCTATTTGGCTTTGCCACGTCATAGGATAAATTATCTGTCAAAATTGACAAATAATTGCATATAAAAAAAACATATTAAGATACTGAAAAGATTTATATTGCTGTCTTTCTTAAAGATTTACTGAGTAATAAATTAAAAAATTATTGGATTAATTTCAAAACAACAGTACTTTTTGAATAATAAAATTAAAAAAAAAGACATGAATTTGAAATTATGGAGCTTTCATTAAAAGAATTAAGTCCTGAAAGAGTAGGAGGGAATTTTTTGGTTAACTTTCAGGAAAACTATGAATTGGATCGAGATTTAGAAATCATGAGTTGCTATGAAAATAATAACACTGAAAATTGCGATTTAAACAAAAAATTTATCAATACTGGAGAGTTCTTAATTATTGAGCATAAAAACCTATATATTAGCAGAGATATTCCCAAGGAGTTTAACAAAAAAGTTAGTGAATTAAAGGGTACTGAAGAAGAGGTAAATAAATGTTCAGAAACTTTGAAAACAACAATAGTTGAAGAATCAGTTAAAAGTATTGTATTCGCCATACTAATCTATATGTTTGTAAGTATTTCAATAGTATTCTTAAACCACAAAATATTCTCAGGAATTATTCAATTCCCAATATTTGTTTCTTGGTTCCAACAATTGGTAGGTTTGGTAATTTTTTATCTACTTAAAATAAACCAAAATTATTTAACCTTTGGATTCGATGAATTTACTCATCTTAATAACTTTGAATGGGATACAGGAAAAAGCATGATACCATTAGTATTATGTTTTGTTGGTATGGTTTCTTTGAGTAATACATGCTTAAAACATGTATTAGTATCAACTTATCAAGTAGCAAGAAGTACAACCATTATTTTTAATCTATTTCTTTCATATATCATATTAAAACAGAAGTCTTCAATAATGACTATAATATCTTGTATTGTTGTTATGACCGGATTTATTGTAGGAGCATTTGATTCAAATACTTTAAATTTGAATGGAGTAATTTTTGGGGTATTATCATCAATTTTACAGTCATTCTATAGTGTATTAGTAAAAAAACAGTTACATTTTGTTAATAATAATCAAATTCAACTCCTATATTATCAGTTATATTTATCATCAATTATGTTTATACCTATTTTAATTATTACTGGTGAAATTAGATATTTCTATACTTTATTCAATTTTGATCAAGGGATTATTAAAATATGTTTAATTTTAAATTGTTTAATCATTTCAGGGGTTTTATCAATACTAATTAATTTTTCAACTTTTCAACTTATAAAAAAAACAAATTCTCTAACCTTCAATATAATTGCTCTACTTAAATCATGTATTCAAAGTATTGGAGGAATATTATTATTCAATGAAATTTTTACTTTTCAATCCATTTTTGGGATATTAATAACTTTATTTGGAACATTCATGTATAGCTTTGATTCAAGTTCCAAAAAATCAACCGAAAGTGGCGAATACCAGGATTTGGAAAATAGAGGTTGAATGAAACTTGAATATTTTAGTATATATAATTTTAATTTGTGAATAATTATTTAGAAGTAACTTGATTTTAATCTATTTAATTTAGATTTAATAAAATTTTTGCATATAAAAAAAGAATATTTGAATTTATTCGATAGTGTAAATTTAGTACTTAAGGAAAGATTTTATTATGAGCGTTATTAATTAAAACAGGTATTAGGGAAATTTATACTTATTATATACTATTTGATTAAAATTTATGATAAAATATTTGATTTAAGATTTAAAATTTGACTATTTATCTTGAATTTTGTGTGAAAAGACTTAAAGATTATAATCTATTATTTGTCAAAAGTGAATTTATTTAAAGGCCATTTCTATAACTATTTACACACGAATTGGCGCCAAATGAGTAAGACTTTAAAGAACAAATGAAAATAAAATTGAAAATACATTAAGTAAAATTTAAAATATTTTTAAAAAAATAACTAAGTAAAAAGGAGATTGGGTTAAATAGCAAATACATATATATAATATAATTTCAAAAGGTGTAAATTTGTGAAAATATTAGTGAATTTATTCGATTTAACAAGAAAAAATAGTAACTAGTGTTAATTGGTTTGCTAAGTACTAATAATTAAATTAGTAATAGTTACGATGGTAAGAAAAAATTATTAATTTAAAAAAACATTATTAGTAGTAAAGAAAGATGTTATTGTGTAATGCAATTGTGGGGAACTATGATGAAAGTAACTTTAGGACTATTCCAGAGAGACTTTTAATGGAGAGGAGGATGATCATGTCTGGAAGCTCAGATTCGAATAGCATATATATATTATTTCGTGTGATACCATCAGAGAAGGAAGCAGTTCCTAGGGAAAACCAAGGATTAGTGATAAACTACCACGCAATAAATAAATCTGAAGAGAATAATAGTGATGATAATAACAAAAAATGCCACTATCTGGTTCCAATATACAATGATTACAATGTTTTCTGTTACTGGATTTCCAGTAAATATTTAAAAATTAGAAAAAAGGAATTTTGCTTTACAATTAGTGATTTTATAAAAGAGTACTGGAAACAGCCAATTCTTAAGGAAGAATTTACTAATGATGGTTTTGTGAGTAATAATAACATTTTATGTTTTGGTAGTATATCAAGTTATTACCTGAGATATAATAGAATAATTAACATAGAAAGAGAGGAGAATGTTCAAATTGTTTGTATTAATTTGAAATATAGAAACAGAGACTTTATAATTATAGAAAATTTAATTGAATCTACCAAAGCTTTATTAGCTCCAAGCTCTCTATTTAATGGAAATAATACAATTAAGGACTTTTGTATCAGTGAAGAACAGGATCTTGAAAAGGAATCTGAGAATGGGTTGAAAATGAAACAGGAACAAAAACGTAAACAAAAACAAAAAGAGGAACAAGGACAAGAACAAGAACAAGAACAAGAACAAGAACAAGAACAAGAACAAGAGCAAAAGCAAGAACAAGAACAGAAAAAAGAACAGGATATGGGAGGGGAGTATGAGAATTTTGAAATGAGAAATAAAATCAACCAAATTCAAGAAATTTCCTACAAAGAAGAAGATCCAAAGATATGTTTTGATGACTATACAGTAAAGGAAGAACAAAAAGTTTTACAAAAAAATACTAATTACGAATTAAAGTGTATTCCGGCTCAAAAAAATTATAATAAAAGTTCAACATTTACAGTTTGCACTGAGGCAAATGTGAATATTATTCAGTATGAAAATCAAAGCTCAGAAAGTCCAAATTCTTTAGGAGTCAGTAGAAAAGAAGTGGTTATTACACAAGTTTTTGAACATGATAAAATGAAAAATCCTAAATCAAACAATAATGAATACCAATTAACCAATTCCACTTTAACTCCAGAGACTGTAATTACTCCAGTTACTAGAAATTACGATAATTGGACAAAATATAAAGATAATGAAGATTTTCGGGAAACTCATTCAAAAACTGATTTAATTCAGAGAAAACACTCGGCTGTACCTCTCAATGATCATTATTTGTCCACAAATAATTTTAATACATGCAAAACACGTAATCAAACCAATTCATTTTTGCCGCCAGGCATGCAAATTAACACCGGTATAGGAAATATTAACCAAGTGAATAGAGAGCAGTTAATATTAAATAGAATAGAGTCAGCAAGAAAGAATGTGAATTTTAGTCATAAAATTCATTGTGGAAGGAATTTTTTTAGAGAATATATTCACGGAAATCAAACAAAAATACCTGGAAATGGTGGAATATGTAGAGGAATAAGTAATTATAGTATATGTACAAATAATCATGCAGGTGGGACAATGTTAAATAATAATTGTAGAATAAACGGGAATTATAATTCCAGTTTTGATAATAACTATAATATTGATCTTTTATCTAAAAAGTTTAATCGTATTATAGGTAAAGCTGACTACTTATTGGAGCAATTAAACTGCAGTGGCGACTCTAATATTAAATTCCAAAGAAATAAAAGTGAAACAGAGTCTTACAGTGAGAGTAATTTGAGTAGGAAAAGTATATTAACCAGTTCATCTTCCTCTAGCATGCTTTCCTGTTTCCAGAATCATTCACTAGGCATTAAAGAATGTACAAATAATCAGTTAGTATTTGACGATGTATTCAATATTAAAAATGATATAGTAGAACAGCAAGCTCAAACATTGTATAACGTTAATAAAGAGCAAATTAATAAAAGGAATTCAAGGAATTTTAATTATACAAGAGAAAGTAACTTGTCTATAATAAACAATAATGTTGATATCAAGAAAGTTCTTGTAGATGTTCAAATAGGTACCCAACTAGATAAAGAATTTGACAATTCTGATGATCAAACTAAACAAAAAGATGATTTGGAAATTTCTCAAAAAAAATTAAATCAAAAAGATTTAATACAAGAAGTTGGTCTAAAAAAAATTAAAAAACCAGAAAAGGAATTAGAAACTGTAAATTTTAATGGGAAATTGAAAGGATCAGACTCATATGAGGAAGTTGAAGAGGTAGAAATGAGAAGAAGAACAATAATAGATCCAGAATTGGTTGAGATAGATTTCTACGTGAATGGGGGGAAACTCAAGAGTTCATTTTCAATTTTGAATATTATACTTAGTAGATGGAGTGGTATTCCCACTGTATCCAAATTGTGATCCTATATGTTAAATATTACTATTATTTTTATAATAATTGTTATATAAAAGATTTCTTTATGAATAGACTACTTAGACAGTTTGGTTATTTATTTAATATAAGGTTTTATCTAAAATTTAATTTTTTCTTTCTTTTATTAAGTTGATTAATAAGTAGTCCCAATATGATTAAACCAATAATATTAATAACAGTTATTACCAGAAGGGTACCGAATTCGACTATTGTAGGAAACATGCCAAATTTATTGTTTTGTCTTATGCAAAGTTGTTTTTTGGAAAATAAGTCAGTATTTGAAAGACTCAGTGAAGGTGGATTTTTTGGTAAAATCCAAATATATTGACTTGAATCTTGATGAAAAGGATATTCAAGCATTTTTGCTGTTATTTTATAATACGCTGGGCATTTTTCTAAGCCAAGACCAAGTATAGAAATCTCATTATTAATAGTTTCAAAGTATTGTTTGGGTTCAACTAATGAAGGTTCATTTGGATTAACTGAGTAAATATGAATAGAAACTTTGTTTTTTTTATCTTTAATTTCATCATTTTCAATGAGTATTCTATAATTAACATTAATTATATCAGAAAACCCAAAAGGTCTACTAGATTTCGGATAATTAAGAATAATTCTTTGCTCTTTGGTCGGCTGTTGGTTTATAATTATTGGTTTTGAAACCAATCCATTTTCAACCATATTATAAATGTTCATATAATCCTTAGTTCCATTAAGTATTATTATTAAATAATGCCCAGGATCTATATCATATGTAACAGTGATTGAATATGAACCAGTATTAGGTATTTTCCACATTTTTAAAGAAATTTCTTTAAGTTTTTCATAAACATTATTAACTTGAGAATTCACAAGATTCTTATCTAAATTCAGGAAATCTTGGACATTTACCAAAGAAATATCTATTAATTGTTCTGGGAAAAAGTACCAGCTATTCCATTTTAATGCAATACTTTCTTCTTTTGAAACTTGGCCATTATTATTTTCATATACTAATAGAGCTGTTTTTAGCATTATTTCCTTATTGTTGTATAGTATTTAATTTTCAATGATTTATTATTATAGTATATTAACTCCTAAATATTAACATTCGGAGCAAAATAAGAGAGAAGAATAAAGAAAAAAATATTGGAATTCTTCTGTAAAAAAATGCATTCATTCTGTTATTATTACTTTTGATTTAATTTATAATGTGAAAAAAATGGAAATAATCCAGGAAAAAATATTAATAAAATAAATGAAAATATATCTTAACAAATAAGAATTTTTGTATGATTAGTCTAAATATTTAAAAAACAGAACCCAGGAAAAATATATATAAATAAGAAATAATAATAAAGTCCAAGACAACTTGTTACTTTTTTCTCTCAAGTATTCCTTCGCATGTAAAAAACTTTTACATGCAAAATACTTAAAATTTATTTAATTAATTATAAATACCCATTTTTTATCCAATTATAATTTTTTAAAAACACTCATTTTTTGTCCACATTTTGCATGCATGAACTTTGCACATTTGCAAATACCGGTATACAATAAAAATATTTTCATGTGGACAAATATAATAAAAAAAGATAAAGCGAGCTTTAAAAAGCAAACTAAAAAATTATTTTATAGTTTATTTGATATAAAAAATAAAATATGAAAAATAACAAAAATAATGAATATAAATTATCAGTTTGATCCAGTAATCCCATGTCCACGAGTAGAAGAAGAAGCAGATAGTGGTTGTTCAAGTTCTGGATTGTGTGTAGGGCAGTATTTAAAAAGTTCCATCATTGCTGATTGAACCTTCAGCTTAAGTTGTTCAAGATCCATGTCTTTGGTGACTTGAATGGGTTCTCCATATGCAACGTAAGCAGTACCTAAATCAAGGAGGGATTCTCCTAAAGGCCAAAGAGACCAGTTGTTATGGGAGACAACAGGAAGAATTTCACACTCGTTTTCAATTGCGAATTTAAAGAAACCGTCTTTGAACGGTTGTAATCTTCTAAGTCTAGATCTAGTTCCTTCAGGATAAATAACTTGGCCAATTCCCAATTTTTGAAGTTCAGCACATCTATTAAACATGGGTTTAATTGTTCCGCTCTTAACTCCCCATCCACCCTTTTCCTTAGTGAAATAAATTGGAATATCATAACTTAGTGATATAGACCAATTGATAATGGGAACTTTAAGCAAGTCAGCTTTGTAGACATATTTGAATTCCCAGGGAAAATGGCTTGAAGAAACTATCCAAGGATCCGCTGTTGAGAGGTGATTAGTCATTAAAAGGGTGTTACTTGGAGTGTAATTTTTTCTTGGCTTTTTAGTCACTTTAACTGACCAGAAAGGATTTGTCCAGATAACCAGAAGAGCATTCCAAAATCTAAAGACTTGACCCATTATTATTATCTTGAATTTTTCATTATAAAGGAGGTAAGGGAATAAAAGTATCCAAAGTGAAATTTGAGTAATCAATCCAAAAATTATTGAAAGGAAAATCATTAAATAAGTATAAATTGTTGCAATCAATCTCAACCATTTTGGAGTTGAAGAATTTCGAATTGAGGTCATTGTTTGTTCTTCCATCATTATTTTTCTATTCTTTTAACGAATAACAAGTTTTTACCAGAATATATGGTTCTATTCAATTAACTTCAACTGTTAAATTTTAAAAAAAAAAAAGAAAGTTCAATTTCAAATTTTATCATAAATTTTTCCAGTTCTTTTCCTTTTTTTATTAAGGATGTAATTATTGAAAAAATATTAACACCTGTTTGAAGACTTGCCCGCCAATTGCGTGGGGTATTATAATTTATAATTTTTACATGATATAATTTAAAAAATTCAACAAGAAAAAAAAAATACATATCAAGATAAGATTTCATACATCAAGAGTTGGTTATTCTATTGAGTTTTAAATCTTTTTGGCTTTTAACAACTAATTATCATTCAAAGTCTATTAAAAAAGGAAAAATAGTATTTTTTATATCTTACATTCAAGTAATTTTAAAAAGATATATATCTATTTTTGAAGAAAGCTCATTTTTGTATTTCAATAATACATACAAATAACATATATTTATATATGGGATATATAAAACCTTATACAAATTCCAAAATAAAACAAATATGTTATTAGGGTCACATTTAAGAAAAAATCCTGTTGAAATTCGAAATATTCAAAGAACATTCAAAAATAAAAATAATATTGGTAAGTTTTTTTATGAAAAGTATATTTTAATAAATAATATAAAATATTCAAATCTCTAAAAAAACAATTGTTACTAAAAATTTTAGAATATGATCAAAACTCATATAATGAGAATGTTTTTCAAGAATGTTGTTACGTATTATCAACTTATGACGACACCTCTCTCTTTTCATTAAATTTAAATTCATTAAGTATCAATATATTCAGAGAATATATTACCGATAGGTTGGCAATCCTTCATTTAATTGATGTTAAATCAAAGCTTGAAGATAATACAAAAACATTAACAGATTCAACGAATAGATCATTATTAGAAAAATTACTTTCCGAAAAAGGATTCAAACTTTTTGATTCTCTAACTCCAATTAATAAAACAAGTCCATCACATTTAGAGAATTGTTGGAGAAAGGATCTTTTAAGTCATTTCTTACTTAAATTATGTTTTATAAATAATAAAGATAAACAAGAATGGTTTATTGAACAGGAAATTAAACTTCTTCTCTTTAAATTATCTACAATAATAAGTAGTAATTTATTTAACCAAAAAAGAGATAATATTAAAAGTAGTAAATCGTTTATTATTGAAAAATTACTTAAAATGTATGGAGTTAATTATCCAATTTGGAATTATGATCAAATTAAAAATTGCAATGATAATAATAATAATAATATTAATGAACAACTCAAACTTTGGGAAGATGCTATTTGTGCTATACCAAATGGACATCTTATTAAGAGATTAATTAAAATCCCTTTTTGGCCTGACGGATTCAAATATATTAAAAACAGAAAGTATTTTATTAAAGATGGTATATGTTTTGTTCCAGACACAGAAATTGAATCTTTATTAATACATAAATATAGAAAAGAATTAATTCATTCATTCATCAATTTAAAAGAAAATGAAATATTACTTGAAAAAACAATTCTTTCTGACCAAAGAGTTTCATCATTAATTAGAGAAATATCAGAATATTACTTTACAACTAATGATTTTGCACCATCATTTAATTCTTTAAATGAAAATCAGGCCGTTAATAATTTCAAACTAGATACTTTAAATATTAATCAAGTTTATATTTCATCATTCCCATTATGTATGCGTCATTTATTTGAAAGTTTAAAGAAAGATCGTCATTTAAAACATTGGAGTCGTCTTCAACTTTGGTTATTCCTTAAAGGTTGTGGAATGAAACTTGAAGAACAACTTTCTTTATGGAAATCACTATGGACTGATAATAATTCTTTTGATAAAGAAATCAAATATAATATTCGTCACGCATATGGACAAGAAGGAAAAAGAAGTAATTATTCGCCATACCCTTGTAATAAAATTATTAATAGATTACCTCTTCCTGGAAACGGCCAAAATCATGGATGCCCTTTTAAAACTTATGATACTTATCCTTTACAAAAATTATTACAAATATATTATGGTCATCTTATCACAAATGAAGATATAAAAAATATTACACAACTTAGTAAATCTGGTCATTATCAATTGTCATGTATACAATTGTTTAAATCATTACATTTGAAATCTGACTCTGAAGGTATTGGGAACCATCCTAATTCTTATTTTAAAAAATCCATTCAAAATTATATTGAGAATAATAGTAATTTATAATATTGTTTTTATAATATTATTTTTATTCTCCAATTATAATTACCAAAATTTACATCATTATTATCAAGATTTATTTCAATTGAATACAAGTTTCCTTTAATTAAATGATTGTTTCCAAAATATTTACTTTTAATTAATTTATATTTTAATCTCTGAAAAACTAATGAATTATTATTTTTTCTCTTGACTAATAATATTTTTTTTGGTTTTATTATTAAACCATTAATTTGTATTAAACTAATTTGTTTATTATATTTATTCACATTTTTATCTTGAATATTATTATTATTATTATTATTATTATTATTATTTATAATTAAATCCCCTATGTCCTCTTCTAATAATGATAATATATGGTGATTATAATAATTATCGTTATTATTATTCATTTTGTACATTAATTTATCATTTCTTTGTTTAATATATATTTCATAACCAAAATTCTCTTTAAATAATCTTAATTTATCTCTTTGATATTTTTCATTAAATGTTGATTTTAATAAATTCTTCTCCAATACATTATCTATTATATTTGGAGTGTAACCCAAATCTTCATTAGTGTTATTAAAAACATAATTATTACAACTTAAAGTAAATATTATATCATCAAAAATATATTCATTATTTAAATATGAATATGTTTCACCATCATCTAAATATATGCTTCCTTCTGAATGTAATGTCAATATATCAATCATATAATCATTATAATAATTTTCATTTGTATAATTATAATATTTCATTTCTGGAAATAATATTTGATTTTTTAATTTATTACTATTTAATAATTCACCAGTTAAATATATCACTAATTTTATTGGATATTTTAACTGTTCTTTACTAGATAATAAACTTGATTCTGATGAAAATGGTATAATACTTCCTCCTTTAACAAAATCTGGAGTATTATTAATATTATTATTATAATAATACTGTTCTTTTGTATCAATATATATTGTTTTACCATATACACTATACCATATTTTATATAAATAATCTTTATTATGATTTAAGATTTTATTTGCATAATTAAAATTACATAGATAATAATGTAATATTAATAATGAATGAAGACCTTTTTCAATAGATTTGATCATAAATGAATCTCCAACCAAAAAACTATTATCTATTGATCTTAAATTATAATCAGTTGGATTTAACCAAAAAAGTGGCTTTATCATTGGAATACTATAAAATGAATATTTTGCTAATAATGTATACCAATATGGAATCAATGAATATCTTAATTTAATATATTTTTTTATTATTGGATATGAAAAAATATAATCTCTACTTAATGTATTAATTGAAGAATGGCTTCTGTAGAATGGAAACCAAATACCTAATTGATACCATCTAATCAATAAATAAACATCGTCATTAAAACTTTCATATCCACCAACATCAGATCCTGTCAATGAAAACCCACATATTGCATTTCTGAGATTCGTAATTATTGTATAATAATAATAATTCCAATTTGATTCGGTATCCCCCGTCCAAATATTTGAATATCTGTGTGATCCTATCCAAAATGATCTTGTTAATAAAAATGGACGTCTTTGTCCTTGAAATTTTCTTACTAAACCATTAAAAGCATATCTAGCATGATTAAATGAATATAATGAGTGTACTTTTCTATTATCTAAACCATCATTCCCAAATTCAACTTGTTTTGGGAAAGATAACTCTGGCAATTCAAATACTGATGGTTCATTCATATCTAACCAATAACCCAAATTTTTGTGCATTTTATACATTTTTTCAAAATATCTAGAATAGTAATTTCCAACTTCATTTGAAAAAAAATTCAAATATTTGGATGATCCTGGCCAGCATTTACCAACGAAATCATTAATTTCATTATTATAATTTGGTATTTTAACCCAAGGTGAATTAATTGTTTTAGCAACAAGTTTTGAATTACTTATATTATCTTTATGAATGATTAATTCTATTTTACAATTTATTCTTAAATGAATTTTTGGAATAATTTTAGTAATAAATAAATATTTTAACATTTTTTTATAATTAACAGAAATCTTGTAAAATCCTTTACCACAGTACTTTAATTTCTCAAAAGATGAGTACATACTATAACTTTTGTTAATGCTAATATGCGGATCTGAAATGACGACCAAATACTTATTATCTTTATCTAGGTTTTTAATCATTTCGTTCATATTTGGAAAAGCTGTTTTATTCCATGTAAAATATTGTTTATTAAATGTATGTTCAATATCCAACCAAATACTATCATATGGTATATCATTTTTCTTTAGTAAATTTTGAATATTATAAACTCTTTCTTCACTTGTATGTTCCCATTTACTATAGTGGTATCCCAAAGAAAATCTTGGAGCGAAATATGGAAATCCAGTAATAATTCCCAAATTATAATACAATTGCTCCAATCTTGTTGAAACCATAATAACCAAATCCAAGACTCCTGTTTCAGAAACCCACCATGTATCTAAATACTTTTCTGAATGATCATTTCTTATTTTATTTAGTTTTACATATGTATCAGAAGGGTTTAACCATAATATATTTGAAAATATAACCTTTTTTTTATTTTCAAAGTAAAAGTCACTCAAGGAAATTAAGTTTGGAGAAGAACCGTACAATGGATCAGTTGAATTAAGTTCGTATTTAAAATTATCAACATTGTAAAACCTGTAAGGTTCATCAAAATCTTGTAAATTTAATGAAGCAGTTTTTTCTGCCAACCCATAAGTGTCATTGCAAGAATGTATTTGAATATCTGTTCCTATTGCAATTGGACCATTTTGATTGAAATCAATGAAATTATTAAATAACTCAGACCAAATACCTTTCGGATAAATATCAACGGAATCAACAATTTCTGAAATAGTTTTATTGTAATTAAATAATTTAATAATATCTCTTATTGCATTGTAATGACTTTTTAACCATTTAAATATTACATTTCTTTGATTTTTTTCTTGAACTAAATCCTTAATACTAATTTTATATGATTTTTGAGTAAACTTAGCATTTAAATTATTATTTCTTCGATATGTTCTTCCACTTCTCTCAAAATTAAAAAACTGATTACCATTAACTGTAGCTATTTTTTTATCACAAAGAAAAGTTTCAATTTTGAAAGGTTTAAAGTACATTACAAAAGTATATTTACATTCATCATTCTCATTAACCAAAGTTATTGTTATTCGGTTTTCGCTTTCATCAATATTCACATCTGAGCTTTCTTTACTTACTAAATACTTTTTCACCAAGTTGTCTTTAAAAATGACTTCTTTTCCAACTTTATATCTTTTATAATCTGATAATCCAGTGCCTGTATCGTCAATTTGAAGTCTAAATAATCCCAACTTATAAATAAATACATTACATTTCAAGTGCGGAATTTGAGGATGGTGTGTATTTTTAAGTTCAAAATATATTGTACTACATTCTTCTGAGTCTTTTGAATCAAATTTGGTTTTTTTTGGATTCAATTTACAATTTTTGAAAAACTCCAAATTATTTGGGCTTACTGACCAAATTGAATTGAACGCATGTTCCTTTTGATTACTTCCCTTCTCACTGGTTTCTCTGCTTATATACTCCGTAAACTTTCTATATCTGCTACAAAATGCACTTTCCATACACTTTTTAAACCTCTCCCCATTTAATTGGTCGAAGTTTATAATTAACACAATTAAGTGTGAGAAAAAAAGCGAGATATAGCCAAACTTCATCTTTTTTTAAAGCCTAATTACTGTATTCTACAGTGTTCATCCAATTTAAAGTCTATTTTTTTATTTATCAATTCATTTAAAGACTTGACAATTTATTTTTATTTAATAATAAAAATAATTGCAAATATCAAACCGCCCTTAATTTTTTTTTTTAAATATAACTTGACTTTTATTTAATATTAATTAATTGATAATTTTTCATTTTCTGCCAAAAAACCCGCAATTATTTTTACTCAATTTTTATTCTAAGACTTCTTTTTCTCACTCTTCTACTCTTCAAACTGTTTTTAATTATAATAATTCACTCCAAATTTACAAAATAAGTATTTCAAGAAAATTAATTTTTTTTAATTAACACGTCCACATGCAATTTAAACAATTATTGTGATTCGTAATAATGACGTCATCAATTTTGCATGCATGCAATGCAGGCAGGTATTTCGAAGGATAATTTGAATTTATTTTCAGTGAAGATTTAAAATTAAATTTCAAGTTAACAAAACAAATTTAACTATTTCTTATCATGAAAATAATGAAAATTTATTAATTTTGCAGAGTTTAATTGGGATTAGATATTTACAACAGTAGAATACAAATTAATTATATTAAAAACATAAAATAATGATTCATTTTCAATCGAGACTTTTTTGAAGAAATTAATCAAAAACAGTTACTTTTTTAAATGATTAAAAGTTGGAAAAAATGGCGAAAAAAAAAACCACTATTCAAACTAACATGGAATTATTAACAAATATACTTCAAATTGTAAATTAGTAAAAATAAATAAAACAGATAAAATTTAAATTAATTATCAAAGTCTTTATTATTAATTTTTTTTTACTTAAATAATTTATTAAAAAAAAATGCATGTATGGCTGACTGGTTAATTATTACTGCTATGCATGTCTTGTCTGCTGCTTAAATAATAAAATTAATAATAATAAAAAAGGGTTGATTATCAGGACTGGACCATAAATTAAAATAAAAATAAGAAGGGATAATAAAATACAATAAGTTATTATGTAATTAACAAAGTAAAATGTTAAAAAATGAGAATGAAAGAATTTTTGTGGAATCTAAAGAGTGTGAAGCAGGTATAAGATTACTAAAAAGCTTATCAAGGGAGCTAGCAAAACAAAATGGGAGTGTTCAAAGGAAGAAAGAAGGAATAATTTTAGCAATGATGGGAATTTTGGAAAGAAATAGACAAAAATTAATAAGAGAATCTAGAGATCAGTTATTGAATTTAAAGACGAAAATAATATGTGAAAATGAAAAACAATTTACAAAAAAAAGGACGGAAAAAAGTAACGGAATAAAGAATAATGTGGAAGAAAAGGAAAAAAAGAAGGAAATAAGAAAAAAACTAAGTGAATCAAAATTGGTATATGCAGAAGTATATGATGAAAACAATTGCCAAGAAAGGATTATTATAGAAATAGAAAATGGGAGGAATGAAGCAGGATCTTGGGAAGATCCAATTCCAAGCAATAATGGCGTTCCGTATGATCACTTTGAGAGAAGAATATTTGATAAATATATTGATTATTGGAGGAATTCCAAATTATTAGTTCCATTTTCAACATGGTTAGGTGAAGAAAGGATTGAAAGAAGATCAACATCAATAATGAATTTTGAATTAATCGAAGAAAATAATAATGTAAGTTGTAAGAGCATTCAAGAAGCAATTTACAGAATAAGAAGATTTGAACAAGATTTTCAAGCAATACCAAAAGAAATTGTGTTTCCATTAATAGAAAAAGGAATATTAATAAATAACTCCAAGAATATGTTGAATAACTGTTATGGTAACAATAGAAGTGACTATTATAATGTTAGTAATCGTTCGGAATTTAATAGAGCAAAAATAAAAAGTCAAGACAATATTGAAGTAAATATGTTAAGTTCATTATCTTCATTTAAAGTACCTCAGAGTTTGTTTTTCTCAATGGTGATTAATGATCACGAAAATAGAATTCATGATAAATCCAACAAACTAGAAGAAATAAATAGTGAAAAAATCACAAGTTTGGTTAGTAATGACAATGATTCTCCTCCAGAAAAGGATATGATAGGTAAAAAGCAGTGCAATTGTGATTTTTATAAGTTAAGACAGAAATTTATTGAAGAATACAATTTATATAATCTTATTGGAACTAACTCTAATTTTGAAAAATTAGATCATTCACTGGAAAGTAATTTAAGATTATGGATGGGTGCTTATTATTTACCACGTAATGATAAGAGGACTCGGGGTGGTGAAGATGGATGGTTTGTATCCGAGGATTTACAAAGTATGGGAGTAGCTGATGGTGTTGGAGAATGGGAGGATTTATCAGGAAAAAGTGCTCGAATGTTCTCGAATTCTATAATGAGGAATTCGCTTCAATATATTAAAAACAATCGTGATAAAAAACTAGGTAATCCTTCAGTTTTAGCAAAAAACTCACTAAAAGAAGGCCTTGGTAATTGTCAAAAGAATGGTGTACATGGAGCAAGCACTGCATTAGTAGCTTGTTTTGATCATTATTCTGGAACTATTGGATTTGCTAATATGGGAGATAGTGGAGCTCTAGTTTTGAGAAGATTACAATTTGATACAGGAAAGTTAGAGATCGTTAGAAGAGTTAAGGAAATGCAACATGAATTTAATTGTCCATATCAATTTGCAACGCTTCCTCCTGAAAATGAATGGCCCGAATTACTTGAAAAAGGATATCACGATATTGTAAGACTTGCCAAGATTGAGAAAAAAAACAAAGAAGAGCCAAATAATATTAACTTTGAGGATTCAATACAATTAGCTTGTGATGATCCTGAGTTATCACAGTTATTAGAAGTTCCATTAAAGGAAGGTGATATGGTTATTCTTGGCACAGATGGTCTTTTTGATAATTTATTCGATTTTGAAATTACTAGCATTTCTGGTTTATCATTTTCTCCAATTGAATCAAAGCTCTTTTATAATTGTTTAGATTATACCACAACACCTATGGTGATAGCAAAATCAATTGCTTTATCAGCATATTATAAATCTCTTGATCCATACTCGAAAACTCCTTTTGCAAACCAGGCAAAAAGATTCTATAGTGGTGGAAGAAACTCACTTTTTGATATTCAATCATTTTCTGGAGGTAAAGAAGATGATATTTCTGTCTTGGTTGCGTGGGTTGTTCATAAGAATGACTTTGAGACTTTGACAAAAAATTCTCCTCATTACTGCGATATTTCAAAAAAGTTATAATTTAAATGTATATATCTCAGCTCCCTCAGGCATAAATATAAATATATATTATACAAAAATAAAATAATTAGTATTAGTAGTGGTAATACTTAATTTAATGCTATGATGTATATAAAGAAGTTCAATACATAACTTCTTTTAACCATCAACTGCTAAAAAAAAAAAAATTAAACGATCATCTTAAAATTAATATAGATAATATATATATACCATAGTTTAAGGCAATAAACCGATTAAATAAAGATTTTAATTAAATCTTTAAAATCAAAATATAAATTAATTATAAAAATTCCGATTTGGCGCCATTTCTGTTTGTGATCATTGGATCATGAATTGATGAAAGAAAAAGAAAAATTGTCATAAATTTAATTAATGAATTTTATTAGGAATTTAATTAAAGAAAGAAAAGGTATATTTCAAATTAAATGGAAGAAAGAAGCTCTTTTTGAGCCCAAATCTGAAGATAAAGATGAGAATGAATCCAATGAAAAAGATGATATTGAATTTTGTAGAAAATCAAATTATCCAAGAAACTCATGTGAAGCACAGTGGATGCTGGTAAGTTCTGAAAAAAAAATTAATGATACTATTTAAATCATAGAAAAAAAAACTTTTGAGATAACAAAAATTATGTTTTTTTTTCCATTATATATTTGTATCATTAATTATCATCTTCTGAATGTTTTATTTACACAAACATATTAAAATTTTACCATAGTTATATTCTTGTATAACTTCAATGGAAGATTATCCCTGCGAAGCTAATCTTAAGTCCGCAAAGGATTTTATCAGAAATATCCCAGATCAATGCAAATTTACTCAAATTGGTGATACTTTTTCTCAGGGATTGAAAGACTTTGATAATGCTATTTCCAAAGCAAGCTCAAAAAGGGAACTTCTTCTTATGCTATGTACAATTGAAAATAAATGTAGGCATAAGCTAGGAAAACCTTTAGTTCTTTGTAATTATTCTGAGATCATGAAAAGATGGTATAAGGATTAAATAAGTTCATGTTTAAAAATTTCCTTTTCCCTTATTATTTGAAGGCTTCTTACTACATTATTTGGTGGCTGAAGATATATTATAGTTCTTTTGAATGTGTAAATGGTAAGTAATTAAAGTATTTTATATTCAAATATACAAAATTCATAAAAACGGTTTATATATTCTTAGAAAGTAGATATATAGGATTTACACTTTAATTATTTATCAGCTAGATGAATAGATCTCTTGAGTTTTTTCGTTGGGTTTACAGAAACTTATCAGATTCTCATCCAATGATTCAATTTGAGATATTTTTCTGTATTTGCTATTCTTAATGAATTGATCGCAATTGGCCTCAGGATTCTTACTTTCAACTCCATAAAAAGAATCAATCATTTTAAGTTGTTTGTTACTATCATATTCAAAAGATGTTCCTGATGCTATAGAATTATGGTCATAATTGTTTTTATAATGAATTGCCTCTTCAGGAGTATTATCACATTCATTCAAATGAATATTCTTATCTGGAGTGAATTTGATCAAATTCCCAAAAGAATATATCGCAGATCCACCAATAGTCATAGTTAATCCAAAAATAGTTGAATATTTAAGCTCTTCGTTATTTAATATAATTCCAATCAAAGTTTGAATGCCAGATTTTATGTAACCAGTCAGATTATAAGCTATGGGAGATGTAACGTGAATACACCATATTATAATAACCCCAAGGAAAAAGTTCAAAATACCACTAATTAAAATAGGCCCAAATTTCATGATAAATTCTCTAAAATCCAAATTAGATAACTCAATAAATGCTTCATGTTCTCCAAAAATGAAAACTGGAATAATTGCCAAAAATGAAGTAATAAGAACATTGTACCAGTAAACTTGGAATTCATCATTTATTTTTTTTGATACACTTTTGATTTGAACAGTATATATTGATTGAAAAAAAGAAGAAATAGCTCCAGCAAATATTCCATATAAACCTAAAGATGATGAATCAAATGAGCCAACAATAAATCCCATAATGACAATTCCACATCCAAAAATACATATACCTGAAATTTGCTGCTTAAGCATTAATATTGAAAATATTATATTAAAGAATAAAGTCAAAGACCTTGTGATTGCATATGATGACATTGGGACATACTTTAAGCACAAATTTGAAAGAAGTATAAATGAAGTGCATGCCAAAGACATTGGAAGACAGCATTTGATCTTTTCATGTTGAATTGATGGCTTTGAAATTATATTATCTTTCCCAAATATATTTTTCAATATTGTATATGCTATTAAATAACAGAATACTCCACATACTTGTTGTATCCATGTTGTAAACAGTGGATAACTAAAGCTGCTAATAAATATTTTTTTATTCAAAAAAACCAAAGTTACTGATACGAAACCATATAGTACCAATGATAATGTCTTATTGAAATGGAATACTTTGTTTTTCTCGCCTTCTTCCATTTGTACCTCCCCAATAATATTTTTTTCCTCAGAGTAATTTTTTACCGATTTTCTGGCCTTAATTTTTACTATTTCTACAAATAAATGACTTAGGGATTAAATTGATTGATTTGTTTGATTTACTACACTTATTTTTTAATAAAAACTTGACATATGGCGCCACTTAAATTCAAAGTTCAATAAATAATATTAGATTTATTTAAATCTACTTTAATTGTTATTTACTCGGTACTTCCCTTTGTTTTCGTCTAGAGCCATTTAATTGTAAACCAAGAATTTGTTGTTCTTCTCAATTAACTAATATATTAATTGTTTTTCATAATCTTTAAAAAAAAAAAAATTAATGTAATCATTTACCAATAAATTTATTAAATACCAAATTACGTACGTAATTAATTTCATGTGGAAAAATTATTGGTAATAAATTTATTTGAATACCGGTAATAAAAAAAGTCATAGTGGTTAAAAAACTATTGCATGCATATTTGCATGCAATACCAAATTAAAAGAATTTAGAATTAAAGCAAAACTTAATAGGATTAATTTGCAAATAATAAATTATAATGAATAAAAACGAATAATGAAATACAATAGTTCTCAAGAGAGAAATATAGTCCGAAAAAAAAGAATAAGATGTAAATTCTATTTATGCTTATAATAACATATTTAGACTAAAATATATGTTTATTTGTATACAATAGGTAGAAATAATCTGAAAGCATAGATTAGAATACAATAGAAAGAGGAAACCTGATTTCTAATACAACCCTTTAATTACTTTGTACGTCTCTTTTTACTTTGCTTGTTTTTTCTTTGTTCATTAATTTCATCAAAAGTGATCAACTTAATTGAGGAGTTACTAGCAGCATCTTGTTCAAGAATTTTTAAAATACCATTGTTTAATGAAACAACTTCCATTTGATTCTTAAGCAAGTAATGAATGTAAATTTTCAAGTTAGAAAGAACGGAACGAATATTATACTTAGGAATTCTATCATTTCTGGGATCAGATGATTTTGCCCAAATATTAAGATAACCTCCACTGGAATCATTCTGACCAATTATGGGGGATATTGTATTTATAGAAGAAATCCAGTGAATGAAATGGGTCTGTACCAAGCATAAAACCGTTCTAGTCAATGGCTCCAAGCCATAAAATGACAAATTCTTATTATCTATAAAAGCTTTCGATTGTTGCTTTGAATATAATATTGAATGATCATACATTAACTTTAATACAGATTCTACCAAAATTAATAATTTTTCAGCATAGAGCAAAGGAAGAGACCAGACCACTTCTGAAAGCAGATTAGATGATATCTTCTGTATAGACAAAAGAATATATTCTTGAACAGAATACTCCCCAATTTCTAAAGGAGAAGGAGGAGGTGGAGGAAAACTATTCGAATCTTCCAACTTTTTTTCCTTCTTAATTTCATTTAAAACTAAATCGTGTTTTAATAATTCAATATAATAATTATAAGCAATTTCAATAACTTCCATAAGCTTTTCTGTTGATTTCAAAGATTCGAATGTTTTACGTGTTGGTCGAGACATTACTGAAACTGAAGCCATATTTTCGGTATAATCATTTGTATTTCCTTGAAGGATTTCTTTCTCGAGTTGTTCTTCCTGTTCCTTTTCTCTCTCTTCCTCAAGGAATAGTTGTTGTTCAGTTCTAAACCAAACTCTAATAGTTCTATCCAAAAACCCGCAGATAATACGATCACCATCAAAAGTTAGTCCCAAACAAAGAATTGGAACTTGCCCATATGTAGATTTCTGATGTAAAATAGTGATCAGTTCGCCCTTATCTGTGTCCCATAGCTTTAAAGATCCATCTCTTGCAGTACTTACAAGGTAGTGGGTATCTCTAACAAAACATACCTGAGTTACACACTCATTGTGAGCATGAAATGATCTTTGAATATTTCCAAAATCTAAACCCCAAATTTTGATAGTCTTGTCAGCACTTCCAGTTGCTACAATTGTGTTATCATGAGAAATATCCAAGCATGCAACAGGTAAGGAATGGCCATATAAGACTAAAAACTGCTTGAGAGTATCAGAATGTAACACTAATACAGTGCTGTCCAGTAAAGATACAATGAGATATTTACCATTTGGGGTAAATTTGACAGCTAGACCTTCTTCTAAGAGTGGTAAAGTCTTGCTCAACTTAATAGTTACCTTATTTTCATCATTTTCTGGATTATCCTCGAGCCCAAAATTATACATATTCAGAGATTTATCCTGAGCAACTGATACAAAACTTGTATTATCTGGGCATAAAGCTAAAGACTGGACAGCATTTTCATGAGAATTGTCCAAAGACTGAATTAGCTTGCAATTGGCAATATCATGTAGCTGTATGCTTCCTTGTTTTGTTCCTGATATTGTATAATCACCTCCTGGCACAATGAACCCACATACTGGGCTCTCAGCTATTATTGTTCGTACACATCCAAAGCCTTTCATATTCCAAATTTTAATAGTATCATCACCAAAAGTTGCAACAAATTTATCATCTTGGGAAATATCAATAGCTCTAGGTATTCCTCTATGTCCCTCATTTTCAATTCTTCTAAGTACTTTGCAAGCACTGACTTGAGAAGAAAGTCCAGACTCCTCATTTTGTGAATTTGAAACATTCTCTTTAGACTTTTCTTTATGTTCAATTTCGTCCATAAAGTTATCACATAGGGAAATATATCTTAAAGAATTGTTTCCTAATCCAGCAATAAATGTATTACTAGAAGGATCAAAATCTATGCCCAAAAGACGAGTTCCAATCATTTCTTCTTCTGGAATTAAAAGTCTTTTACCTAGTGAAAGAGTCTCATAATTCCCAGCAAAGATATTGGAATCGTGAGATTCAGTTTTAGAATCTCTATTTAATTTTTTATTAAGCTTTTTAATCCTTTGACTAATTTTCTCTGAATCTAAGTACGAAAAAGATTCAATAGAGTTTGAATTTGTGAAAGCGAAAATAGTACCATAAAAATCATCCAATAGCTCTAATTGATTGTCAGTAAAAAAATCTGACCACTTAGAAAGAAGCTTAATTACTTTTGAGGATTTTCCACCTTGGAATCTCGGAATTCCACCATAGTAAATGGCCAATTTAGATTCTTTTTCTGTATTTTCCTTAAAAAGATCACAGTTTTCTACAGCTTGATCATTTGGTAATAAAGAGTCCCTTCCAAGTCCAGTAACATGATGAGTAAGTCTATATATTGATATTTCTCCACTTGATCCTGCAGTAAATAATCTATTGCACAAAGGATTCAGTAATATACTATAGATCTCTCCTTTATGTTTTGTTAAGGTTTGCAGACAAATTTGATTTTGAATATTCCAAATCTTGACAGTACAATCTTTACTTGAAGTTATCATAATATGTGGAGTATCTTCTAAGATAACATTAAATCTATAATTAAAGTTTGTATTCTTATTATTGTTTATATCTGCTTCACTTTTACTTGATTCGTTATCTTCTTTTGTCCATAACTTAACTTTGTGAACAAACTCAATATCAGTAATCTCATTCAGATGACCAGAAAATCTGAACAGCCCATTTCCTGAAAATGTATCCCATAGAGTAACTTCAGTGTCAAAACTGCCACATGATAAATAATTCCCTGTCCTACAAAATTTCAATGCTGTAATATTCTTTCCATGGCCGTGAAAAGTATGAATAACTGAATTTGAGGAAATATCCCATACCCTCACACTACCGTCTGAATAGCCTACAGCTATAACCTCTGGCTTTTTTGGATGTTGACATATTGCTGTTACATAATGAACAATTGAAGGAATACCTTCACCAGAATAAACCCTTCCAACTGTTTCAACAGAAAGTGTCCTGGCAATTACTCCGGTTTTCAAATCGAAAATTAGAACCTTCTCTCCCGAAATACTTGCTCCATACCTTGTTGAATCTTGCTCATTCTCTAGTTTCAACCCTTTTTGGAGTATTTTTACTCCATTTTGAAATGCCGATGTTAACAGGACCCCATAAGATGATTCAGGGACATACCTCAAGTATGACTTCACCATTTTATTACCTTAATCAACATGTACTCCTAAATTGATTCCTACTCAATAACTTCCAGTCAAAAAATCAAATTTGACGTTAAAGTATTTTTTTATTTTCATTTTTTTGGCGGAACTTTACCGCCCAAATATTTTTTTGTTTTTAATAAATACCGGTATATGACACTAATTTGCAAATTGGCATGCGTTACGTAATGAATTAATATATATATACATACATTTGTCCACATGACATTTTTACAAAAAATAAATATTTACATAGTTTAAGAAGATAAACTTTATATGAAATAATAATTAAATTATTTATACCATAATTTAATGAACAATAGTTATTTTGGTAAATTAAGAATAATTTCAATATTTCAAAGAAAATTAGATCATTTAAATCATAAATTTAATAAGGAGTTTTTATTCATTATCAGACCAATCATTAATATAATGAGAAATGCAGTCTCACTGAAAAAGTTAAAGATAAATCGAAATTCACAGAATAAAAAATGATCAAAGTATTAATAAATTAATTATAAATTCATATAAGAAGAGAAAGATATTCTAGAAATAAGATAATATTTAAGGGAAATCATATGTATTTATGAAGAAAATTGGTGAATTACTTGCTTTTCAGCTTCCATACAGTTGCAGTTTCATTAATTGGAAAAGCAAATTCGTGAATAATTTTTCTCCAAATAAATTCTGGCACATTATTAAGTAAATGAAGAAGTTGAGAAGAATAAACAGAAATATTAGCATTGTTATTTATTCCATTATTAAATTGAGTGATATCTTCATCTGAGTCAAACTTGTGCCATATTTTATTTTTTTGTGATAACGTTTCACAATTCTTAACAATACAATGTTTTATATTATCAATAAACGATGTGATAGTGAAGATGTCTTCTCTATCTCCATTATTAAAGTAGCCAATAACTATTGTTCGTATCGCATCTATTCTGGGATCTCCAGTGGATTTTAATACCCAAAGATCATCAAAAATTTTGGTGGCAATTATTTCAAGAGACTTATTTATATCTTCCTTATTAATTTTTATGGATGAGGATATGGTTGAATTGACATTAATAAACGGAATCTGTTTCATATTGTGTCTTGGGTTACTAGAACAGAAGGGTGAATAAGTAGGAGCAATAAAATTCTGACAAAAGGAAGGACCAGAAAGCATTGATCCTGAAATATTGGGTGTGCCTTTATGAGAAAGTTTTGGATTTGACCCAACCTTTCCATATGAGAGAGAGCTTGAATCCATACGTTGTGAGGATGAATCGTTGGGTTTTCCTGAGGGGCTTCCTCCTATATTACTTGGAACTGATGCTAGAGATGCATTTCCTACAGACATTAAAGTCAAATGATAAGAGCACAAATTTAAAAGTTCTGAAACATTATTTGCACCATATATCTTAAGAATAAATATTAAAAGCAATTGAAGCTGCGAATTGCTAACACTTGTAGAAACTGCAGAAAGATTATTGAGATATGTTGAAGTACATATGGAGGTATCTCTATTATCTCTAATATATTGAACCACATATTTTTCTCTTTCAGCCCAATAATTCTTCCAAAAAGTGGCTTCTTCGATGTTTTCTTCAATGAATTTTTTATCAAAAGAGAATTTTGGATACCATGCAGTTGACCTATAAACAGCTACCTCTTGCAGAATATTAGTAACCTTAATTTGTGGGAGATCTGTTGCAACTCTAATTGGTTCTCTATTTAAACCAGCATTTTCATCTCTTTGAAGAAGAACTAAAATAAGATCTCTACAACAAGATTCGTATTCATTGTACATAAGTTCTGATTTATATACCCAATTTCCGGAAACTAAAACACAGAATTTCTTGAGTACTTTAATTAATTCTTTATCAGAGGGAAATTCCTCAAGCTTATTTTTGGAAAGAATTTGCTCAAAAATATTACCATCGTTTTGAGTTTTAAGCAAGTCCACAGACAATTCAGAATCCAAATTTGTTTCAAATTTTGTTTCATAGATCCTTTTGAGAATATTTTTTATTCCATTAAAGGGGATTACTTGATAAACTAGAGTGATTCTCTGTATTTGGTCACTTAGTTTCATCCTATATAACTCTTGTACTGATAATGGACCAAAATAAAGCCAATCATCATAAATTAATAACTTCCCGGAAATGCCGTGAAATGGCAAATAATCTATATTTTTATTTGAATTGCTTCTGGATAAAACCATAGAACTTGAATCATCAATTCCACCAAAATTATAACTCATAGAACCTCCAAGACTTGAGTTTGGGCAAGAAGGAGGATATTGATAAGCTGTATATATTTTTGGTAATCCTGCAGTCCTAAGAGTTGGGAGTACTTGTCCATCCCCTCCAAATGGAAGGTTAAACTCTGAATTACCATCTGAAGCAATTCCAGAAATGATCTTAAAGTATTTATTAATATCACCATCAAAATAGTGAGCTCTATTTCTACTATGTTTAATAGAAAGAAGTTGGTTAACCATAGAATTTTCCTCCGAAATTTGTGAATTCAAATTTTTCCAAGAAATGAAATCATCAAAGTATACATCCATTAATGTTTTAATCATTTCTATTGATTCATAAGAATTTGATGGATAAATACAAGGTATTTTAATCCAATTCTCAGATCCAGTTGTATATAATTTTCCATTATCCAAAGAAAAACTTCCAGAGTATAGTGGGTTATTATTATTACTATTACTTATGTCATGATCTAAAGAATTATTTCCATGATTGAGTACCAAGTCATCCAAAGATTGATTTCTTTCATCTTTATCAGCAGACTCAGATAGTCTCTCTACCATACCAACATTCATACTCACTGGCCTTTTTTGATCAATAGATGAGAAGTTTGGACGAAATTGTTGAACTGATGAAATTGGAGTAATATACAATTTCTTATTTTCATGATCAAAATAACCAGCAACCAAACAATTTGCTGAAGAAAGACATGATTTACTATTTACGATATATAAATGATCCTTATTAGTATTATCAGTCTTTTCACTTGCTCCTTGCCTTGAAATATTATGATCAGTCATTTCCTCATTAGAATTTGGGCTAAGTTCACTACTTTCACTCGAGTAATATGAAAGTTGGAATGATCCTCCATCGGGACGAATAAAAGCAGATTGCCAAACTTTCTCAGTTGCACTATCCCTTGAAGTCATTGGAAATTGGAAAATATGAAAGGATACATCATTAATATGAGATAATATAACTTCATATTCCTCTTCTATTTCATCCTGTAGATTGTTCATTTCCATTCATTACCTAAATATTCGAAATAATATGAGAATCCCAAGCCTTAAAAAGAATTTAGAGAAATGTAAACAAAAACTACTGATTACCGATATTTCAAATGCTTAAAATCCACATACTCTTTATTTCAGTAACTATTTTTTTCTAATCTTAAATGACATTCGATTATACCGCCAAAAAATGCCAGGGCGCCACCAAATGACCCGCCAAAAGTCAATTGGTCAATATAAATACTATGGAAAAAGAGAAAGGTATTAGCAAAATTGGAAAATTTAGATTCTACCTGGACTCATAGTAATCAGGTTTGGTTTGCTTTAGGGTGTAAAAAACGGTTGAAAGTGTTTTGTGTGAGCTACAAGGGAAAAAATTAAGAATATATTTAACCAACTTGATTATTTTGATGAAAAAAAAAAGTGAGAACATCAATGTCTTATGAAAAAGACGGGCTTTCTCAAGAAATTAAAGCTATTAAAAAAAGACGATCCGGAAAGAATTAAATTACTTTCAAAGCTAGTAAAAGAGTTGAAGGAGCCAAACATTTATCTCTTAGAAAGGATTGTGTTTTATATTCCAAACGATTTGGTGTATAAAGTTTTCAACGAGACACGAATTATTATAAGAAATGGAGGCTATCCTACAGAGGATAGTACTAGACTAAAAAGTGCAGGTGGTATATTTTTCAGATTAATAAGGAATCAAATACCTCACGAAGAATATAAGAGGATCTGGAATATTCAGAGACGAAAGAAAAAGAAAGAAAGAGATAGTAAATTGTTACTTCATGATATAAATAAGAATATAAAAGGGGACAAAGATGATGAATATGAAGAAGGAGAGTTATCTGAGGAAGCTATATTAATGGATGACTTGAAGTGCATGTATTTGTGACAGAAAAAGAGCTTTTTGCTTTTTTTTTTTGACTTATCATCACGTCCTTAATAAAAATCTATAACAAAATTGTATAAGAAAAATTTAAAATGGATATGTTTAAATTAATAAGTTTTATTAATTATATAAGTAATTCAATTATTGTAAATATAAAAGTTTGAAATTCTATGTAGAAAATTAGTCAGTCCAAATAGTTTTAAAGGAGCAATAACTATTCCATAATTTATGATCCAGTCTTGTCTGAGTTTCGGTTCATGTAAACTCTTATTTATGAGAAGATCATTCATTTCCTTCCAAACCTTCCAGACTATGGGTCTTGTTTTAATTGGCCAGATTGATAGAATTGAAATGATATCTTTATCAAGCAATGTACCATTCGAAACTTCATCGTTAAAGTTACTAGTTAATATAGTCTTTTTATCGCTCTTCATCTCTTCTAGCATTTTATCAAAGTACAGAGTTGAGTTCAAACCTTTGATATATTCCAAAGGGAATATTTTCCAATCTACCCAAATATCAATTATACTTTTCGTTTTATCAATAAGATCCATATAAGAGCTGTTTCCTCGGTTGCTTTGAAATGATATATGCGAAATTAGATATGGAAACATGTTCATAATACAATTTCTAAGTTTCCAAGCTCCTGTTTTTGAAGAACGGGAATTGTATAGTATATCAGAAATACAATACAAAATTGAAAGCTTCATTTCAAAGGTCGAATTTGGGAATTTTTGTATAAGTAGTTCTATCATTTGCACTGAATGAAGATCAGAATAATCTACAACAAATGTCATAACCTCATTAATCTTCATCCTCTTTGTTGTTAAGTTATCTAATAATTTCGTGTAGTTTTTTTCTAGGCTGTTTGGCATCCTTTCACAACTTAGCTCACTGCTTAGTGACTCAATTGGAGAAGAGAATTGATCGTAGATATCTAAATTTTCGTCATAATTCTTTTTTATCTCTTCTAAGTACTTATTATATGATACCATAAACCCGTCAATCTGATTTTCTGTATCTTGGTAGTTGGTTTCTACCAAATCAGCCCAAAGCCAAGAAAGTGGATCATTTCCGGTAATCTTGAGTAGTTCTTCAAATGAAGACATCTTATATTCACTAATTTAGTACTAAATTTAACAAATAAAACTTCACTATGTATATTCTATTTCTATCTAAAAGATATTGCAGTGGATTCTCTTTATATGGTAACTCTGTCTTATTTTGTATTCTATGGACAAAAGTAACAATATAGTTAATATATATTCATAAAGTTAACATATAATGATATACAAAAATGTATGTGATTATATGATGACTAAAATAACTTAAGCATTTTAGCCATAAATCAATAATTAACTCACTGAATCAAAAAAGATATTTTTATTCTAACCCTATTATGACACTTACATTCTTACTGAATGAAAAATGTAAGCAACGCCTGAATAGGGTATATTCTCTCACTATTATAGACAGAAGTCTGTCTTAATAGATCATTTTTTCTAATTTGGATATTATTTAGAATATTTGATTTTTTTTTCTTTTAAATTCATATCATTTGTTTGTTCCTTCCTATTATATTTACTTTTTATATTTTTGTTAAAATAACATATATTAAATAAATACACCTTTTGGCGGGTTCTTTTGGCGGCACATTGTTTATGACAAAGTAAATGCAAGTATCTTGAATATAAAAAAGTACTTGTGGGTACGGAGAAGAGAAGGGAGTAAATATTAAATAGAAAATTAAATGAAGAAAGGAAATGGTAATTGAAGTTATAAAGTAGCGTTTAGGAAACTCAAAGAGTGGAGTAGTATTTTACAGGAGAAGAAAATAAAAGTTGAAAAAAGTAGGTAAATTAGTTTAAGAGTATAAAGGTAGATATTACATAATGTTTTTGTCAAGGGTTCCATATAAATTAAAACCATTTATAAGGATAGAGAATTCTGAAGAAATTTCATTTGAAAAAGGTGTGCAAACATTTGTAGAGAGTCAGTTGGAGAAATATAACGAAAAAGAAAAAAATTGGTATTCATATGGATACGAATACTATGCGAATATATTATTAGGAAAGAGGATTTTATTGGATGTAGTTCCAAATATACGTGATGTGTCTCAATTTGTGAAGGATGTGAGTATCAGAAGGCATATATTATATAGAGGAGGTAGGCCTGGAGGTATAGAACCAGATAAGATAAAGTATATAATACGTGATACTTTGGGAGTCAAAACAATAATAGATTTAAGGGGTAGGTTTATCTTTGAAGATTCCTACTCAACAAAGGATGAGATTTTGAGTAGATCAACACTATGGAAGTATTATTGCCCAATTTTTGAAAATGAAGGTATAGATAGTTATATAGAAGAAAGAAAAGATTCAGAGAATAATAAGAAAGAGGTAGACCGTGAACAAGTTTCTAATGATATAAGAACTCTGATACTATTGAATTCTTTGAACTATAGAGAACCTCTCAAACTAGAAAATGAAAGCAGTCAGATGTCATCTTCGGATAATAGCCAGAGCAGCCTTCCTTTTTGTTTGAACTGTGTAAAAAGGTATAAAGGTAGAGGGTTTGAACTTAACGAAAAACGTCCGAAGAATGAAGAAATACTGCTTAGAAAAAGAAAGGAAGTAATGATTCCAAGAATGATCTGTTATCATTATTATTTACTAAACTTAGCTTCTCCAAAATTTGCTGAGAAATGGTATATTAAAAAATATGTGGAGTTAAGGAAGATGGGAGGGATTTATTATGACATTGCAGTTTTTGATTCAGGGACAGTTTGCAGAGCTCTGAAGGTGATTACTGTTTCAATTCCCCCGATATTGCTACACGGAAATTTGGGGAAGGACAGGGTGAGTGTAGTTATCGCAATATTATTAAGCATTTTGGGGGTAGAGGAAAAATTCATTATTAGAGATTACTGTGCATCTGAAGCTGGCTTGCTTTCAATTAAAGATGTTATAGATACAGAAATGGAGTTTTTCCCAGACTCTGTTAAGGACTCAAATCCTGAATATATGATTTATTTCTTTTCAAAAATGAAAGAAGAATTTGGAAATATAAATTCATATTTGGATATAATAGGATTTGATGCTTGTTGGAGATCCAAACTGTGCAATAAATTTCAATGTCAAATATAATTAGTAATTAGATTTTTATAGCGGATAATTAAACATTTTCCTGCTATTTTTCTTATCATTGTTACTAAACACTTAATTGCAACTTTGCATGCAATTTTTTAATGGTTTTTCCACGTACCGGTGTTGACAATTTTTGTCAATAAATTTTTTTTGTAGAACCGGTATATAATTTTTGTCCACACGGGCGGTGACGTAATTATTATTTAAATTAGTAATAAGAAGTTGTAAAACATAATTTTTCTTAGTTCAAAGGAATTTGCAAATTAAGTAATTAAAATTCTAGTGTTTACGAAAAACAATTTCTGAATACAGGAAGGTGGTTTGAAATCTGAGAGGTTGGTTTTATCTGACTCCTCATCATTCGAAGCCGATGAGGATTGAATAAGGCCATAAAGTAATTCCTATAAGCCGGTGGATTTGTTTTGAAACATGGAAAGTGGCTCAGCAAACAAAAACTCTCCAGGTAAAAGTATTAGGGATTTGGATGAAGAGGCTCTTTCAATTTTACTTAAGATTGTGGATTTAAACCCAAATAGTGATGAAATTTTAGAAACTATTAGAATCAGTGGGTTTGAACCCGATAAAGTGAGGGAGTTATTAACAAAGCAACATCCAGAGTTATGCAAACGAGTTCAAACAAATGTTGAGGTAACAGCTTCTAAAAAGGAGGAAGACAAGGAAATTGATTCAACAAACAAGAATGAAAACGAAAATCTTCAAGCAGATAAAACAAATATTCCACCTGCCTGTAACGCTTCGTCCGAAAAGGTTATTGAGGATAAGGTCAAAGCGGAAGTGATTCCAGATAGGCCAATTGCGAAGGGCAAACCTCCAGGTCCTCCACCTCCTTTAAAGTCAAAATCTATGGAAAGTCTCAAACCTGATTATAATATTGGGAGTGAAAGTGCATCTATTTCTAAAGGATCAGGTTCTTCAGCAAAAAGAGCGCCTCCTCCTAAGGCACCTCCTCCTTTGAAGCTATCACTCAAACGCGCAGCAACATCTAAAGGGTTTGGAGGACCTACATCTAAGACTTTGGAACATGAAATATCAAATGGTGTAAAGCTTGCAGATATCGATTTTGGTCCGGCTCCTCCTTTGGGATTCGAACCTAAAAGGCTTCATTGGTCAGTAATTCCTCCAAACAAAATAATTGGAACAATTTGGGAAGATATTCTAATTAAAAAGGGAGAAAACTCTCAGGATATAAAAGATTGCACTGAAAGCGATCCTAATGAGCTTAAGTTTGACATGAATTCCATTTTAGAGCAGTTTTTTGAGGATAAGAGTACTTTAATGCAAAAGCTAACCATAGATTGCAACAGTAATAATTCGTCTACTGGAGGCCCTTCAAAGAAATATAGAGTAGTTTTAGACTCAAAAAGGTCTCAGAATATTGAAATAGCACTGAAGGCCTTGCAATTATTTGATTGCAATAATGAATTAGATCTTTCTCCAATTAAGGACATGCTTGGGTATACAAAGCAGGGTTTAATGGGTGGGATTGATGCTTTTTTGAAGGGAGTCTCTAAAGAAAGGCTTAAAATTCTATTGGATTTGTATCCTACACCTGACGAAATTCAGCTATTAAATTCTATTAAAGAAGAAGGTGACAACTCAGCCCTTCCTTTAAGGAGCTCAGAGCTTTTTATAATGAATATTTTAAGTTTAAATAGATTTAAAATTAGAGCACAATGTGTCTTGGCAATGAAAACTTTTGAAGAAGAGTATCAAAGCTGTTTGGAAAGGCTTATAAAACTGGAGGATGCTGCTATTCATATTAGATCGAGTTTAGAAAAAGGAGGAATATTACGTCAGATTCTACAATTAATTCTGAAAATAGGTAATTTTTTGAATCATGGTACAAATAGAGGTAATAGTTGTGGGTTTCGTTTCCACTCTATAGAGCTTCTAAAGAATGTGAAATCTAATAACTCTAAAAGCAATCTGCTTAAATATATTTCTAAAGTTGTTTATGAGCATTCTGAGGATATGAAACAAAAGGTTGAAGTAATTTCTCAAACCTGTTCAGAAGCTGCTCCTATTGATATTGCTGATGTGTATAGAGATATGGAGGAGCTTGGAAAAAGCGTAAATCTTATTCAGGATGAACTCAATTTATTTTCTTCCATTCAATCAGATAGTTCTAAGCAAAATACAGAACCGAAGAATAAAGAATGCAAAAACAAGGATGAAAACCAGGAATTAAAAATTTCAATTAAAAATGAACTTAAAATTGAGAATAGCTTAGAAATTTCGGTTTTTGGGGTGGAGAATAGAGTAGAAAAAACAGTAGAAGAGCTTTATCTGGAAATTGTGGAAACTTTTGTAAATAACTCTTCTCAAAAACTTGAAATTACTAAGAAACAACTAAATGAAATAATATCTAAGCTAAATGACTTACAATGTTATGCTGGCGAAGCTCAAGCTACAGGAAACAATTCTTCAAAACAAGGAGCTTCCATTTCAACATCTTGTGGTGAGATAATTAAAAGATGTGATATGTTTTTTAGACTCGTAAAATACGAATTTAATGAGTTTAAAGCTATAGAAAAGAAGAAAAAAGAGAGAGATTTAAGAAAGTTAATGGGAGTTAGAGGGACAAAATCCAGTGAAAGCTTACCAGCAATGAAAACTTCTGATCATAATTATAGCTTGCTTAAATCATCCCCAAGTTTGATGGAAAAACAGAGTCAAGCAATTTCCGAATTCTCTCCTGTTCATGAAATTGAGAACCTTTCTCCTTCAAACAATATTAATGAAAACTCGAGTCAATTATTATTGGAAGTCTCAAACATTACATTAACTTCAAATTCGAGTACTTTTTCTTCGTCAGATTCATCATTTTTTCAAGATCAAAGCCGTACTAGAAGCAAGTCAGGACAAATTACTCCAACTGCAAACTTGGACCAGACTCCTTTAAATAAGAATAGACAAAAACCTGATATTCTTAGTTCTTCTCCTTATAATCTTCATTCTGGATATGATCCAATTTCAAGTTCTATTATAAGATATTCAAATTGCTTCAATAAACAAAGTTTTTGTGAAAATAATTTTGCGGAAGTTTGTGATAATACAAATAACATTTATGATCTTAATATCGTTCATTCAGATCCTCAGTTATACTTTTCTTCCTCATCTTCTTCCGATTGCTTAGAAAATCCTATTATGCAAAATTGTATACAACATAAACCTGGAATTCATAATAATCATCAACCAATGCATTTGAAATCTTTCTTTGATAAAAACTCAAATACTGCAAATATTGCTGCCAAAGTTTATAATTCTCAGGTTAATCAAAGCTCAAACAGGTCAAGAAATCCCAAATGTGATAATTAATTTAATTCAAGCTACAATATCTAGATTAGCGAATAAAACTATAATAGTTGATTATTTAACAATCAATGTGTTAAATTAGCTAGATTATCTTTATTTTTGTTGTATTTTTAATTGACTATAGTTTACTCTATTTTTACTTAAATTTCATCATTTTTTTCATGTAATATTTTACATGATTTAATTAGATTTAAAAAAATTTACTTGGCGGGAAATAATAAGAAAATTGAGTGGGGCTTATAGTTAATGGCATATAAATAAAAAATAAAGAATTTAGTATAACAAAAACATATTGAACAGCCAAAAAATAAAGAAAATTTGGGTGCAATTGATTGAAATTTAAACATGTTTATCTTCTAGATTTGATAAAGTTGTTTTTATGTGATAAAAAAGATGACCTATGATGAACATCTAGAACTGCGAAACGATCTTTATCAGACGTCGCTTAAACTTTTTCACAGTGATATTAAGTGGTTTTCCGAGTATATTCCGTCAGTATCGAAATGGCGAGTAAAGGTAATGCTAAGGGAAGAATTAAAAAATTTCACGAATGAAAATGATCAAAATTATGTTAATAAATCTACAACAAATGGAAGAAACTCTCCTCAGAATAATATGACGAATTCTTTTCAAATTGAGGAAAATTCAATAAATATTAACAACTCTGAGGATTCCCCTCGTAACACTAATTTAAAACAGAATGTATTTGGCATTAACGATGCTGTTATAGGTGGAGAAGAAATATCAATAAAACTCCTCCCTACTCCTAACCATTCTGAAGCGTTTAATTTACATTACTCAAATGAATTGTGTGGTATGCATGAAAAACCGGACTCCAGCATTAATAATTTGAATAATGCATGCAAAATTAATGTGGAAAATAATAAAGAATTACCGGTATACAATAACTTGCATGTGGATAATAGTAAAAATGAGTTATCAGAGCCTCCGTGTACAAAAGATGAAGAAAAAAAAAATGAAATAAAATTTAACATCAATTTTGAAAATGATGAGAAGAGAGATAGTGAGGATTTTAATGAAAATAAAGATTCAGATAAAATGAAAAATGACTTTAGTATTTATAATATTTTAACTGGAGAAGATGGCAAGTATTTTAGAGAAAAATGTGGCAATATTTCTTCTTTTGGTCTAACTTTATGGGAATACCTACCATTAGTGGCAATATTGAGTGGTTGCACTGGGATATTTATTATTTTGAGATTATCTTCAGCAATGTATAGATATTCAATTCTATCTTGTACAATTTCTCATTTAGTGACATTTATGTTGATCGGGATTCCTTTATCCCAGTTAGAATTTTCTATGAGAAAAAGAGGCCAAAGATATGGCTTTCTTGAAGCAATGCAATATTTCAATCCAAAGTATGTGGGCATAACAATATTAAGTTTGGTTACTGTTGTCGTCATTTTTCTCTACTCAGTCCAGATTATTAGTACAATTAGTGTAATATTATATAATATTCCAAAAAAACTATGGAGAGTAACTTTGGAGGACGAATTGATTTGTAGTCGCATAAATAATTCAATTTACGCACAAGAGGGTAACTTTATTGATCAAATTAAATCCGGTAATTTAACTGCACAAAAGATTAATTATGGGTATTCATTGTGTTCTTTTTCCTCCATTTGTAATGTAGTTGCTCCATTCTTCCAGGATTCAAACGAAGTTATGGATGCAGTTAACTCCTACACAAATATTGGCTCTTTTAACTCAGGAAACACTGTTAATAGTTCAAGACTTTTAGGCGAAGTTGGCTTGCAACTTTTTATGAAGGCTGTCCAAAGTGATAACAGTACTAATGATTCATCTACCCCTATCAATTATCCAACATGGTGTATTCCTTCTCCCTTAAAGAAGCTAAGGAACTTATTTGTCATGCAACAAAGTGGTTATCAGGAGGCAATTTATTTTTCATTGAATAATGCAATTATTAATACAGAAAACATTATTAAAACTCGAGTCTTTCCTATAAAAAAACCTTTAAGATGGTTAAATTCCAATTTGTATGCAAGAATTTGTGGACTTTCTATTTCATTAATATTCATCATATTCTCCATAAATGGAGGTGGAAAGCTATACAGAATGGTATCTTTCCTTTCATTTCTTTCTCTAATAACACTTTTTCTCACTGCATCTATTCAGATTGTTGCTAATGATATTCAGCTAAGTATCTTTATTTCTATATTAGTTACCCAGGAAGGGATTGAAAATCTATTTTCTCCGGCAATATGGTACTGTTCAATAAATAATACTCTATTATTCTTTGGCATTTCATTTTTAATTACAATGTTTCCTTTAAAAGAGATAATAAAAGAAGATTACAATTCAAGTACTTCAAATCCTTTAAGTTACAAGAACGATGGATTTTACGATGGGATTATTGGAAATAACCTTAATTCTAGCTCAAAAGCTAAAAATTGTCCCATTCTTAATATGTTTGATAATGAAAAAGAACAAACAGAAAAAGTTCCTATGAGTTTCAAAGAACCAAGAATTGGCGAAATTACACTTAGAAAACATGTTTCCAGGATGTATAAGTCAGTTTATAACCAAGAAATGGAGAAGAATGAGTCAAAGTATAGAAATGACGAGGTTTCTAAAAATAATACTATTCCTTCAATCTCAATTGATAGTCATACTCAAAGTATAGAAACTCAAAATAATCATACGGAACAAAATATGGCTTTAAAACTTCATCAAATTAACCAAGAACACACAAATTTCCCTTCTTTAATGAGTGCAGCTAATTCCGCTGTATTCTTTCTTGCATGCGTGATAATATCATCAATGGTGGTTTTAATATCTAATGCAGCTTTTATCTCTCTAACTGAGTCTCCGAATACTACTTTGCTTCTTCCATTTAATCGTCATTTTGGAAAAACATCAATTACAGCCATTATTAAAGACAATATTAATCAGAATAAAGTTAATGAATCTTCTAATGAAAAATCCTTAAAAATTGATCAAGATTCTTATAATATTGAGGATATAAAATCCAAACAATATAATTACTTTACTATTCCTAAATATTTTCATGGGAATAATTGGTTAATGCATGATATGTTTGAACCAGACTCAGGCCATTTTCAAGAAATATTTCAATTCTTTAATGGTGAATCTGCATCAACAGAAGAAATTAATTTTTTAAAAAACCATATGACTAGTTGGTTCAAGTGGAATTTCATTCAGATTAAGTTTCAGTCTTTGATACTTGGAGAGTATATGGTCATTTATTTAATAATGATTGGTATAGAAGTTTCCAAAAGGATACCAAGTGGAGTAATAATTTTCTTTATACTTGTAGTTTTTTCCTTTGCAATTTCTAGTGCATGTATATGTACTAGTATAATATCAAAGCATATTTTTGTTATCTTTAACTATTGGATTCTCCCAATAATTGGCCCCAAGTTTGGAATTTTAAATCAAGATTCAAACTTAAACAATTCAAATAAGAAAAATATTAAGAATATTAGAAGGTTGAAAAGTTGTAGCCATAGTAAACATACAATTGATAACTTGAATTATTGTGTTAATTCAAGTAATTTTGAGATTGAGGAAAACAAAGAATCAAAGAAAAAAAAAGGGGAAAAGTCAGCCGGCTTAAAGAAATTATCGGTTATTTACAAGATTAAATGTTTTTTAAAGTTAATATTTTGTATATTATCATCATTCTGTTTGCTAATAAAGAAGGAAATTTTAAAGTTTTTTGGGATTTCGTATAGGAACAAAAAGAATAGAAATGCCGAAAAGATGACATTTTTTATTCAGTTTGCCTTCATTACACTTTTAATGGTAACGGTACTATTAACAAATATAGTTACTGCATTTATTCCAAGGTTTCCGCTTGATAATCAAAATGTTAATGACAAAGTGCTTAAAGAACAATTGGAACTAAATAAAATGGCTTTTCTTAACTTTTCTGATAAGAATGAATTATCAAAATATTACAAAAATGAACTTTATATTTCTAAAACATTTAATATAATATTTGGTTCTCTTTTTGATATCCAAATAATAAGTAATGCAGCCAATTTTATGTTAGCTTTAACAGCAGGACTCGAAACAATTATACTAACTTGGTACATGTACAGGGATATTCAAGAAGAGATTGTTGGTAAGAATGCTCTAAAGTGTCAAGCAATTGGATATATAATCTCAACAATTTTACTTTCTATTGGGTTTTTATTTGGAACAAAATATATTTTTGTCTTATTTATATTATTATCTTCGATAAATTACCTAATTACTTTTATTATTGCAAGGTACTTTGCAAAGAAGAATTTCAAGAGTAATCATGAACAAGTAATAAAAAGGCAGAAGTATAGCCCAACTTGGTGGTTGTATATTTCTAATATTGATTTTTTAAGAAGGAAACTCAATTCAAAAGAGTTGGAAGATGCTGGATCACTAAATTATTACTCGGAGAAGTCTACAATACAAGTGAGTAACTTGAATAGTAATCATAATCACAATCATAATAATAGTAATTATAATCATAATAATAATAGCAATAATAATAATAATGATAATAATAATAATAATAATAATAATAGTAATAATAATAATAATAATAATAGTTTTTATGGTTTGAATAAGATGAAGATCAGCCAAAACAAATATTTTGCTAAAAATGAAGAACTCATTCAAAGCATTTCCAACTTTAACTTGTACTGTAATGTTAGATCTCGCCAACCATTATTTATCAGTTTTTGGTTCATTATGGCTAAATACTTCTCTTCAATACTTATTTTCAGTACGATACCTTTAAACATAGCAAATACAATAAGTATGCTCTTCCTAAGATTAGAATGTTTGGAAGGTATAATTCCCGAAATATTTTTGATGAACTACATTTCAAATATGAAGACAAATACCATAAATATATTTAACCGAGTATCCATTTTTCAACCAATTCAAGTTTTGGTAATAACCTTATTAATGATATTTGGAATTAGTACTGCATTAATAATCACAATATACATTAAGTTAAAGGGAGATAAATTAAAAAAACTTTCAAACTCTCATACTAAAAATAGCTCATTTGCTTATATTCAAGGTAATCCAGAAGAAAATCAGGAAATAAACTTGAATAATATATTAGACGACGTTTATGAATCTTTAAAAGTTCCAAAATGTGCTGAATTATATTTGAACAATAAGATCGAGAACTTGGGGAAAATGCCCCAAAAACTGATTATTTCCCTAGCAATGCATGAAAATTACAAACTACTCAACAGGCAATACTAAGTTCCCTATAAACTCATTTAAATATTGTTTCTATGATCACTATTGTTAATACTATTAAAATTAATACTACTACCGATAATACTAATATATTGTTAATAATTCTAGTAATAAGAAGAGAGGAACAATCATATGTACTTAGAATAACTATATTTCGTTTAAGTATAAGTTCTAGTATAGAAAAAAACTCAAAAAATCCAAATATAATTTTAAGATTTATCAGAATTCTTAAGTCAAGTAAAAGCTTTAGGATTTACTTACATTCTGCTATTCTATTTAATAAATATTTATTCTTACGTGTACAATTTTTTTATTCCTATACCGGTATTACATGCAAAAACACGTTTATAAGCATGGCCGCCCCACATTACATGCAATTATTACAAAAATTCCCGCTTGTTAGGCAAAGCACCATAAATAAAAATAAAGTCAAAATATTGGGCGGATAAAAATAAATAGGATAAGTTAAATAGGAATTAAAGGTTTTAGTTTTCCAAAAAATTGATACCTATAGAAGTGGAAAATTAAGGGAAAGAAAAGGAATTTGGGATATTCCAATTTGGAGCAGATGACTGAGAGGAGTTAAAAAAGCGAGTTGATCAATGTTGAAAAAGATTTTTGGTAAGAAGAATGAGGAAGGAGAGGATGGTGTAAAGCCAGTAAAGGCTAATTTAGGAGAGGAAAATAAATTTTATTATAATAAAGAATTAAAAAGCTGGGTGGTTCGAGGTGAAGAGCACTTGGTCGAACAGAAACAGAATCTCCCACCTCCTCCGCCAAAGAGACCAACAACAACAGATTCTGGAACCAGAACTGAAAGCATGGCATCCTTTTCCTCAGGTTCTCAAAGTACAGGAATTCGAAAGAATTTATATACTTCAACTCCTGGTTTGAATATAATGAAGAATTCTAAAGAACAGATTGGAGGAATAATACCTACTGCAGGTTTTAATTGTGTGAATTCGAGTGCAACTTTATTCGAACCAGTTGGTACTTCTGGTGCTAACAGTTTTACAGATAATTCAGACAAACAAACCAGGATTGTGGAGTTTGGTAGGCAAGAGCAAAGCCAGTTTGAGAATGATAATAATACAGTAGGAAGTATGTCTATTCAGGAAAAAGAAGAGAGAGATCATTTGGAGTTGAGTCCAAGCAACTTTGAAGGTTATTCTAGTGAAATTTCAGGGTCTGAACAACATTTCAGGGAAGATCAGAGTATATCGTTTCCATCATCAGTTTATACAAACTATACTAATCAATGCAGTACTAATAAGACGTCAATAACTAACAGGACACTTCCTCCGATACCATCTTTACCAAATGCAGCAATTTCAAATAGAGAATTAATAGGTGGAGTATCTCAAAGAAGAGCGTCTATGCAGGATTCTCCCATATCATTCATTTCAACTCCAAATGTTATTCAGAATCCAAAAGATGCTTTAGGAGAAAGAATTGAGGGAGGTCTAAGACACCAAAGTCACTATATAGGACAAGAAATAACTGAGAAGGAGATTGGTGATGGATTTAGTCAAAATAACACTGAAATTACAATGAATGGTATAGGTGAATATCTGGATCACCAAATGATGGGGAGAGTCAGAAATGAAATAGAAGATAAGATGAATTCAACAATCTCAAATTCTGAGAGTGACCAAACTGAAGTTCTTTATACTCAGAATGATATGAGACAAAGACAAAGAATAAGGCCATTATCTCAAAGAAGTGTAGCTTCAAATAGTCTCCCAGGAGTCTCTGAGAAGAATGAGCAGATGGAGATAATGGATAAAAAGTTGGATATGACTTGGAATTTGGCCTCTGGAAGAGAAGTTGTAGATCCTAAAGAAAACATTTCACCAAAAATAGAGTCTTCAATGTTAGAATTCATTTCATTTTTTGGATTTAGATACGACGAAAAATCCCAAAAGTTAATTGATGATTTTGAGTATAATGAAAATATGAGTATAAATGGACAAAATATTGAACAAAAAGAAGGAAGGAAAAGTTTAAGCCAAGTTTGTATAGAGATTAAGGAGAATAAGTTAAAACAGATGGATTTTTTGGTTGGAAAAGTATTCAAGGGTTTGCAAGATTCTAGCAGTGAGTATGATAGTTTAATGGAGATGATTTTGAACATAGGAAATGTAACAAACAAGACGTTTCAGGAGATATCTGGAACTATTAACACTGTAATGTCTAATAGTGATGAGATTGAGAAGGAGCTTATAAAGACTAGAGGAATGTATGTTGATTTGGTTAAAAAATATAAGGCAATATACAAGCAATATGAGACAGATATGGTTACTTTGAGAAGTGAATTAGAGAATGAAAAGAATATGAACATTTCTAACTCTAAAGAGTTTGAGGAAAGATTAAAGAAACTTCAGGACGAGTTTTCATCTAATGAGGCTTCAAATAACGATTTATTACATCAGTATTATTCATATATTCAAAACTTACAGCAACAATTCGAAGAGATGCAACTGAATATACAAAATAGGGAGCTTAAGTTAAAGATTTCAGAAGAGGAGATACCTAGATTAAAATCTGAAGTGGATGAGTTAAAAAGGAAGTTGGATGAGAAACAACAAGAACTTAAATTAGTTACTGAGAAATTTGGAGATTATGAACAAGACAACCATAAACTAAAGGAAACAAATCAAGAGTTAATTTCACTTTCAAAAGTAAATGAGGAAAAGATAAGGCAAGAAATGATGATGTTGATTGAAGAGCATAAACAGCAAATAGAACTCATGGAAAAGTTTACTTGTGAACAAGATGAGCAGATTAATCAACTTCAAAAAAGCATAAGCGACTTAAGTCAGGAGAAGAATGATTTACTAAATTGGAATGAGCAACATAGAGGTGAGATTACCATAATTAAGACCCAAATTGAAAACTTAGTGGAGGAAAAATGCAAAATAGAAGAGGAAGTTTTGGCTCTGAATTCACAAAACCAAGATAAGTCTTCAAAGATTCTTGAATTAGAAACCATAATGGAAGCTGAAGGTCAGAGAATGGAGAATACTTCAAGAGAGCTACAGGAATTAAGAAATTTAAAGACTCAATTGGAAGAAGAAATGGAGAAAATTAAGGAAGAAAAGAATCAGATGGAGTCCGAACTTAGACTAGACAAGGAGAAACTTACAGAGAATTGTGAAAGACTCTCGAAAGAATTAAAAGATATGACACTGAAAAACCAAAGTTTAGTGGAGGCCTCCAGGGACGAGATTGAATCTGAACAAAGAAAACTAAGAGAAGAGTTGGAATCCAAGTCTGAGGAGTATAATAAACATGTCAGTTGGTTAGAGGGTGAAATATCAAGAATTGATGACGAATGGAGAACTAGACAAACACATTTAGAGGCAAATTATGAACAGCTTTACTCACAGTACATGAACTTAAGCTCTAAAGAAAGTGAGTTTGCATCTTTAAAGGAAAGAATTAACGAACTTGAGTCAGAAAAGATTAGTAGAAATGAGTACATTTTTGAACTGGAAACCGAATTAAATGAGAATCAAAAGAATAAGGAAATAATTTCAGACTTGGAGAAAAAATTGGAAGAGATTGAAAGTCAAACAAAGAAAAATTCAGAGAGGCTGAAGGAATCTGAGGAAGAAATTCTGAGAGGTAAAAGCTCTATCAACGAGCTTGAGACTTCACTTGAGTCGGAGATTTGCAGAAGCAAAGCACTAAGCAGTGAAGTGGATAATTTACAAAACATCAACAAAACTCATCTGGCTAGAATCCAAGAATTGGAACAGAAACTTGAAGGTTCTGAACAATGTAGGGAGTACATGAGCAAACTAGAACGGAACATGACCGAGCTTGAGACTTCTTTAGAAGAGAAATGCAAGGACTATAATCAACTAGAAGAACAATACGCCCAACTCTTGACTCAGAGCAAAGAGCTTGAAGACTCAAACAGTAAAGAAATTAATCAAAAAATGAAACTTGAAAACGAAAAGCTCAAGGAAACTAATGAGGCCGTTTACATTAAGCTTGAAGCATTCTCAAGAGACATTGATATGTTAAATAATCAGCTAGAATGGATCAGAAGATATTCTCCGCAGGTCTATGAAGCAATGCTCGAAAATTCTTATCATTACCCAGACCCTTCCTTTGGTAGCCATTATAATCACTCATCTGGTAACGACCACGAAATCTCTGACATTGCCCTGTAACTTTATCCGCAACCACATGGTCCGCATGCCCCACAACCCCGCCTTTATTTGTGCATAGCTCCCGCCTAGTGGCGGGAACATTTGTGTAAGGCTTTATTTTGGGGAGGGTTCCGAGCCTTAAGTACTGTCTAGGTAATGGCCCCCCCCCCCTTAAACCAGAAAGGGGGGAAGCAGGAGGGAAAGGTTGTGAAAAAAAGAAAAAAGGAGGAGAAGAAAAGAAAGAAAAGAAAAGGAGACAGCTAGTTAATAGAGCAACAAATTGTGTGAAAGAGGCATAAATTGTGAGGAAGACGGAGGAATTTGTAAAATTGGAGAAGACGAAAAGAGCCAAGTTTTAAAATATATATATATATAGAAATATACATATATATTTCTATATATATGTATATTATATATATATATATTTTTATGTGTATATATAGGAATAGATAAATAAATTATCTATTAAATACACTCTTTTGTTATTGGCTTACTCAATCATATACTGAATTTCCTGATCTCAGAGTTGAAAAGAGACTAAAAGACTGAATGAGCCAGCTAGGATTGCAATTTTAAGTGAGACTGAGTAAATGCATACTGGGCGTAATGTAGAGAGGCCGTCCATGGAGGGTTTCTCGAGTAGAGAAAGACAGTATGACTACTCGAGTATACCAGGACGTCTTCAGAATGAGTTGGAATTTAAAGTGGAAGGTTTCAGAAGAAAGATTATGGGAATGATGAACAGTACCGAGGGAGGACCAAAGAACCGACTATATTCCAATATTCACAGTTACAAGAACTTTAATTTCCGATTGATGATTCTCCCAAAGGTTAAGTTGACTAGTGGGGGATCATTAGAGGGTCACATTTCTGCATATTTGGAGGCTATACCGTCTCAAAACTGGCCTTCAAACTGGATATGGCTAAATACTAGATATTCTGTAACTTTAATTAATCAAAAAGACTACAGGAAATCTCATTTTATGAGCGATGTTTTCAGCTTCAAAGGGGAAAATGACCCAAAGAAGAAGATTTCTTTGGAAGAAAGGAATTTTGACTACAGTTCTGCAGGTCCAGAAGCCGATCGTGGTTGGAGTGACTTTTTTAGCTTGAAGACCCTTTTGGATCCAAAGACAGGATTTGTGGATCCTGAGACAGAAACTGTCATTTTCAGAGCTGGCGTGTTTCCAGTTCTATGTGATCCAGTTTCATATGGAAAATCGAATCTTGACAGTTTAGGGACGGATAGATCATTAACTGGATACGTTGGGATTCGAAATCTTGGTGCTACATGCTACATGAATTCCTTACTCCAATCCCTTTACCATATTGGAAGATTTAGAAAGGCAGTTTATACAATTCCATTAAATCCAAATAAGGTTACTACAGCTTCATCGTGTTCTAACACCCCACTAAGTAGGGAAACAAGACCTGAATTGACTCCTGTGAGTGCTTGTTTCCCCAAGACTGATGAATTTGGTGAGTTCACACCTCAGAGCATTAACTCAGAGTCTAATGGTCTCACAATTTCTTTGTTAGGGGATGCTACTGAGGATGCTGTGGAGTGGACCAGTGCAATGGCAAAAAGCCTTTTTGAATATGAGAATGATGGAATTGCTAGTCTAGAAAGCATTATGTCATCAAATGCATGCCAAGATTATGGACAGAATACTGGCGTTGTAAGTGGTAATGTATCTGGGCCAGGATCTATAGTAGGAGGTAATTGTTCAGCATCAGAAGCGGGAAATGACCAGACAAAGATTAGCTCTGCTCTCCAGACTTTGTTTTACGAACTTCAAACCTGTTCAGAGCCTGTGAACTGTCGTGAGCTGATGAGATCTTTTGGATGGGATGCTGCTGACGCCTTTACACAACATGATGCACAGGAACTTAATAGGTTACTTTGTGATCGTTTAGAAGAGGAGATGAAAAATACTGCAGTTGATGGGAGCATTAAAGCTCTTTTTGAGGGAGAATATGAAAACTACATTGAATGTTTGGACGTTGACTGTACTTCTCGAAGAAGAGAGAATTTTTATGACATTCAGGTTGATGTTGAGGGAGTAAAGTCATTAGAGGAGAGCTTACAACGATTTGTAGAAGAGGAAGTTTTAGATGGTGAGAATCTCTATGAGGCTGAAGGCTTTGGCAAGCAAAGAGCAAAGAAGGGAGTCAGGTTCCAAAGATTTCCACCAGTTGTCCAGTTCCATCTAAAAAGATTCCAGTTTAACATTCAGAGCATGGATATGGTCAAGTTGAATGATTACTTTACTTTCCCAGAGAAGCTGGATCTGTCTAGTTTTGTCAACCACAATAATAAGAGTGAAGATGATCAGACTCAAGCAGGGAGTGCTGAAAAGTATATATTACATACTGTTGTAATTCATCAAGGGGATGTACATAGTGGGCATTATTATGCTTATATACGTCCAAAACCTGATTCCGATTGGTTTAAATTTGATGATGAAAAGGTTACTTTAGTTTCATCTTCTACAGCTATTGAGGATAACTTTGGAGGTTATGAATATGAGGTCTGGGACTACTTAGGAAACCCAGATAGTGATATTCCAAAAAGATCTAAGACTCATTCAGCTTACATCTTAGTATATGTCAGGGAAGATCAAGCTCAAGATTTGCTTTCAGAACCAATCCCTCAGGAAGTCAATCCTGATTTAGTTTCCAAATACAATAGAGAGATTGAGATGATGAACATTCGAAAGAAACTTAGGCAAGATCTTAATGAGCATGTACGGATTCAATTGCTGCTTTCTACCAGCTACAATATCTCACCCTTATGCCGCCCAAGATCTATGGGTCTTCATCAAAGTATCTCATCCTTCCCGTGGAATTATATCTTCAAATGTTCAAGAGACTTTTCTCTTTCTCAGTTCCACTCAGAGTTGGAAAGAAGGTTCTTGGATAAGAGGGTACTCCAAACTGACATGGTTGCTGCTAACAAAGCTTTTGGATCCCATTTGTTCTTATTGGAAACCAGTTCTGACGGAAACCATTCTTCTGGAATGAGAGGGATGACTGGATCACATCACCATCTTGTTCATGCAAACACAGGCTCATCATCTTCACCTAGCCTATCTTTTTATACATGCATCTCATCCCCACAAGGAGAGGGAATTGGCCTTGGGAGCCGAGGAACTGACTCTCAAAGAGGATCAGGCGGGATTATAGGTAGAGCCATTGGCTTCGGAGGAGTTCAGAGTTCGGGTACAAGATCAGGAGACGAAATTTTAATGTCAGATTTATGTAGGAGGTATCATCGTGCAGGTCTCTGGGACTCATCTTGTCCAACTTTATATATGTGTTTATTTTTGGATGATGTCTCGAGCCTTTTAATCGACCGAATTCCTCCAGATTTACCACCAAATGCAGATGGACCTTATTTGGAGAAGAGACAGAAGATCGAAAACAAGCTGAGGAAGTTCAATGAAAACAGAGGCGGAGAAGTTTTACTTCTTTTGAGATATTTTGATATTTCAGATCCAAAGATGGGAGAGTTTTGCTCTAAGTACTCTAGGACCCAGGAGATTCCCAATCTATACAACCTGGGACTTGTAATGGTTTCTCAAAGTACCACGCTTAAAGATCTGAATGAGTATGTAATGATGGAGATAGAAAAGGAGAAAGATACCAAACCTACAGGATCTGTAGGGAACTTTGAATTTGGACTTAGAGTGTGCCTTGAGACATCTTCAGACCATGAGAATCCATTTCCACTCTTGGATCCCCGTTGTACAGTTCAGCAACTTCAATTGATCAATGGATCTAGTCTAATCTTCTCAATAAACTTAGACGACTCAGTAATTAATAGAAAAAGAGAAGAGCTGAGGAAATCTTTGGAAGAAATTATCACTTTCCCAAATCAGAACTTATGGCTCCAAGAGGAGAAGACTCTTGAGAATATTGAAAACGGAGACGAGGAAAGGTCTTCTTCTTTGTCTGCAGATTCGAACTTTAAACTTCCTGTAGAACTGGAGATGGTCAAATGCCCGGAATTCCCAGTCTTAGATTTCCATCATTGGTTTGAGAACTTTCAGAATTCTGTTAATCTTTCATTATACTTATGGGATCCTTTGGACGGAGAGTATCATCATCCTGGAGGAAGTACATATTTAGGCCTATCAAATACAAATACAAATGTTAATACAATAAATCATGGTATTATGGAAGCTATGCAAGCCAGTAATAATAGTATAATACGTTCATTTTCAAGGTATCAAATTAAGGGAATACACCATATTCACTTAGATCTTCGCTGGCCAGCTATTAAAGCTTGGATCTATGTTTGCAACCAAATCAAGGTGGACCCAAGAAGCATTGCTTTGGCCAGAAATGCATTAAATCCTTTGGATGCATCTCTATTAACTTTATTCTCTTTGATTCAGACTCAAAGACACGATGATTCAATATCTTCTGTGATTAGAAGTCTGAGTGTATCACATTATTATGGAAAGATTCCACGTTCTATTGTTATTATGGCTCTGTGCCTTAAGGGTCACTCTTTTGTTAATTTGAATAGAAAGGATAAACATGTCCTAACTGTAACTAATACTGTTAGTTGCATTAATATTCCAAAAGGAAGATATATTTTACAGGTGGAGTCCAGTGATACTGTGGATTTGCTTATCCAAAAGCTAAAGAAAAGAGAGAATATTATATCATACAGGTCCTTTGGGAGCACAAACAACGCTATAGAAGTTGGAGAGAACCTAGAAGGTAGAACCTTGTGTTACTCAGAGGGTTCCAATCTGAGGCTGTTTGAAGCAAGCAATCAGAATGATCATGTTGGAGTATACAGAGGAGGAGAGATGATGACAAGGATCTTGAATACAGATGGTATGCGTAATGCATCTACTTTTAGAGGACTAACTTTGGGATCTTTTATAGACTGCTTTAGGATTGAACAAGATTACTCTCAGAAAGAGTTGGATCTACTTAGGAAAGGAGAGTTAGTAGATGTTCTGGTGATTCAAGACTCCAGAAGTGGATTCAGTGGAAATCACGGAGATCACCACCATAATGATGATCACAGTAATCAGCCAGGCGGTACAAGTTATTTGGTGACAGTACCAGTTACCTGCAGATTATCAGACCTGAAAAGTAAGTTGCAAGATAGGTTTAACTTGGACGAGAGAATAATATCTAAATGGAAATTTTACCGTTTTGAATCAAAAAATCTCCAAGGAATTAAAGATAATGATCTAATAGTAAATAGTATCAAAAATAACAGTAATACTGGTAACAACTACCACCCCACAAATGCAAAGAATAATGTGGATATTAATATATATGGTTTTGAACCTCACACAATATTATTAGCTCAACAAGTCTTTCCAGTCCTACAAAAGACTGGCTCCAGACCATTGAGGATCTAAAGGAAACACCAAAAAGGAGAGGATGGCTTTTGGTTGGGTTTCACTTAATATCCAATAGAGGTTTCTGGGTATCCATGTAAGCTTTTCTACACAAGCACGGAATAATTGAGAATCAAGAAATGAATAAATATGTAAGAAATATAAATTTATAATACAGCAATGAAAGGGACTTGATTTAAATTACACCTGAAAATCCATCTTTTTCCTTTGGAGATTTTGTAATAATTTAGATAATTATTATCTGGTCCCTAAAAAGAGAGGAAGAGAGGTTTTGTACTAAGTTAAAGAAAGAGTGTAGTAATATTACACTTAATAAAATAGTAGATATAATAGATGGAAAAGATTAGTAAAATTTTACCTTGAACTCGAGTATAATCCTTCAAGCTGTTTGATTTTGTTCTTGATTGATTTATATTCGAGGTATTCTTTTTCTATAGGTAGTAAATCTTTGTGATATAGAACCTTTCTGTGATTTTCATTGAAGAATTCGTTTTGATATGTCTCAAGAAATTCTCTCAGCTGGTTCTTCTTCTGCTTTAGTAACTCTAATTCTGAGGTTGAGTCTTGAATGGTGGATTCTCTAACTTGAGAAGCCGAATCTTTGAGTTGTTTATAAAGTAAATATAAAGGCTTGAGTGGTTCTTTGTCAGTTTTGGAAGGAGTTCTTCCATATATAATTTGAAAGTCGGAATCAAACTTTTTTAGTTCTTGCTTGATTTGTTTTTTAAGATTGCTGAGTAGGTGATTATTAGTGGTAAATGTTAGAGAGTTGGAGACTTGAGAATTATTTCCAGTTTCTGTATTGACAAGAAAATGATTTGGAATATGAATAGTACCATTTTCAGCTAAAACTAGGCCTAAAGTTCGTAATATAGTCAATAATCTGTCTTCTCCATAAAGTTTGAAACCATTGTCAGCTTGATAAACATTGTTACTTCCTAATAAGAGTTGATACCTTTCTTTAATTTTAGTCTGAGCCTCAATAAGTTTGTAGTTTGTACTCTTTTTGTTGGAAGGGTTATCAATGTAATCATCCTCATTATAGTGGGTTTTAACAACTTGAAATTGGTAAAAACGGGAGGTATTTCCGATATATAAATTCACCAACTTACGTACTTCATTGTTCATAATGTATAAATTTTGGTCTGCCTCCAAATCACCACACACTTGTCCTTAATTATTTGGAAAATTAGTAGAATCCTTGAAATTCGGCAAAGTTTTACTTATTGAACTTGGATCAGAAGAAAAATTTCTCCTTTTTTAATTCACATTCTTTAGTTTTTACGTGGGGAAATAGCACCAGTTATTCTCCAAATAAATAAAAATAGCATGGCGCCATACGTAATTTAATGATTTAGATGAAATATATTTTAATTATTAAAAATTGAGAACTGAAAGGAAGAGGGAAAAAATTCATGAATTAAAAATAAAGAATAAATATTGCCTTCATAGAATGAAATTAATGTCAATAAAATAAGTTAATTATTTGGAAAGTAGTTTGTTTTTTTTTTGGCATATTTTCCCTATAACTGCATTAGTTTAATAAACCTTTTTTTTTTTTAAATAATTTAATTTACCGTTGCATGTACTAGGCGCCTTTTCCACTTGCAAATTTGCTTTTTTGCATGACGCAGTAATTATATACCGGTAATGTCAGAATGCAAATGGCGGTCCGACCGAAATAAAAAAAAAATAATTAATTGAATTTGTAATAAAAGAAAAAAATATAGAAAAGGGTTCTTTTTATTCTTGAAGATTAAAAAGAAAAAAACATTTGAGAATAAAAGATTTAAGGACAGAAAGGATTTTAGAACTTATTGTTTGGAGCTGAGACTATTTGGAGAAACAGTTTAGGTATATATATTTTTTTCTAATAGTCAAAAAGTTGTGAAGAAATGCAGAATGTTTCAGCATTATGTACAGTATGTGGTTATAAATTGGAGAGTACATCTCAATTGAGAGATCATTATAAGACAGAATGGCACAATTACAATCAAAAGAGAAAGTTAGCGAATAAAGAGCCAGTGTCTGAAGTGGTATTTAAAAGGAAACTAGAGTTATTAGAGTATACAAAAGTAAAAGTAGATAAGGGGAATTCTCATATTAAGAATAAGCAGAAGATTGAGGCTCAAGAGAATGAGGTTTTGAATGAAAAAGAAATTAAAATGAATGACAGACCAAAACAGTCAGATACTTATGAATTAACATATTGTTATTTTGATAATACAATACACCCAAGCATGGATGAATGCTTTGAATATATGAGAAAAAAGTACTCATTTATAATACCAGATAGAGATTATTTGGTGGATTATGAAGGTTTAGCTCAATACTTGGGAGAGAAGTTATTTGAGGGTCATATTTGTTTGTATTGTGATAGAATATTTTCAAGTTTAAATGCAGTTAGAGATCATATGATAAGTTTGGGTCATACAATGTTGGGAACTCACTTGGACATTCAAAAAGAGGAGTTGGAAAGTTTTTACAACTATTCTTCATCATATAAGGAACTTATTCCAAACTTGAACAAATTATCAATTTCTGATCATGACGTAAAATTAGAGGACGATGATGAATGGGAATATATTGACGAAGATGAGGATAAAATTGACAGATCAAATAGAGAAGAAGAAGTTTTTTTAGATGAAATTTTAAGTTCGTACAACTTGAAAAAGCCAATGATAACAGAATTTGGTGACTTAAGACTACCAAATGGAAAAGAAGTTGTACATAGGAATTTGGCATATATATACAAACAGAGAATACCAAAAAAGCAAGATGAGATTAGAGATGGTAACCATTCACTGGTTTTAAAAAATAAATATCATAATAAAAAGATTAATGTATATGACACTAGTAAATTGGGTCTGAACATTCAATTTAAAAATAAATCACATTTGAAACAGAACCTACTTTTAAGCAAAAGAATTAAAAATATTAATTTAAAAGTCGGAGTAAATAACAATAAATTGCAGAAATACTTCGTAAGGAGAGATGTAGTATGGTAATAAAAAGAAAAATAAATATTGGATATTTAAATATTAACTTTGTTTAATTATAATTATAATTGTCCACATTCATATATAATTATAGGTATTTTAGGCTTACTATTTGGAGGTATAACAGTGGCATTTTCAATCTTTTTTAAAGTTGCAAAAGAATCATGTCCTAATAATTGTCCAAAAACCACATGTTTGTTATCTAACCAAGAGCATGAATTACAAGTAATAAAAAATTGGCATCCATTTGTATTTGGACTACCATTATTTGCCATAGAAAGAAGTCCAGGCTTTGTATGTTTTATTTCAAAATTCTCGTCATTAAAATAGCTTGAATTATAAATTGACATACTGCCAGTACCATCCCCATTTACAAAATCGCCACCTTGTATTACAAAATCCTTAATCACTCTGTGTATTATGGATCCTTTGTATCCCACACTTTTTAAGTTTTTTTTATATTCTCCAGTACAAAATTGTCTAAAGTTTTCACTTGTTTTAGGTACAATATCTTCAAATAGTTCTATTACTAGTCTCCCAATCTTATTAGTTTCATCTGATAAACAAATATCTAAAAAAACTACGGGATTGTCCTTGTGTCTTTGTGGTCTTAATTCTGGATCCTTAATCATTTACAGCTTTATTGTGGTCTTTGATGCTTTTTTTATATACTTTTCTTTTTATTTTACTTTCTGGTATTCTTTGTTGACTTAATCATTACAATTATTCATTTTTGGCGCCAACCATTCCCGCCACATGTTGAAATAAATTAATAGCAATAATATAAGTACATAGGAAAGTATAAATGAGCAATAGGAGGCCATGTCAATTCTTTTTAAGAGGATCTTGTAGATTTGGAGATAACTGTCGTGACTATCATCCAAATGGATCGATGTTTGAACAGGGGATGGGTAGTAATAGTAGTGGTAATAAAACAAGTATTACAAGTGGGTTTGGAACAAGTGTAGGGCAGTTTAACCCATTTTCTGGATCTGCTGTTAAATCTTCTGGTGATATGAACAATGTATTTGCTTCAGGGGGGGTATCAGGAAGTGGAGTTGGGCCATTTAGTAACTATGGAGGACCTTTTGGAGGGAGTGAATCAAGTCCGTTTGGAGGTAAAGGGCCCTTTGGAGGTGCTGGGCAGAGTCCATTCGGAGGAGTGGGAAGTGGAGGTGGAGTACCTGTATCTGGAACAGGGACTACATTTGGGTCAACCCCATTTGGATCAAGTCCATTTGGCTCTGGATCAAGTCCCTTTGGAACTGGTGGTGGGTCCGTGTTTGGCTCAAGTCCGTTTGGATCTGGATCTGGAATTGCTTCTGGGTCAGCATCAACATTAGCATCTTCTTCCTCAGCAAGTGGTAAGCCAGCAAAATCTGACAACCCAGTGTTGCAGACTTTGGAACTTATTGGTGTTGTTGTTAATAGTGGAGTATGGCCATTTGGAAGGATAGGACTTTTAAACCAGTCTCAGGATCTTTCTCAGACTCAAACACAGGCATTTTTAAGCTTGGATTTAAGTATAGAAGAATACAGATGGAGGTTTTATCAGAGTGATCCAAGTAATTGGAATAATTTGCATTTGGAAACTCTGAGATTACTGACTCAACAATATAATGCGTTTATAGAACAAGGAAAGATGCAATCAAAGCTCCCAGTTTCGCATCACTTATATAATTTAGATTTTAGTTTGTATTCAAAGATTGGAAACTGGTATTTGCCTAATTTAGGTAAAGACTTTGTAAATAAGCCTAGTAATTCAGGTGGTACCCTTGAATCTATGGCTAATCCTTTTGGAGGATCAACTATAGGACTTTCCCAAGGAACAGGAGCAGGAACAGGAACAGCATTAGGAAATATTAACTCCACTTCAAGTCCTTTTGGGGTTATTGAAGGAGGTTCAAGCATAAGTTTTGGAGCTTCTAACACACCTTTTTCTACTTCTAATAATGCTCCAAGTAATCCTTTTGGTAGTTCAAATATGGTTAGCTCGGTATTTGGTACTACAAATACATCAACACAACAACCTTTTGGTGGTAATAATTCAGCAAGTATGAATCCAGTATTTTCAAATGTAAATAATATTTTTGGATCTAAAGCTAGTACTAATAATAGTAGTACTACTGGTACTAGTAGTATTAGTTCAAATCTGCCCAACAATTCTAATGTATTTGGTAATACAACTAGTCAACTATCTTTAAATTCAAATGGAGCTAATTCAAAGTACTCTTATAGTAATCCTGATGTAAATGATGACAATAATGTATTTAATTGTCAAAACTTAAAAGATTGGGAATTGAATGCTTTTAAAGCTTCAGCTTTTGAGGAAAACAAAATTCCTGAAAAAATACCTCCAAAATATCTTAGAATGTATAGCTAAATTAATAGCCAGATACAAGTAGCTATTATAAACTTATATATATAGTAATTTTATATAGAAACATAATGCTTATATATACACTAAAGTAAGGTTAACATTAAGTTGCCAATTACATTAAAATAGCATGAATTTTCACCATATATACAAACTAATCATATATATTATCATTATTCTCAACTTTTATGTTTACATCCCCTTTATTGGCTTAACTCTCAATATAATAAATATAATTTGTTAACACATAAACATTAAAAAATGTAACGTCCAAAAAAACGCCGCCACTGGGGATCGAACCCAGGACCACATGGTTAAGAGCCATGCGCTCTACCTAGCTGAGCTATAGCGGCCGATGTTAATGCAGTCACAAGTAGAGTACTATAATATAATAATTTACTATTATCAATTTGACATTTTGCAATTTAACTTGAAAAAAATATAAATAATTAAAGCGGTTAAATTTATTATTATTAATGTAATTATAATAATTGGTATATAAAAGTTTGAACTAATGCAGTAGGGAAAAGTAAAGGAAGGCAGAGAAAGGGATTTATCTTATTACCTTTAGAGAATTTATTTAGTGAAGATAAATAGTAATAGATCAATCAATTAAAAAAGTATGAAATCTATAAATAATAACTCTCAAGTAGAAACTGATTTCGCCTCTGAATTCATTTCAGAAACAGATTCAGATGCTGATTCTAAATCCGAATGTGGAAAGGAAACAGTAATAAAGAAAGCGAGCAATGAGGAAGAAAAGGAGGAGGAAAATGAGGATGAGGAGAAGGAAGAAGAAGAAGAAGAAGAAGAAGAGGTAGAAGAAGAGGTAGAAGATGAGGAAGAAGATGAGGAAGAAGAAGAGGGAGAAGAACCTGTAATTAAAATAGGGCTTTGGGATTTCTGCCAATGCGATATAGCGAGATGTAGTGGAAGAAAACTTTTGAGGTTCAATTATGCAAGAAAGCTCCAATATAGCAGTAATTATGCGAGAAAGTGGCCCGGAATTATATTAAGCCCCAGAGCAAAGAAGAAGATTTCAATGGAAGATTTACCTTTAATATTGAAAGGAGGAGTAGGAGTAATTGATTGTTCTTGGAATAAAATTGACCAGGTGCCTTTTCATAAGATACATAATGGGAATGAAAGACTTCTTCCATTTCTAGTAGCAGCAAATTCTACCCACTATGGAAGACCTTACGAGCTTTCTTGTGCTGAGGCAATCTCAGCTTGTCTGTTCTTTTTTGGATTCCCAAAACAAGCTGAGAAGGTTCTTGGAATCTTTAAAGGTGGACACCACTTTCTAGAACTTAACAAGGAAGCGTTTGATCTCTATAGATCTAAAGGAATAAATAGCCAATCAATAATTAATGCTGAACAAGACTTTATTGACAAGTATATGAGCAAGCAACAGCAAAAAGAGTCTAGAGACTATGACTCTCTCTTTTCCTCTTCTTACGAAGAAGATGATGATGATGATGATGAGGAGGAGGAGGAGGAGGAGGAGGAGGAGGAGCTGAATCTCTAAAGTTATTTGGGAGAATAATATGGAGGAGAAGATAAACAGAGAGTAAGATAAGAGTGAACTTACACGTTACTTAACTGAGTATCAACATAACTCATTAGTGATAACCTGAGTTGCTCCTTTTCTTCAATATTAGCATCCACACTTTCAAAAGATATATACGGATAATTGTGCCACTGAGACAAATCATCTCTAAGTAAATCTATAGTTGGTTCCTTTTCTCTTAGTTCCTCGCGTTCCCCATAATTATTTTCATGTTCCTGTCCAATCTTACTCAGTCCATAGAAATCGCACGACTCATCCCAAAATACCTTCAGTGTACTTATTAACTTCTTGCTAATATATATTCCTCTATTAGGTAACATATTTTTTTTAATTTCTGACACCCTCTCATACTCCTCTCCCTCTGTTTCTCCTTCTTTCCCCCCTTCAAATCCTCTCTCTTTTTCCTCTTCCTCTCCCTCTCCCTCTCCCTCTCCCTCCCCTTCTCCTTCTCCTTCTCCTTCTCC